GTCCCTTTGGACCAATCCGTCACTGGATTATGCTTTCGTAACCAGGGGAGTCCTAGTACGACGTCGAAGGTGGCCATCTTCAAAACGTCTAGGATGATCTCTTCCCGGTGTCCACCAATTTCCATAAACGTTGGGTTAGTTTCCTTATCGACCCAAGTTTCATTGGGTAAGCGCTCCCCGGTGACTGCTCGAATACCGTACTGCTCATGTTTTCCTCGAGTAGAAAGTCCCGCTTTCTTAACCACGTGGCTTGACACGAGATTGACTGAAGAACCGGTATCGAGTAGTGCTCTGAAATGGTGTCCGTTAAGCTCAACCGATAGCCTAACTAGTTTCTCTGAGTTCGTTGAACATACGGTTCTGTATGTATTCCTGGTGCTAGGCGTGTCCCTAAAAAAGAATGAACTGGTTTGAATCCGTTGGCGCATTTAGCGTCATAGTGGCGTTCGCAATCATCGCATAAGCAGGTTTGCCATGTGTTATCTCCGATGCATTGTCGGTTTATTGCGATCTGCATATCCACTGTTTGCTTTGGTGTCTTGCCTGGAAAGTTTGAACTAAGTCTCTTATCGAACAGGTGGATGGGACAGAAGTCGTTGTGACACTTCGTCCAATTGTATCCACAGATTTTGTGCAGATTGTTTTTTGGATAATAGGAAGCACCTTTGTCTGACTGGTGTGTCCAGCAAAGGTCGTACATGCAAGCACTGAAATGTAGTCGTCCATGATTCTGGTTTCGTGAGTCAACGTCGTACATAGGTTGACGCATGGATGGCAGTTCAGGTTTCTTGGTTTTCTTGCTGTCCTCCTCGTACTTCCAACAATCTTGCCAGTGTTCTGAGACATGTTGTACGTAGTTGTCTCCCCATAGGTCTAAGACTTCTGTTTTGGTTTGATTCGTTTTCCAATTACCATCTGCTGTTTCGTTCGGCAGATCCAGTTCTTCAATTTGTTTAGCGAGTTCGTCATCATCGTATTCGATGGATCCTCTCGGGCTATCGGGTTCCTCAGGAGATAAGTACTCCTTTTCCGAGTCTGATCCGAATCCCCGTGGATTCTTCGTAATGTACATCTGTTTAGCTTCTGGTGGTGCATAGTTCCTTGACGTAGGATTTTCAGCCCAGAACTGCTGTGTCAGACGTAGACGTCGCTTCTCTCGTCGATCATTCCTGCTTCTTGCAGCAGCTTGTCGGGCGTTCCGTTCCGCTCGACGTTTCTTAGGTGGTGGTGCATCTTCATGATGCTCGGGACCGCTTTCCGAATCTGGGTCATCCACCATGAGTCGTCCTTCACCCGGCGTGGGTTCTAGGATTTCCCATTCCGATTCGCCTTCATCCCCCCCGGGGCATGAAGACTTGGTCGTTACGTTGACAAATCGTGTGACCTTGTTCTTTGATCGACAGTTCCTAGCTATGTGGCCGGTTTTACCACATCCGTAGCAGGTTATCCCCTTAGGGTCCTTGCTCTTCTTGTCATACTTCTTTCTTCCATTGTTATCTCCAGCCTTGGATGGAAACGTTGCATTAACGTCACGTGTCCAGTCCATTTCCTCGGTGTATCTGACCCTGGGTCGAACAGGGACGCTGCGGCCTCTTCCCTGGGGAAAATAGCGAACAGCTTCCTGAGTCCTTCCGTAGGCAGATTTATAACCGTGGATCCCTTTCATTTCTTCGGCTAACTCAAACAAGTCATTGTCAATGCGGATAGTTTCCTCGTAGAGTCGTTCTAGTGTGTCCATAACCACACCAGACCTCATGAGTTCTTCCTTGACCTTGGGTTTGAGTCCTTGGCGATACAGTGCCATGAGTGCGTTGTCATCCCAGTCAGTCTGGACTGCGTAGTGTTGGAACTTCGCAGCATAGTCGGCGGCAGACTTGAACTGTTTGACGCGTTGAATTTCACGCACTGCCTTATTTTTCTCGTTGGATATTCCGAAGACCTGGCGGAGCTTGGTCTTAAACACTCCCCAGTTTTCGAACAGAGTGGTGTTTTCGTCGTCTTCGATATCGTCGTCCAGATATTTGGTGAGCTGAGGCGCGATCCATTTATGGGCATCACCTCGCATAAAAGTCGCAGCGTAGGTGGCCTTGTCGTCGTTCTCGATCTTTTCATTGAACTTGAAAAGCAACTCGAGTTGCAGGATCCATTCCTCAAGCTTGACACGTTCCCCATAGTAGGTGTCAGGTTGTTTGGTCTTGATGCTGACAGGGGTGTCGTTGTCCATATCGGGAGTAAGGGTAGGCTGGTCAGTGGTACTGAAGCTAGACATCTTAAGGGTATTCACAATGTTGAGATCTTGGAGAACTCTGGTTGGGTTTCGCGGATGACTAGCGGGTAACACTGAAGTAACAAAGGTAGAAGTATAAAGTAACAACTAGATTGTATTTCCAAGAAGTGGGTTGTAACTTAGAGTGAATACAAGAACCATAAGGTCTTCTTGTCTACTGACTATATACATATTTTGTCCCATAGTTCCCATATGTCCCATAGGGTTTCATAGATGGGATATCGTGGGATCTCGTAGGACCCTGTGGGACACACGTGACTTGTCCCACAGCAACTTTCCGCCAAGACTCGTGGGACCACGTGACGTGCGGGGTGGCGAAGTCTATTGGTTCATACGTAGTGTCCTGTTTGCTGACCGTGAGTGTTCTTGTAATTACCTTCCTTCATAACCTGTGCATCCCCATTCTTAGGTTCGTAACAAAAGCTTATTTAGAATCTCTTTCTTTTAAGTGTTAGACATTCTTTTATAAGAGCCCTTAGTAATAGCTGTTTACAGCTGCTTGCACTCTTCTAAAGCTTAAAAATAAGGCTTTTTAGCTAAATTCTAGCACAGGCATTCTTTCTAGTTAGACTATTAAGCTTCTAAACTAGCATTTTCTTTAGCAGATTTTGTATAAGTTGCATAAATTCTAGACATATTTTTACTAAGTAGAAGAACTGTCTTAAGAATAATCTCTCTAAAACGCTATTTTAGAAACTTAAGAGTTTTTAAAGGCTTGCTTACACTTGCCCTTTTTATATATTTTTAAAACTTTCTACTAGCTTAGTTTAAAGTAATCTTAGCCTTCATAGCTATAAGAAAGGCTTTAGCTACTTAAACGCTATCTACATAAGCTATGTTTTTAGCTTAAGCTTACAGGAATAGGCAATTCTATTTATAGTACTAGTTTTTAGAGTTAACTCTTATTTAGGCTTTATGCAGGTACACTTTATATTAAGCTTTTAAAATTTCTTTATGCTTAGCTAAATCTATACTAAGAATTCTTTTAAGCTTTTTAAGAAAAGCTTTTAGAGTTAAATTATTCTCTGCAGCTAGTTTAGAGTAGGCAGCCTTTATAAACTTTAGTTTAACTATTTGCTAAACTATTGCCTAGAGGTTTATATAGTTTTAATTTTTTATTCTCTAGCTAGCATACTTTATCTTATAAATTTTAAGCACTTAGAAGGCCTTAGCTGTGCTAAGCTCCTTATAGTTAGAGACTTTTAGTTTAGTAATTATTTTAAGTAGCGCGTTGCTGTTAGAGTTAACCTTATTCTAAATATTAGTAATTTTAGCTTGCTAGAAGATGTCTAAGAACTATTATAGCTAGTTAATTTAAAACTTAAGTTTCTAGGTTTTAAGAAAAACTACTAGTAATGCCTTAATTAAGAGCGTAGAATCTATAGTAAAAAGATAAAATACGTGTAAATTGTTATTTATAAGTAGTAAATATGTATAGAATTTTAAAAAGTATTAATAGAGCAGCTAAATAGTATTTACCTACAGCGTAGTTGCGCAGTAGAAATAATATTAAACTATAGCGCTAGGCTTATAACTATTATAGAGCTTATAAATTACTATTTAAAAGAGTAGAAAATAAAGTGTCCTCTAGTATATTGTACATAGAAAATATTGTCTATATATAGGGCGCTTAGAGAGACATATTTCTAAGCGCTTGTTCTTAGAATCCTAGATTACGTAATATTTACATGCTTTTTATCTAGTATTCTATATTATCTTAGCTCCTAAATAGGCCTTCCACTGCAACAAGAATATTAATAAAATTGCGTAAGAGTTTAAAGCTTAAAAAATATTTACTAATTTTACTAGTATTACTGCTATATTAGTTATAGCTATTATATTAATTTTTATTTTTATTAAGTTTTTTAGTACTTTTTAAAGTACTATTAAAAGTTTTTTAGGCGCTGCTACTAGTTTTATTATTATAACTATTATAAATACTATTACTGCTAAGCAAAAGTATTAAAAGCTTAAAAAAGTAATTAAAAATTTAACTAATACTAAAGATATAGTCTGCAAGTATAGAAAAAATATTATTATTATAGTAAATAACTTAATGCTAGTAGTTAAAGTAGTAAAAAAAAAGCTAAAAAAAGTAAATAAAAAGTAAGCTTAAAAGTTAAAATAAATAAACTTAGTAAGTTAGGCCTTAGTATCTAAAGTGTCTAGTAAATAGTAAATTAATTAAGCTAAATCTAGCTTAGCTTAAAATACTATACTTAACAACTTAAATAACTAACTATATTACTATAGCTTTTATTACTTTTATATTTACTATTATATTTAAGTTTATACAAAGTTATAACTTTAGTTAGTACTTTTTAGTTAAAGTAGCTTTTAATTTTAAGTAGTGCAAAACAACCTTCGCTATTCTCTATATATAATAGCTTTTATTTAAGCTTACACTAAGTATATATTACACGTAGCTTTTACATATATATTATAATATAGCTATTTATAAGTATTAATAATTAAGTATAAAAAAGTATACAAATAATATATAAAGTAATAGTAGCTTATTTTAGTTAGTTAGCATGGCGGCGAAGCATACACTAGTATGTTGCTACTAGTTTCTGTTAGCATGGCTGACCCGCTCTTGCCCTGACCTTGTCGCGACTTGCTACTGTAGCAAGTGTTGATGTGCTATAGATAGCTGTTTATTCTAAAGTCTACATTAAGCGTAACGTTCACGATTTATATGGAGCTAGTTGAGCCCGTAAGGTACCCTTGACCTACCACGGCGGTTGGTAAGCCGTTTCGCCAGTTTGCGCGGAAATCCCGGCTTGGCATTGATCATCTCGTGAGCCTTTGCTAGCGCTTTGTGCTTCCGTCCTGCACCTGATTCTTTTTCCAACTACCCCCATCGAGCTTTATGGATTATTTCAATTCGCTTAAAAATAGTTATTTGCGTTGTCTTTCCAAGCGCGCTGTTCGCGCCCCATCGCTATGACAGATACAACGTGGTCTGCGATAATCCAAACAAAGCCCATCGCACACGGCTTGGACGCGTTCTGAGAGTCCGCCCATGTGCTTTCTCAACATGCCTCTCGTCCTCTGCCATCGACTGGTGGCGGGAAGAATCTTTTTAGCGATCTATCCAAGCTCAATCTAGTCATTAACACAGGGGATTTCGCTGTAGAGCGTCTGAGAGATCTTGTATCAAGTGGCCCACGCCGAAGCATGCTGGTTGAGTAGAATTTACCAGGTTCGTGTTCAAGATCAAAACAGAACGTATGATTTATGTAGCAGGACATAGGTAAATGTTTTGACAAAGCTAAGAATTATATTACTATGCACATTCGGTTTGTTGTCTCAAAACAAGGCGATCACGAATGGAAAGTAGGGGGTAGCTGGATGGATTTAGCCGTACTGCGTACACTGCTTCTAAGTACATCGCAGATCCATAGTTTCATTATGGTATTTTGGGAAAGACATTATTTCGAACAGGGGTGGGTCGTACGCTAGTAATTAGCTGCTGCGGGTATAGTACATCTTGCTTTCATGTAGGAAGGTTATTTGTGATGTGCTTCGAAACAATGAGACGGTGAAAGGTGTGTACGCCTGGGTCGTTACTTTCTGTACCTTGCCCATTCAGTCTGCACATCTTCAGGCGCTCTCACTAGTTGTAAAACAGAGAAAGCCGGTACTGAGTCTCTGGCTCTGGGATAGTCAGCAGCAGTCAGATTAGTATCATTATGAGAAAGTGTTCACATTACATCACCGCTGCTCTATATACTAAATAGAGATACTAAGTACGAAACAGTACATCCGTTATGAACCTTTCGCCATCGCTTGGTCTGCTTTTTCAGCATCGAATACCCCATTCTCATCCGTGAACTCATCTTTGCGTCCAATGTATACGGGGAAAGATACATCCGAAGCCACGAATTCCAGACAAGCCACAACATTCTGAATGTGTTCAGGGAGAATCCTATAGTCCCACCAGGTATCGGATTCTGGCGGAAGGACACCATACGGTGAACATTCTTCGCCGGACTCGCGGTACCATTGCAAGAGAACAGTACCATCCTTGGCAGTTCGCGCATCCGCAATCACGATGTGATTTGGCTCAATAAATAAAGCCGTTGCTTCGTGATCCGAATACCATTTCTGGCAGTCTTTCTCCGAGGCACTAATGAATGCAGACTCGACGTCGCCTTCATTGGCTACCTCAGTTTTGAAACCTGACTCGTCACTCGGACACTCCCGGGATTCGACAAGGTAAATCCGTCTGCCTTTGCTTTGGATTGAATTTATAGCCTGTATAACTCTCCGTAAGCTCTCTGCGCTCTGCTACTAAGTACGAAGTACCTACAGTCTTAGCTTCTTCGGCAGTGCAAAACAGCAATGTTCCTCCCATGATTGCGAGCTCCAGTAGACTGGCTAGTGATTTGTACAGATAGCCTAGGTAATCTGGGGCTCCGAGATCCGCAGCTTAGGACATATAGGATGCTTCAGGGTTTAGACACTTCACATCAACGTTGATTGCACTACAGAATGTCTATTTACGTCACTGTAAGCAAATGACGTCATGGACGTAGTGCATCGTAATGTAGGCACATGATGCGGCGGATACCACGGTGGAACGCACTAAACGGATCAAAGCAAGGCCACAGCCTGACTCTAAACCAAATCCATAATATATAGATGCACACGACAAAGAGTGAAGAAGTTTTGCTATCATGCCCTAGTAAAAATGAAGCTTCCTGTTAATCTACTTCGTTCCTTTGTAAAACTCAACGCCTCCAGGACAAGGCCAGGGCCGGTGCGGGTCAGCCATCTTTACCACTAGTAGAGGCTAATTCGGTAAGCACTTACACGATTCTTTGTACATATACTTTTACGTCGCCACCCGAGGCGAATGTTGATGCCCGACTTTCACAAGCTAGTCATCACTCAACAGTCAAAAGCTTCCTGGCATTTACACAGAGACAATTAGCTTTTAGTATCTAACACTTGAAGGGAGTTCTCGCACTAATTAGAGGAATGGGACAGAATTAGCTTCCTTAGAGGCATTATCAGTTAGTCTTCTTGTTTCCTCTTTTTTATGTTTTCTAACTTGGTCTATATAATTAGCTTTATCGGCATGTCGTTAGATGATCGACTTTGTATCTCGGGCTATAATGTAATAACCTGTAAGTGTGACAAAGGTTTTAGTAGATAGAGTTGTTAAACTTCCTTTCATCCGTCTCTAGCTATTTATAGTTATTAATTTTCCCTTTAGGACTCGATCTGAAGTCACTAGGTAAGATTTATAGAGCAGGCGTCCCTTGAAGATATTATAAATCCTGGCACTGAGCACGGAAAGACAATGCAAAGAGATAATTAAGTAATACATTTGTTCGAATTGACATCGATCTAGAAGGTATTATGGACTACAATCTTTAATGCAAAAAAAGTCGCGTTAGAGCACTCATAAACCCCACCACTGTGCCCATCTCGGGCTCTGTACCTGCCATCGGGCATTCCAAGGAAGCACGAAATCCAGGGCCAGATCGGCACACTCCTCCATGTCCATAAAGATCTGCAATAGGCAGACTAATATCGTGTAGCCCGAAGCAATGCTGATAAAAATCCAAGGCATTGCCTTATGAAACCATCTATTCGGATTTGAATACATGCGTGAAAGCGTGCCCCATGCAGATGTAATTCCAAGCACCAATGTAACTAATGGCGCAAGCAGCAAATGTTCTCTGCCTTGCAAGATGCGGGTGAATAAGATCTGGGTAGCAGTAATACGGCTCGTAGCATTGAGGAGAAATTCAAGTAGCATTGTTGCCATAGCCATTGCAAGGGCCAGGCGGGTCTGCCAACGCTCGGTATTGCGATGTGGCGGCACGTGGAGACGGAGCGTCCATTCTCTGCCAATGGCATGCATGGCGAGCGTAGCAAGAGTAGAGACCAAGGCCGACATGGCAACCCAGCCGACACGATGATCGATGCCGGTGGCCGCGCGGTGTCCTAGTCGAAGAAAGTACGGGATCACGGAGAAAAGGAGGAGTGCAAGATTCACGGCGATGCCAATGAGCCTTAGCCACCACTTGCTGTCTCTTAAAGTCCTTGTGGTTGTGAATTCGATAACCTCTATCTCCAAGAGTCGTGCTCGAAAGGATTCTCTACTGCCTGAGGCATCTTGGTAGAAGATAGTGCCAAGTATGCCAGCGAAGAGATAGAGCCATTCGAACGGCTCGCCTTTCAGTATAAGCAATCCTGCATCGATAATGTTATGCAGGATCTGTAACACTGGCAGGAAAGGATTCAAACAGAATGCCAGAAGGTGTGCTCCCTCCACAACATAGGCCTGTGATCTCGAAGTGATTGACAGTAAATGCGCGTAAGCTACGAAAGCGAACAGATAGGTAGCAATTATACTCTTGCGCAGGTCCATGAGCGATCGCGGTTCTTGGATCTTGTCCTCGTCTTTTCTCGAATCTGGTGTGTAATCCCAGTGCTGAAGGAGGTTGGGAAACGTCCACATCGGCATTAACATCTTTCTCGTGGATAGTGAAACCGGAAATCGTCCTTCACTGGAGTTCATGTTTTTCAAACGGATCAGCTCATCGTCATTCAGGTCAGGCATGAAAACTTGATCCGGGGCTCTTGAGCAAGCAGCAGTAAGCCCTAGCGGAAAACCGTCCCAGGATGTCGTGATCCTTTTTTGCTTCTCTGATGGGAGAAATCGTTCCATCAGATCTGAATTGTATACGTCCATATACACACTCATCCAAGCCCATGCTCTCAAACTATCATCCCAAGTGAAGTTGTTTGGAAGTATCGGTATTACTGCTTTCAGCCCTCCGCATTGCGATATGTAACACCTCTGAAAGTACCTTGCATAATGGTTCCTCTCACAGAGAGTTTCGCCGTTTATTTCGCGGAAACCAGTCCAATTAGTTGGAACGTCGAGATCCGGAGGTGCGTATGATGTTTTCAAAGATCCGACACTATATAAATCGAAGTAAGAATCCCAGCATGCGCGGTAACATCCGATATCGACATTTTCTCCAGTAGGAGAAAATTCTATCCAACTGGCAGGAAAACGTTTTTTGCCCGTCATCATAGTAAAATGAGATATGATCGCCCCTTCCGACCTCAGCAGGGAGAGTGGGCCCATTTCTCGTGAACCCTAGTCGGTGGGTAAGGCACGGGTTTCAAGTCTATTCTCGTACTTCTAATGTGTGCTTCGAGACCAGAGACGTCAAAAGTTGTCAAAAATCCGTAAGGTATGTAGTAGGAGCAATCATTAAAATCATGTGAGCAGAGAATGGCAGAACAGCTAAAGAAGCGCGTGTCCAGCCTTTATTGTAGATGTCTTAGCAGCTATTGCGCGGCTGACGTGAGACTGTACCCCTATTTTGAAATTTTTTTTGTATGTAAGTTGGGTGATCTCACACACGACAATTAGAAACAACGATAAAAGTATAACAATTAGGCAAATTACTACAATTAACAAGCGATTTTTGCCTTAATTAAAAGCCTTATGCTGTACTGTTGCGGCACAGGTCGCAACAAGCAAATTTAATGCGGTTGTATTGGGTGAGAGAGAAGTGAGTAGACAGGCAACAGCTTACATCACATGACAAAGCGCATCGTAGAGGCTAATTACCTTATGGAATTTATAAGGGCTGAGAATGTTATGAGGCGTTCAACTGGCTTTCAGTCTAGGAATATGCATTCGCTATTAAATGTCTCTCCCTAGTAATTTAGTACAAGATAGCCATTTATCAAAGAATATTTACAAATTTGTAATAGCTTTCAAAGGTCAGGGCTTAGCTCATTATAAATCAGCATTTATAATATTAAAGTAAAATATTATAAAAACTAGTATACTAGTTATATTTTTACTAACTTTTAGTAAGTTGCATTATAAGAGATTTTAGTAGTATAATTTTAAGCACGTGCTGTATTGTATTATTCCCTCTGTTATTACCTGTATTTATTATCAGAGCTACGATATCAGGCGTACTCTACTTTTGAACTACAAGCTGTCCGAATCTTCAAGCACGAGCTCACTTGCCTTCTCGCCTAGCAGGAAAGTAGCCGCCGCAGGGAACGCTCCAGGGTTTCTTGGGAACGCACTGGCATCGACGACTCTCAACCTCTGCACTCCCCTGACCCTCAACCTTGTATCCAAAACAGCCAATTCGTTATCATCTCCGCCGACTGCCGCGGTGCCCACGGGGTGGTGACCAAAAATCTGCTCCTCGATCCAAGTGCGATCGATTTCAGGATCGCTGCAAGCACCCTCATCATCGACATTCTCCGGTGGGCACGGCGGCTCGATCGCTGTCACGGGTCCAACGGGGCCTGCTGTCTGCTTCATCGACTTGCGTGCCAAGTTGATTGCCTCCATGATCGCGGGTACGTCAGTGTCCGCGCCGCTTTCGAAGTGGTGGAAGTTGATATCGGGAGTTATGGTAGGATCGTTGGACCGGATCTTAATTTCACCGCGTGTGTTCTGCGGATGCATCTTGACAGTCTGCCAGCCGAATGTGGTCGGTGGGTCTGGTTGAGCGGGGAGGGAAATGTTAGCTCCACCTGGAGTGAAGCCACGAAGTACGCCAGGGGAGTTGAAGTAGAAGATGTCGCGTTCGTTGTCGATTGCTTTGCTGGTCTTGATGAGGGTGCCAAAGCCATTGTTGCCGGCTTGTGCGTATGGTCCTTCACCGCGGCGCCATTGTTCGACACAAGGATCACCGGGCTGTCCAAAAGTGCAGTTGTTGGGGATGGAGATGTTTGTTTGCGCGCGACCGACGATGGGCAGCTCGTAATTATCTTGCAGGTTACGGCCAACGCCAGGGAGGTCGGCAACGACAGGGATGTTATACTCTTCAAGCAGAGCTTTGGGGCCGATACCTGAGAGTTGTAGAATTTGAGGCGTGTTGAAGGTTCCACCGGAAACGATGACTTCCTTTCGGGCATAGGCAGTGTGCTGAGTTCCGTTTGCGACAGTAGAGTTCCAGCGTGCATCTGCGCGATAGATGGATGCGCCCGTCCTGTACTCTACACCGATAGCCTTCGGAGTCTCTCCCGGTTCAAAGAGAACTTTGGTGGTGAGACTGTTCAGCTTGAGAGTCAAAGGGAAAGCTGGAGTTCCGTCTGTCCTCTTTTGGCCAATCGTCGACAGAATGATGTCTCGAGGGCTGAAACGTTTCCAATTCGAAGTAGCGTGGAAGGGAAGACCCCACATGCCGGTGGTCTGGTCGCGGTCGGGGCCATCGAAGTTTCCATCACTGGTAACGTAGTCCACAAGCTTATTAGGATCTAGTCCGACGAGATTCGCCATGGACCGCATGATGTTCAGGCGAGGGACACCGTCTGCATAAATGTCTCTGTCACCCATGGTGGTTTGAAGCCAGCCATTGAATCCATGGCCTTCTGTTCCGTTCGGCAGGTAGTTGTTGTGCTCAACCTTAGTCAGGATGCGACGGATATCTTGTGCGCTACACAGTTTTAGCTAGTGCACTCAATATAAGAATACGAGTGAAGGTAATCTCACCTCCAGATTTCTTCTTGTGAGCCCTTGTTGAAGATCTTCCAGTCACTGTCCGCCGGCAGGAAGAAAGCACCTGCATTGGTGATGGCGCTACCCCCTAATGTTGCGCCGCGAGGGTAGTAAACACCCATCATCTCCGCATTGGGGTCTTGCGGAGGGCCAGGATACCTCCCTACCCAATACCCGCCAGTCGTAAGACGCCATACCAGCAGATTGTACCGCTTGGTACGCTCAATGTCGTCGGTATGCTTCACAAAGAAACCCCAGGTCACAGCGGATCCACCTCTCCCGACAAATGACATAATTTGCGTGGCAAGGAGGTCTGACTGGTCGCTGCCCGCCTCGATGAGCAGTACTGAATGGCCGGCCTTGGCTAGATTGGTGGCAATTGTCCCACCGCCAGGTCCGGATCCAGTAACGATGTAGTCGTATGTGTTTGACTCGTTGCATGGAGGACTGGGTTGTCTGGGGGCCAGTTGCGGACGACGAGCTGGCGAGGCAGCGCCGAGAGTCGCCGTCGCCGCCAGCGAGAGTGGCAAGAACTGTGAGAGCTTCATGTTTTGGGGATTGAGAAGACTGAAGGCTCAGGAAGTCGCGTGGCGATACATTGGGGGTTGAGTCGGTATATTTGTATCGCGACGAACAGACGTTCGCGCTTACTGAATGCATGCGCATATGAACACGGCATATTGCACGAATCAGCGCCGGCGATTGGCACATTGGCATTAGCCATTGCCACGGTATTGAGGCTTGCCGCCCAGTCCCGGCATTCGAAATAAAGTGGTAGGAATGAACATGGATTCGTATCCCTGCATCGCGTAATGATGCTGCGACTCGCACATACCCTCCACAGCACGAGAGTCGCAGATTGAGTATAGACCGAGACAGCCTATCATGCCTCTTTGGCACAGTATAGTCGGTGATTATACTCAAAGAAGACAATACGTTTTACAATCTCGATAGTGGCAAGAATATCATACACATAGCTTGTTCCCTACTGCAGGAAAAGCACCTTGGGGCCGAATCTCAACATGAACCCCTCAAATCTGATCTGCCGAATCTCACTCAGTAATCCTTGACTCTCGAGGACCTTGCACGAAAACAATCTTAAACCTCTCCTATTCAAGCACTCTAGGATCCTCCCTACGCTATGTTGCTTCCCCTTTCTATTCCAAGAATCCTATCCCCCTTCACAATGACTCGAACTCCAACAATTGATTTTCTCAATGCAGAGAAGCATTGTCAATACGATAGGGTGTGCGGAGACGCGCTTCGTATTATTGGCGATCGTCACTGAACAGCCGCGGCTCTTTACCCAGTGCGTCGGTTTTTATCCGAGACAGTTGTTTCGCGAAAAAATGTGCCGTTGGTGGACGAATGATGATTGGCTGCAAGGATTGAAAGGATCGTGAAGGATCAGAAGTGCATGTTGGTGGATAAGATTATGGTGTAATGCGAACGCGCAAACAAATGTCATGGTGACATTGTTCGAGCAAACATCGAGTCAGATCAATACAGTCGGCATCGTGATCTCCTCTGTCATGGCCTGCACTCAACATTATAGCGCGCGCTATCTTTTCTATCTTGCAGTTGTGACAGTTTATTGTTATATCATGGAAATGCTTGGACTTCTGCATGGGATTCGAAGCACATTAACCCAGTGCGAAAAACAAGCAAGTCATTTACAAACAATTCCATTCTCCTTTACTATAGAATAAAAGGTAGCTTCATCCCACTCAAACACGCGCAAAGTCCCAGAACCTAAAGTTTTCCAAGCACACAGCCGCGGTTCCGGCGCGTTGGCCCAGAGCAGTTCTAAGAGACTTATACAACGCCACCAACGCAACAATGTCCTTGTCATCACCCCCTTCATCTTCCCATACCTGACGCAAAACGATCGCCCTTGAAGACGCAGTATCAGGATAGACTATGAGTGCAGCCGTCACAACCGAACTCGTTCCCGGTTTCTCCTCGAATACTAAGACGTCGTAAGAGCCGTTTGGATACACGGCGCAGTGGAGAACGGCCGCCAGACCTGAGCTCATTCAAAACCATATTAGTCAATGAGATATGATCATAGGGTGTTTTGCCTCCTGTTCTATTCTATGGGGGACGTTGCTTATACATACGACCGATCTCTGCTTTCACTACTTCGGCTTCGCCAAGGGATTCGACAACACGTCTAGCTACCCGCCCTTCCTCTTCAATGAGATTTCCGTTCGACGGGAACATGCTGATTATGATAATTCTTTGGCAAACACTATGATATCGTTATCTATTCTGTGAGGAAGTGGCCTGACTGACTTATATCTTGAGCCAATGAGTTATAGTTTGCTGATGGAGCAATGGATTGCTTCCGGTTTCCAGGCTCACATGCCCATACTACAAGCCGCCAACAATCACTGCGCTTGCAGTAGAAATTTCCCTCCAGAATCTTTTCTCTAAACAGACTTACAAACTAGAGATCTACGGCGAGTGGATAGAATACCCAAACCGATTACTATGCGCGACGATTAGCGCTACGCGTATCGATTATGAAGATAGATGAGAATCTGGTATAGGATATTTGAAAAATCTTAATGTCCCCAATCAACCGGCTGCACCCTTGTTTTTATTTGCGAACCAATTCAATCTCCATTCTGAGTCTAATAGCGACAGAACTAGAAGTACAGGTCAGTGAGGATGTTGTCAGTAACGCCGAGTCTTTCATGAGTGAATGACGCTTTCACACGCGCTGCGAAAGTTCAGAGATTATATTCTTAGTCCTTAATATGTAGAATAGCCCGGCTTGATGCCAATACTGGTAAGCATTTAGCGTTGTTCTATAATCACATGATTCATATTGAGTGATGCTGCAGCATACCGACGGCGTTGCAGGATGGCTACCCGTAGCTAGAAGCCAGAATTGTACAGTAAAAGAATTGGATTTTTGTTTCTTCATGTCGACAGTTGAGATGAAACCATTTCATACTAGTCTATCCAGCTCCCAAATAGATAGATAAGCTAAAAGACCACTACATCATATACAAAGCACCTCTCGAATGACTCTCCCAGCCCCCAACCATATCTCCATTGAATTTTCACCGAAAACACTATCCAATCGGTTCAGGAGGTCTATGTAGAACATGAGAGCCATACGCCGGACCGGGTTCCCGAGAGATTCTCCGAGCGATTCCTAGACCCAATTCCTTCCTCAAATTATTATACAATTCCTGCTCCGCATAGAAATGGTAATGCTCTGGAATCCCGCCCCATATATTGCACCATCCCTGCTCTAAAGCCTTCCAGACTCCCCCTATCCCCATATACACAATCAGGATGGCGGTAACGCTCTGCCTGCTGTCTCCAGCGACTCTGGAGAAGTAATCTTCACATGTGATGACATCGAATTCGCAGCCAGAGTACACGTCGTTGTATATCGCCTTAGCAAGTCCTGCATTTTGATACCTTTTGTTAGCGATGATGATTTGATATACGCTGATGATTGACGATTTCCTACTTTTTATCTCTTTCTTCATAGCCAGCTGGCTAGTAGCGTCATTTGAGTAAGGCGACATTTTATTTCAGTCCCGTGTACGGAAAAATGAATAGGTCTTCCGAAGTATTACTAGATGATGTCTGTTATGCGGGTCTTCATGTATGCATGAAACTCATGGATAAGAGCATTCAAGCCTGCCAGCAACCAAAGCCCGTTTTTAGCTCTACTCCGGGAAGATAGAACTTCAATTTATACATCAGAGTTCCATTTTGAAAGGTCATTGGGTCACCTCCTAAGTGTAAAAAGCAAACCCCGTCTGACAGATCATCCGCCACCATCAGTGACATGTGCAGTCCGTCAAATTTATTGTTGATATCATGCAAGCTCTCAGAGGGCATACACTCACCTGACATATCATGTACTTGTGCAGGTAAACAAATGAAAGGTCAGGTGCATTATTCAATACATAAAGTAACTCAAACTCTGGTGTTCAATACCTATAGGTCTATCTTCGATACAAATTTGCAGGCTTTCTAATGACTGAAATCACGGATCGATAGTTATAGTACTGCATTGTTCATGTTTTGACTACACTAACGTCACACGTGACGAAAGATCTGCATCCGTACGGCCAACCACTCGGGGCCATGAGTTACTGCCCCCATAAGCAAGCATTACGTTCCCATCTGTCATCTGAAAAAGCCTTACCTTATATAGCCAAGCTGATTATAGAAGTGTCTAAGTTTCATGCAAAACATTGTAAACAGGATGCAGCTTGTACTTCCAAGATTCCCTCGAGATTAGCTTTCTCGGGGGGCAACTTGATAAATCGTCATTGTCTCATGTCTCACTCAGGGGACAGGACCAGAAATGCAGGTCAGGGAGGGCAATATCAGTAACGCCCGGTCATCTATGATTGAACACATGATATACAGTTGAAAGAAATGAATAGTCTGAAAATAGAAGTAAGTTATAGATGTAGTATTTATAGCTACAGTTGAAGCTTAAGTTAAATTAGTAGAGCTAGGTTGCATAGGCCCCACTGATTTCACTTATGCTGGATACCACAGTATGATGCAAGATGTCGTGAAAAATTATGGCCTAGAAGGATTGTGCGCTGACGTGATGAACTGCAATCTTAGCGTACTTGAGCTTGAACTGAAGCCCGAGAATGAAGCCCTAATCCCATAAGGAGTGGGAGGCTTTACTGGAAAATTTTCAATGTCCTCACCCAACTACCTCTCGTACGTACTCGTGGGGTGTACACGCAATAGTGGGACTGCCTAGCGAGAATAGGGGCCGCTTTGTCTCCTTAATCTGGCAAATGTGCTTACAAACACCGGCAGCCTTGCTTGAACAGACACTAGCGCTTTTTCTTATAAGTACTGCTTGCAGTTCATCTAGTCTATGTTATGTCGCCTCGAGCGCCAATCTAGGAGGAATAACTGATTCCGCACCCTTCAATGCCTTCATTCCAATACACTATTCTCCCTATCCAGTTCAACAGCCAGTGCATCACATTTCCAGAATGGATCTCTCTCTTCACTCTCTGCCTCGCCCCGCTGATTGCCCACATCGCCTCCGGCATCCCCCCTGTATCGTATCTTTCCCACACCCGTCCGAAGTGGTATGACCATCTCTGCCATTACAATCCTACATCTATTGTTTGGCGGTACGCTGTCATCACCGACCGTCGCATTCGGGCTACTCAATGGTCTCGCGACGATTTGACAGCCAGCAACGCTATTTTCTGGACGGCGAAAGGCTGGGATGGTCACGAAGACATGGTGGTCAAGGCAGCCCAGCATAAATTGCGATGCCCCGGGCTTACCCACGTGCAAATCATGTCGGTAACGATGCTGAAAACAATAATCGTGACAACGCAGGGCTTGTCAGCGCTGTACACACTGGTCGCGTCGCTCGCAGGCGTCAAAAGTACAAACTTCATGTCGCATACGACCGTGGATTCGATTTTCCTGCCCCTTGCCATCCTTGGGCTTTTGAGGCTTTGCGCTGCCATCTGGCTTACCGAGGACTTTGTGTACACTGCGGACGGCAATATGATTGTGGAAGCAGTACACCAGCGTACTCGGGATAAATCAATCGACAACAACCCCAACACCCAGGTAACCATCTCGCATAGCGCTCTTGAACCGTTTTTCGTTTCGCCTCCTCAAGTGCGCGCGTGCTTCAGATCCCCTAGCTTCTGGCCCAGCCGCATCTTTCGTGGCACGTATCTCTTGATCATCGGGGGTATCTGGGGCTTATCGCTGCTGTGTATTATGCCGGGTATCGTCAGTTCAGATGCACAGCTGACTGCAAGCGCCTTCTCAACCGGACTTTTCTATTTTCTCTTCCTTTCCGTTTCTATCGGGCTCTACACACTCTACTTCGTCCGCGACCAAACCACTACAACCATCATCCCCTGTATTTCAGCAACGTGGTACAAGATCTACACACTGCTTATTATGGGCTTTATAGTGGTCTTGATTGTAATAGGAAGTATTGAAGCTAGCACAATTCCTTATGCGAATTCCGCTAATACACCGTCGGCGGTCAAAACGGATTGTGGTTTCTTCTTAAAGGAGTGGACTTTTGTTGCGCCATATTCAAGTTTCTTTGGACTTGCGTCGCGGGCTGAGGGAAACGCGATTGGGGCTCAGCAGAATCGTTCAAGTTTAGCAGTGGGGAAGTTGTCAAATGCCTTGCTAGAAGAGAGGTACTCGATTGACAACTTCACTGGGTACTGTATAGGAGAGTTTGGGAATTCGTAAGAGTTGGAAGTAGTTGTATTTCATGAAATAAATATGAATTTTCATTTCTAGTATTGCACTTCTTAGCGCGAGTGTACACCTCTACTAAGTAGACGCTTTTTACAGAAACTACATTAATCCTAACCGTCTATATAATGCTCTAACACTAAGCCTCTAGGGATATTGAAATAAAACTATTGTATGGTCATTCATCTATTGGAAAACAATTAGGAGCGGTTTGTCCGCTTTAAGGATGGATACAGTTCACATGTGCTGTATCTACTTAGCTCTAGTGCGTCAATGGATACATAGACTTTCTCTTTTAGCACTGCTTCTTCAGATTCCCATTGTACTCATTTAAAACATACACCAAGCAAGTTTTGATACCTGAATATCTACGCATCACGCCGAATTGCTCAAAAAAAGAATCTACAAGACAGCACAAGACAATCAAACATCTCAATCAACGCATGCCCACCAACATATACCAGCGCAGCCTCCTTCTAGATATGCAAGAAAAATCTCTCACGCCAATCGAATTTTCTTCCCCTTGATCGCTTCCCAATCCTTCTCGGTGTATGGCACATACCCGCCACTCAACTCGGGCAACCAAAACCAGCAATCCCCACCCGTAACAACCCCCAAATCCACGCCCTCCCTCTTCAGCCTCCCCTTCTGCAGCTTCAGCGTCCCCGTGTACTCGAGCTCCCTCGCGACCCTAAGAAACAGCGGGACAGCGTACCCCGGCAGCAAGCTCCTCGCGTGTTTAGCCACGGCGGTCCAGTCGACGTCGCCGATGTTAGTGTTGGGAGTGAGCACTATGGACGCGGTCCCCGCGCGGCCGTCGTAGCCGGGGATCGAGACGCCGTAGACGTTTGCTTCGGCGATGCTGGGGAAGCGGGTTAGAGCGTCCGAGACTTCGTTTGTGGAGACGTTTTCGGATTTCCAGCGGAAGGTGTCGCCGAGGCGGTCGACGAAGTAGACGAGGCCTGAGGGGTCCTGGCGCATCATGTCGCCGGATTTGAACCAGCTAGCGATTTCGAGGATCTCGTCAGCGTTGCATATGGGGTAGACAGAAGACGAAGAGAGAGGGAGAGGGAGAGGAGAAAAACCAGAACTCACAGATCCCCTTTCTTGAAAACGTCGCGGATTCTCCTGTTTTTCGTGGCGCCCTCGTTTTGATAGTACGCTGGGCCCCCGACATCAGTCTCGTCGGTCAACCGATGCAACACCTGACCCGCCTCGCCGTCTTTACACCGCACCGCCCACCCGTGCTCATCCCTCAGGATATCTTCCGTATCAACATCCATCTTCACCCTGACCTCCTCGTCGCCGAACCGCCAATTCCAAATCGCGCCCCGAAGCCCAAGCGCATGTGCAGTGAAAGGCCCACGATTGCGATTGAAGATGGAGCCCAACCCGTCCGTCGCAGCATACAATTCGTTGATGACGGGGATGTTGAAGCGCTCGCGGAACGGCTCCCACACATCTGGCCTCATCCCGTTCCCCCACGCGCGCTGGACCACGTGCTGGCGTTCGAGCGGGTGCGGAGGGCCGTTGAGGAGGTAGCGGCACAGTTCGCCGACGTACTGGATCGTAGATGCGGCGCCGGCGTGGACTTCGGGCCAGAAGGTGCGATGGCTGAATTTGCGGCCGAGGATGATGGTGGCGCCGGCGTGGATGATGGGCGTTGTGCAGAGAGAGTGTGCGGCGCCGTGGTAGAGCGGCATGCACGTGTACATTCTGTCGGATTGCTGGAGATTGAGGTATCTGGCTACCATTTTGCCGATCAGGAGCTCTTTGCCGGTCGTGCTGATGACGCCTTTTGGGAGACCGGTTGTGCCGGATGTGTAGATGAGTTGGCGGAGGGACTCGATGGTCACGTTCTCGCGCGCTGAGGGAGGGATGGGCGTTGTATCCGTGAGGTTGGAGAAGAGTGTGGGGGAGTAGTAAGAGATTTTGCAACCGAGTTGGTCCAGTTGGGGACGGACGGGCTCGATGTTTTGTTTGACGTCTTCGTCGGCAATCATGATTGTTGCGTCGGATAGCTTGACGCAGTGCACCAGTCCATCACCAGTAAGATTCCAATTCACGAAGCTCAAGCACCCACCCAAGGCTTCCACAGCAAACCAGACCATCAGATACTCAACCGAGTTCCCACCATCTAGAGCGACCATCTCGCCCTGTCCACCCTTCATCCCCACAGCATTGACTAGCCAATTAGCAACGCCCTTGACACTTTCGAAAAACTCGGCATAGCTCCAAGTTCTTCCCTCAAATATGACGAAGGGATGGTGAGGTTGGTGAGAGGCGTGGTGCTCCAGGATGTCGTAAGTCAATAATTTATGCTGAGAGGCGCGATCCTGAAGCCAAGTCAGGTCGGATGCGATTGGATCCAGACCGCTGCGGCCTGTGGCAAGGTCATGCCGAATGTGATATTTCGCATCGAGGTAAGCGGAGAGTGCGGCCAGAGAGGCGACGGAGGTCAATATAGAGACTATACCACTGGTGAGCACGGATATAGTGAGGTCGGAAGAGGAGTCCATACGTGCCATGTTGGACTGGACCAAGAGGAGAGAAATCTTGTTTTACGTTGCTCGCATGCCTTTCCACTGCTGTATATGTTGGTCCGACTCTTTTCTCTTTTCCCTTGTAGTATTCTTACTTCTTTCCTTCAACGCTCTCAATAACGAAGCAGTGAAGAAGCGTGAAGGATGGCCAACTGTTCAAAGGCTGTCCAGAGCCCGACACGCCAATACACCGAGGCCCTTCCAAACTCAATCGGTACCCGTCGCGCTTTGTAGCTATCGCACGTAACGCTCTCGACTCCCCACAGCCGGCTGTTCCGTCCCCCAGTCGAACTCCCCTAGTAGCTAGCTAGCTACTGTCGTCGCGTCCCGTAAAAGCACCACAATCTCCCTCTGCAATAAAGTCAAGTCAAGTCAGTTCAATAGAAATACACCAACAAGAGTAACTACTCAGAGAAAAGGAAAAGAAAAGGAAAGAAAGAACAATCGAGTATTCTACACCCTGCACAACCCACCCCCTCCCCTACGTAACGTAACCGACTGCCACGACGCATATCCGTGCACCCCCCCACATACATGGCATTTCAAAGACCACGACCAATCGCAGTGTCACAATTGGGACAAGAGTCGCACGCAACGCACGTATCAAGCTTGAGGGTTATCGAATCCTTCCAGCGCACTTCCCCGCAAATCACTGAAGAAGACCCGTGGGGGGGACTTTGTGCCGAGGTAGAAGAAAAAAGCGGGAACACGTACAATACGTGCGGGGTTGAACTCTGGGGTAGCTAGCAGACAAGAGTACATAAAACTTAACTGTCTTATTTCCCCCGGAATCATTTTTTCTTTCTTTTGTTATCAAGGGGAAAAGCGAGAAAAGCAACTAAAGAGCCGTTATGTGCGTAGTGATGGACAGGCTGAAAAAAAAAGAGTTCGAGAATCGACGAACGAGATAGCCGCATCGCGCAATCTTCCCCTTGCGTTCTAGTTGCACGTTTAATAGTGTGCTGTTTTTTTTTTTAAACTCGTGGGATTTGAGGCTTCAAACAGCGCGCTACAGAATGCTACTGCAGAGCGAGAGGAATCCGTACTGTACTGTATCGGACTGTAGGAGTTAGGTACAGGTGTAGCGTGTAGCAGGTTCCGCGGACCGAAGCGGCGCAGAAACACAGTTTAGTATCCGAGCATCTAGCTTTCCTTTTCTAGGAAACTCATGGTCAGCTTTCCAGAGAGTGTTCCAGGGGGGTTTTGGAGGGGAAAGGGGGATGGCGGAGACATGTGATGAGATAAAAGTTTGTAACGATTTTTATTAAATCGAAGTAGGTTTATGATTACATCCGAGGTCTGCTTGTCATCCAGCATTTCGGCGATCAAGAATCCAGCTAAGAAAACGAAGTAGGACGATCTGGTGAAGAGCGATAAAGGGAAAGCTTGAATTCGCGAAAAACCATTACTCGCTGCGTCCTAAAGTCGAAGACCACATAGGCAAACCTTTTTTTGTAGAGTGGTTGAAATCCTCGTGATGCGTTTCAATATTATCATTCCTTACATGAAGAATAGATTGCAAACACTCCATTCGGCATACACTGAGAAATCTTTGCTCAGGCGATTAGCAGCTGGTGGCTATGAAGCGCTTTAGCGGCCATCTCGTTTCCATCTCGCAAGGCGCATTCACCATCGGGTTTCACCACCAACACAGCCGTATCGTGGCTCTCCACCATAGCGGTATAGGATCCCGTAAAACAGCCTTTATCCTACATCCTCACAGGAATTTAAAATCCAAGGTTAGAAGCCACACAGTAAACATTCCAGCATGAAAGCAAAGGGATAAGAAGAAGAAGAAGAAGAAGAAGAAGAAGAAGAAGAAGAAGAAGAAGAAGAAGAAGAAGAAGAAGAAGAAGAAGAAGAAGAAGAAGAAGAAGAAGAAGAACTCACCTCCCCACTCCAACCCTCAACAACCCTATAAGACGCACCCTCCATCAACCCGGGAATCTCCCCCCAAACAGCCCTCTTCTCCACCCCTCCATCGCCCCAATTCCCCATCAAAACAAGAACCCCCTCGCTCCCCCTCCCCGCCCAAAACTCCGCAGGCCAGCTAACATTGAAACTCCAATCCGGGTTGGTCCCCCACTTATACGGCTCCGCAGGTCCACCATACACCTCGTCCTGATGGAACGCCAACAGGTGCTTATTCAGCAAGATATCGAGATGCAGCGACGACAGAGAGGAGAGCGGAGTACCTATGAAGAGCGGGGACTTCACAGCGGCCCAGAAAGCAAAGTGCGTGCGGGATTCGGCGAGTGTGAGGGGCGGGTTCCCGAGTTCGAGCATGTCGGCGTTGTTGTGACCCCAGTAGTTTGACGAGTGCGAGAGGAAGGAGACGCGGTTTAGAATCATGAGGATGGAACTCCATTCAGCTACCATGGTCGTTCCCCCGCGATGTTTGGGAGGTTCGTGTTAGTTTTGGTGTGTGTGAACGAGTGGACTTTTTGGATTGAGGGGGGATAGCGTACGCAAGATGTCTGTGGTTATCCTCCATGAATTCCCCGTTTCGTTGCCCCATGTTGATACGGCTGCTTCGCCGCCGACGCAGATATCGTATTGGATCGGCCTATTTTGCTTTAGCAGCGCGTCGCGCATTCTTCTGTATCGGAGTGCAGTTTTGGATTGGGAGAAGTCGTAGCCTGGTGGGCAGAGATTGGTTTGGTCGATGCCTGGTCATCATCATATCAATCAGCAGTTTCCCCATCATTTCCTCGATAAACAACGCAGGTGGCAGCAGTGAGAATGAGGATATGAGGATTTGAGAGCTCTATAAATGGAATGTAAAGGAGGACGTACACGTATCGTTTTTATACTTTGGGTCCGGCCCTTCGTCTTTGCCGTCGAGGGTGCAGACATCGCATTCGTCTTTCCAGTCATCGGGCACACCGCAGCCATCATACTTGAGATCTGCAAGCTTCGTCAAACCTCATTTCTTCTTCTTCTTCTTCTTCTCTCAGTCCCCCCTAAAAACAGCCTCTCCACAACAACCCCCCCCCCCCCCCCCCCCCCCCCCCAAATTCCCTCCTCAACCCAAAAGCACAGTAAAAAAAAAATGTGAAAAAAATGATTCATTCTTTCCCTCTTCCCAAAAAGAACAAATAACAAAAAAGGAAAAAGACAAAAAAAAAACTCACAATCAACTCCCCACCCCGCCCACGTCCTAGCATCCACATCCTCCCACCCCAAACTCGCCGCAAACCCAGCACAAGTCTTCTCCCCCGCCGAACTATACACCCCAAACTTCAACCCCAACCCATGAACCTCATCAGCAAGCATCTTCATCCCCTCCGGGAACCTCTCCGAATCCGGCACAAGCTCATGCGAGACTGGATCTCGCTCCGCGCGCGCCCAGCAGTCATCGACATTGACGTAGCGGTACCCAGCGTCTCTAAGCCCGAGGTCGACGAGGCCGCGCGCGGCGTCGAGAAAGACTGTCGCGTTGATGTTGCAGCGGAATGCGTTCCAGGAGTTCCAGCCTAGGGCGGGGAGTTTGCCTGTGGAGTTTGGGAGGGTTAGGGGGGTTGCTGAGGCGGCGAAGAAGAAGAGGAGGAGGAGGAGGGGATGCTGAGGTGATGATGATGTTGGGATAGCCATTTCGAAGTCGTTTTTTTCTTCTCTGTATTTATATAGAGCGGTGGTTATGGGGTTGGATGAACGGCGGGAGTGGTCGGAGGAGATGGCTATCGTTCAACCTTTTATGTAGTTAACCAAACGATGATAGTAAGAGAATTCTCGTTAGCTAAGTTCGAATCCCACCCCTCTTCCCTCTTTCGTTTTTGTCCTATCTGCAAACTCAAAAAACGATATCGTTGTGTTGGAATGTTCGCTACTCTGACATTACCAAAAACCTTGGTAATTTTCTCTGCGCATGCCCACAAAACAGCAGTTTTCCCAGTTCAATCAAAAAGAATAAGAAGCATGGATAAGATGGAGAAGAAAAAACGAGGTTTAAGATGCGTTGTCGTTAGTTGCTGACTGGCAGCCTGAGAAGACAGGCTTTTAAAAAGAAGGGACGGCAATGTCTCTAGTCTTTAGCGTTGTTTCTCGAATCTGCACAATGACATCAATTGACCGTCTCTGCAACACACATGATATGGTTGCAAAAACCTTAATCAGTCCCGCATACGCTGTGTGAAAACTTTAACATTTTGCTACTCATGACTTCTCGTGCCGCCTTGGCGCTTTATAGAAAAAGAAAAAGCCAAAAAACAAATATAGACAGACATACAGACCACGCTGTTGAAAACTCCATCTTATAAACGGCCAAAAAGGGGAAATGGAGAAAGAAGTTGAATATAATAATAATGCAGATAAACAAACCCATCAACTCCGTCTTAAACCTCCCTCTCTCTTGATAGAAAATAATGCTAATGAAAAACATCGCCCTCCTACAATTACCCCCAAATGCACAAAAACAACTATACTAAAAAAACGACACCAAAAAGAACAAATCTCAAGACCGCCCCTTGACCCCCATCTTGACAGCCTTCATGCCCTCCAAAACCCCATCCCTGCCAACAACCCTCCCGACCTCGAGCACGATCATCCTCACAAAATCCCGACTGATCCAATAACTGCTATGCGCGCCCAGCATGGTCAGGTACTGAATCTCCAGGGCACCACCTCCGTACTTTAAAAAGTAATCGACCTGGCCGTTGTCGTTGAGCAGGTGGGCGCGCTTCTCGGCGATTTCCTCGCGGGAGAAGTCGTGGGTTTCGAGCTCGACGTTGGAGGGGAGGCGTGCGGTGGGGGGTTTGGCGGATGAGGATGCGGCGGCGGCGGATGAGGAGGGTGATGTCGAGGAGGATGTGCGGAAAGGGTTGACGAAGGAGAAAAGGGAGGTATTGGCCGAAGGGATGACGGCTGGTTTGAGGGAGGCGGCGTAAGCGACGTCGATGGCGGCGTTGAGACGGTATGCGACGGGGTCGTAGCCGTTGACAATGTTGTAGATGTTGTCTACGGCTATGCAGCCAAAGTCTCCACGGGTGCCTGCTACGCCGGGGGTGCGTGCCGATGAGAGGTCTGCCCCCGGCTTGTCTTTGTCGTGGCGGGGGCGGAGTGTGGCATTGCGGAGAAGAAGGAAAAAACCGACGGGACTACCGCAGACGAAAAGCGATTTGGTATTGAAGATGAAGTGGTCGGTGGGGAGATCAGAGGTGGGTAAAGAAGGATCACCCAGTGCAGGGTCGACCTCGCTGGGCTGAGTGCTGAGGATATCCATGGCCATCACCGAACCAAGGGAGTGGGCAACCAGATGGACACGACCCCATTCCGAGAAACCAGGGTTATTCTGACACCACAGACGGTAGATTCGGTTTGCTTCATTGATGCACGCCGAGACCATCTTCGGGTGATGTTCAGGAGAGAGGTAGTATGGAACGTCAAGCATGACGTCGCTGACAATACCACGCACAGACGGGAGAGTGTCGGGTGTGATGTCCTTGAGTGTGTACTTGTTGACTGAGGGGTCGTCCTCTTGAGACCCAGCCAGTCCACCTGGATCATCCTCGAGCGACATGCCTATTCGCCAATTCACCTATATTCTGTCAGTTTATTGGCAGCGGATGACAACATATACAAGACATACCGGTAAAACCATAATACCTCCCATATCCCTCCGCAAATTGCGTTTCACATCATTGGTACCAAGCTCGACATTCACTTCTCTTCGAAAAGCATTGATAGCATGAGTGAAATGGAACGTTTCCATGCGTTCGGAGAGTTTCTGGCCAATACCGTGTATCACAAGCACTAGGTCTGTAACCTGCGGACGCTGCGATTGCGCCAGGGCAGGATCCGACTTTTGCCTACGGTTTGGCGGAATACCCGCTTGAGCGGTCGAGACACCTTCTCGCGCCATCTGGGCCATGGGCGTTTTCTTGACAGGATGTAATTTGTCCCAGATAGTCTGGTCGAACCCGCGAACGACATGTAGACCGATAGTCCTACCTTTCCGGATGTAATTCGCCAATGGACGACGGCCATAGTAGTTGGAAGGTTGAAGAGATGGGCGCAATATGTAGGCATCGGTATCATTGGCATAAATGACGCCAGCGCTACGATACAGGTTCTTGCGTCCTGCACGTCCATACTCGCTATCTCCAGCAGATTTGTTGTCAGGCCCATCTGGACCCGTAGCGATGTCGATGAGATCACAAGCTGCTTCTACAATGTTTGCACGCTCTGTCTCGGGGTCGATCGGTTCTTCTGGCAGCGTGTTTTGCATCGTGCCTCCAGAAGACATCTGCTGCGAGCTGCTTGGACGGCTCTCGACTTTGATTGGTCGTTCTGGCCAGAGTTTATGCAATATCTTCATCTCTCCCAACGCGCCCACTTCGATTGCGCTGTTCAGTTCATCTCTCCACGTCTCGGTCCAGGGCCTCAGTTCCAAGTAGCCAACTTCCAGCATGTTTGCGACCTCCACTTCCACAGGCAGCATAGTATCCTTGTAGAACCATGTTCCCCTTAAAACAGCAGCTATGTCGTTGACGGGCTTCCAATATATGGGTTCCATGCGTACCGACTCAGTATCCAGCACCACGTGATGTAATCTCGATACGCCCACGGGAACTTTGGCCGTCGGGCCTGGTTTCGGTGTCGAGGGTACTTGAACTGGCCCCTTGCCCTTCAGCCCAGGCAGGACCGGTTTCATATCTTCATCCCACAGATAACTATCAGCCTCGTGCAGTGGTGCTGGATCAGGGCGTCGGGTGGATCTGCGAAAGTGGCTAGGATCACTTCGCGAAGGCGCCCTAATAAAGGGAGTACCAGTGATTGCCGGCCCAGATATCGGGGAGCCATCCTTTGGTTCCATGAACCGAAGAGAGCTGGCAGTGCCCCGCTCGGCAGACAATGAAGAAAGACCGTCGCTCGTCGACTTGGCAGCCAGGGGAATATCGCGGGCTTGGGAGGGACTGTTTCTCTCTCCATCACGGTCCCCCAGACGTGCCATCGGCCGTCTTCCCCGCCCTCCACCTTCCCTCAAAGACCCACTACCTCCGAACCCCCGCTCACTACTCAACGATTCCCCACCATCGCCAGACGGCTTAGCAGCCATCGGGATATCACGAGCCAGCGACGAACTCCTCCCCTCATTGTCATCATTTTCTAAACCCGTCCTCACCGTTTGCCTCTGCCCCTCTCCTCCACCCTTCACACCTTCCGCTCTCCCACTTCCGTTCCCACCCGCATTCTTCTCCCCAATGTCTTCATTGAACCTCAATATCTCCCTCCTCAACTCCGCCCATGTCTTGCTAATAGCGTCATTATCAAACGCCGAGAACGGCCTAGGCGCTTGTTTCCGCGCCGCCGCAGTTGCCGCGCCAGTCGCAGGCGGAGGTAACGGGGAGAGCGGGTCGTCGATAGCGAGGGGCGAGGTGTAGAAGTAACGGACGTTTATGGCGGGTGGCGGGGAATCGGAGGAATGGGAGTCGTCGTGGGGAAGCTGGCGGGTGTATACGTTGGGTTTCGATGGAGAAGAGGAGGAAGGGTTGTTGAAAGGGTGCGGTGTCATGGTGGAAGCGACGGTGTTTGTTGTAGTAGAAGTAATGATGGTAGTGGTGAGGTGGTGGTGGTGTTCATGGTTCGAGTATTATGTCATGTCGTGTGGTGGGCATGATTAGACTTTCTAGGGGCGAGAAGATGATGGACACGTGCCTTTTCGAGAAACTCTATGGAAAAAAAAAAACACGTTGCGGTTATTGTAGGAAAGAGAGTGTTGTTGTCGTCTATTACTTTTGGATGGAAGATGACGGGAGCTTTAGATGCTGCCTGCTTGCACTGACGCAACCGTCTCGCTTAAGTTGCCCAACAGAGGTAGCTCCCATCCCCACGTGGGGTGAGCTAAATTGGACCGCACGTGCACGAAACATCACGTGTGGTCACGTTTTTATATCCAGACGATGTCTGTTTGAATTCATATTCTTCATTTCATTTCCATTCTCATGTATAATCGTGACAAAAAGACTACAAAAACACAGTCATTCAGAAGAAGAAAAAGACTTGCTTGCCTTTTAAGCTTTAACCGAAAAGAGCGTCGCCCAAACGGATCGACACAGTCTTGACCTGGATATAATTGTCCAACGCAGCGTCTCCCAACTCGCGGCCGACTCCAGACTCTTTGAAACCTCCGAAGGGGAGTTGGTGGCTGAGCATGTTGTACTGGTTGACCCAGACAGTTCCGGCCTTGAGCGCGTTGGACACCTGGATCGCCGTGTTGAGGTTCTTGGTGTGGACAGCAGCAGCAAGGCCGTAATTGGTGTTGTTGCCAATCTTGATGGCCTCCTCCTGGGTGGAGAACTTGGACACGGTGCAGACGGGGCCGAAGATTTCTTCCTGCACAATCCTCATGTCCTCGGTGACGTTGGAGAAGATGGTGGGCTCGATGAAGTAGCCCTTGTCGCCCTTGCGCTTGCCACCAGTCTCGACCGTGGCACCGGCTTTTTTACCCTCCTCGATGTAGCCCATGATGCGGTCGAATTGGAGCTGGGACACTTGAGGACCCTGGAACGTCTCTTTGGCGAATGGGTCACCGACGTTGTTCTGGGCAGCGCGTTCCTTGAACCGTTGGATGAACTTGTCGTAGATGGTATCTTGCACGATGATGCGGGAGCCTGCACAGCAGCACTGTCCGTGGTTGAAGTAGATGCCAAAGTTGACCCAGGAGATGGCGTTGTCGATGTCGGCGTCCTCGAAGACGATGTTGGGGCTCTTGCCACCGAGCTCGAGGGTGACCTTCTTGAGGTTGGAGCCAGCGGCGGCCTTCATGATGGTTCGGCCAACAAGAGTTGAGCCAGTGAAGGCGACTTTGTCGATGTCCATGTGCGAGGAGATGGCAGCACCGGCGACCTTTCCGAAACCAGAGATGATGTTGATGACGCCAGGGGGGAATCCAGCCTCCTTGACAAGAGCGGCGGCAACAAGACCTCCAAGAGGGGTCTGTTCGGCCGTCTTCAACACAACCGTGTTACCGGCAGCAATGGCAGGGCCGATTTTCCATGACCACATAAGAAGGGGGAAGTTCCAGGGAATGATTTGACCGCACACACCAATCTTTCAGAGTCAGTCAGCAGAGTTCAATCGAAGGATAGATGTGGGAGAATCACGTACAGGTTCCTTCTTAATGTAGTTGAAGGTTTCAGCATTTGTGTCGACAACTTTGCCCTGGATCTTGTCGGCCCAGCCTCCGTAATAGCGCAAGCAGTTGGCGCCAGCAGAGATGTCGCCCTTGGCCATGGTGAAGGCCTTGCCGTTGTCCAATGCCTCGACAGAAGCCAGGAGATCCATGTTCTTCTCCCACAAGTCGGCTAGCTTGACGAGAAGCCTGCCTCGTTCGTTGGGAGTGGTAGTTTTCCAGGATCCCTCGAATGCTTTCCGTGCGGCGGACACGGCAATGTCGACATCCTTCTCGGAGGCTTCGTGGACAGAGCAGATGACGTCCTCGGTTGTGGGATTGATGACCTCGAACGTCTTTCCGTCTACACCCTTGACGAATTCGTTGTTGATGAAGCTGTGATGTGAATATAAGCTGCCAGTCGCATGGAGGGGGAGAAGCGGAGGAGATGGCAGCTGGCAGGGGACTTACAGGCCAGTGGGCTGGTCGTACTCGCCCGTCTGAGGGGTCTTGAGCTTGATGTTGAGGTCACCCATGATGAATCTTGGAGTTAATGTGTGGTTTAGTAGGTGATGCAGGAGGGGGGGAAGGAGAAGAGAGAAGGGATGGTGGATTGTAGAAGAGGGAGGTTTTATTTATTCCGAGCCAAGGTGATGAGCGGGGAAGCTCCAGTTAAATAGAGATAGCCAGCAGCTAGTCAGTGGTAGAGAGCAGCAGAAGGGAGGGGTGGATGTGTAATGACAGCATTCACTAGCAGCGGTACTTATTCACTGCTGCTATTACTACTGCTATTACTACTACTACCGTGCAGACACAACAGCGAAGGGCTGGGTGGAGGCAAAAGGTTAGCCTCGGGCGTCAGGAGGGTCGGGATTGATGCATCATCGAGGGTTGGGAGCCTATCGTGGGTGTGTATTGTGGTGGTCGTTGCAATGGGGGTGGCGGGCGAGACAAGGAAGACCGGATATGTCGACACTCAATGCCCCGCTCCATGCTTGTCCGTCTCCACCACCATTGGCCACCACCACACACACTGACACACACACACGCCCATCACCCCTCCCCCGCCAAATGCGACGACGTTGTTCTCCCCAAGTCCGATCGATTGCGGTGGTTGCTGTTGGAATCCGTGTCTGATGACATGGGGGGCAGATCTGCCGAGAGATTGATTCCATCATCATCTCAGATGCTGTCATCTGTGAGTAAGCAGCACCATCATCATCACCGACTCGACGTGCTGCTGATCCGTTGTCCATCTGGCTCCATCTTGGACACATGTCTTCGACTCGAGATCCACCCAAAAGCCCATCGTTGCCCTGAACGAACAACCTCATTACTCATCGCGGACCCGCTGCAGCAGCGTAGCCCAGCCTAGCACCGAAACAGGCCTTGCTCCCTCCCACTTCGGCCTCCTTTAGAGCGAGGCCACTCGCAACACGAGATGCAGTTGCCCTCAACATCTTTCTCTCACAGTAACCCGCTTCCCCTGTTCTGCAGAGCACAGATTGCTGCGGGCAGCCGTACAGCAGCCATGCACCGTGGCATGATCTTTCGACTTCTCTCCAAATCATTGGAGCCATCGTTACCGCTCGGATGTCTGTCCGCTTCTGTAGCCTAAGCTTGGTGGGGTGCAAACCCTGGTGTTCCCTGTCCATCCCCACGTATCCGCCCGACTTTGTTCGGCTTGTCCCTTCGACCGTCTGAGACGGGTACCAGACCAACCCTTCCTGCGAGACATCCGATCCGCCCTCCATTGGCCCATGCTTCTCCAACTCCCTCTGCTGATATCGCGGGCTACTGTCTTTAGGGCAATGCGGGGAAAGCTTCCATCTCGCTATCCCCCGTGGCGTGACACCGCACCAAGGGAATCTGCGGCGCTATGGAAGTATCCAAACGCGAGTCGAGACTCGATCCATCCGACGCCCATGTGGTGTCTCGCATACAGTTCCGTCTCAACGTCTGACATCCAACACGGTCCACCTCCCGCGTGGCCCCCATACCACTGCTCTTGAGCCCGTGACGAGAAGATTCAGAAACAATGACGGCCAGGCCACCCATATCATCTGAGTAGATCCCGTGACCCAACAAAATAGCGCCATGACTGTCAATTTGCATCACCATTCCTCCTATCCCATCAACAATATCCAGTCCTTCCTTTTCCCGAAGAACACCAGAAAATCGTGTGCTATGCACGCCAGGATACATCACATTCAAATAGAACCGAGCGAAGTGGTGATGCTGAGTGGGTTGACTTGATTATCTATCCGAAATCCCAAGAAAGCTTCTGCTGTCAAAAGCATCCATGCCGCCGCCTAAAATACTGTACAATGGTAATCATCCGCTCTGTCGCCAAATTGATCGACTTGCAAAGAAATCGACCCTCCCTATGAGAGTCCGAATTCGGGAGCAAAGTCGCATTATTTCATTCTGAAGCCCCTGATCGTGTCGTCCGGCAACTGTAGGAAATGGAAAGAAAGAAGTGAAGCGAAAAGGCCAATCAAGGAAAAGCTGAGGTTGCATTCTGACCGGAATCAGAGCATCTCGTCGTCCATGTTGGTATCGCCACCAGCGGCAGGGGCCGCCGCAGCACCACCGTTGGTAACCATGGCGTCATTGCTACCTTCTCCAGCAGGGAAGTAACCTTCCATCTCAGCGTCCAATTCTTCAACCGTCTTCTTCTTGGTTCGCTCACGTCCTCCGCGACCACCACGAGCTGCGGTAGCAGTACGGCCGTTGCGGCCGCGGGCTGAACGACCACCGGCAGGTGCTGCCTTGGTCTCCGTGGCAGGCTTGGGCTTGTCCTTCTTGGGTTGGCTGATACGTGGAATGAGCGCGGTTCGGATAACGGGGATAGCTGGACTTACGTGACGCGGTCAGCGAGGTTGCTGGGACGGGAGGTGGCCAAGACATTGGCATTGACGACCATCTCGACGCGGACAGGCCTGGAGTCGATCTTCACACCCTGGAGGGCAGTCGAAGCTTTGGCAGCCTGATCATGGCGGGCAAAGGTGACGGTGGCAGTTCCCAGACTGCGACCATTCGCTCCATATTGAACAACCACCTTCTTGGGCCTTCCAACGTGGATGGCGGAGGCAAAGTAGTCCTACAAGGCGTATTAGTGGGCAACGAGATAGGGTGTCTAGCATGAGCGGGAGGCAAGTTGAGCGAGTCCGGCACGGCACGGGAGGATGCGGTCGATGGTCGGTTCCTGGGTCGCGGGAGGAAAGAAGAAGCTACTCGGAAAGCAGAGAGTCCATGTCCAGAGACCAGCAGCGGCGATCATAGAAAAAGATAGGGGCGGCTCCAGCTTGCAGTGCGCAATGTCGGCGAGGGGAGCGATCGTGTTGGCAAACACGAGCTCTGATGGTTGCACCTTTGTCATTTCTGCCCACTTGGTTTGTGTTGCATCTGACCCTCGTTGCTCGACATTTTGATTGCGTCTCTCTTTCAGCTGCTGGAGCGTTTGCTAACCCTTCTCTGCCGTTTTCTGCATTGCATGCATACTGAAGTATAGGCATGTACACCAGTGGAGCTGAGTATGGTTTGGACATGAAATCTCTGGCGTTCGTCGTCGCGGCTTTGCGGGTGTCGCATGGGCGAAGTGCGATACTCATCATCGTGTTTGCCAGACACAGATCTCAGTACGACTTGCTTGCATGATTCTTGACAGCCTCGCGCTTCAGACGGAGCATGGGCTCAACATCGGCGGACTCGCGTTTGCTCGCAAATTCGACAAAAAGCAGGTTCAAAGACCTATGAAGGTCTTACATACCTTGAGTTGATTCTCGTCTACGTCTTGAGGCTGAGGGAAGGGTAAGCGCAGTTCGCGATGGTCGTAGAGGTGACTGCGGGGCGGCTTACTAGGTTGGAGATCATGATCTTGTGGTCGCCACCGGCGGGGGCGGTGGGAACAGCAGGAGCGGCCTTGACGGGCTGCTTGGACTGCTTGGTGGGCTTGGAGACACCGCCAACAGGAGCAGCAGCGCCGCCGGTGGAGCGACGGCCCGCGTTCGAACGACGGTTACCGCGGCCACCACGGCGTCCAGCGCGCTCGGTCTTGAGGATGTCGTCGAGCGACGTATTGAGCTTGTTCTCGGTGTTGGTAGACATGATGGTGGTGGTGATGAGTCGATGAATTTGTAGATGACGTTGGAAGTGGGTCGGTTGGTGGATTTTGATGGCGTGTTGGAAATGAGGCAGCAGAAAGAGAGAAAGGTGAGCAGAGAGAGGCAGGCAAGTAGGCAGGCAGAGAGTGTGGATGTGGGATTTGATGGCTTGTTTGATCGCAGCAGAGGGAAAGGAGGGGTGACTCTTGTGCGGTAGCTTTGTTGACGCGCGCGCGGCGGAAGCGTGTCGCGACTCAGTCTGAGAAGAGACTGAAGGGCAAAGTAGATTAAATGGTGTGTTCCCGCGAGGAAAGAAAAGAAGGCAGCCGGTGGAGCTGATGAAGCCGGTGGAGTGGTTGGTTGGTCGGTTGGCTGGGTGGTGGTGAGTGGGTTGTGGAATGAAGAAGAGAGGGAGGACGTGAGGAGGAGATGTCAGTCAGGTGAGTGAGGCAGGCAGAAGTGCGCAAAAGGAGAAGGCGCACCGGCCACCTCTTGCTCAGCCACAGTCATGCCGCAGACAGGGATGCTGACTAACCGACGCGGATGGCTTGGCAATGCTCATAGCTCCCCCGTCGCATGCATGCATCATCGCATCTCCGTTGGTGAGGCATCCAAGTCAATACATATCAATCAATCAGTCCCAGCTGCAAACACCACCGCATTTTGCTTTCCTCCAAAACCACGTACATGTCTGAATGATCCAATACTCGGTCATGGGCTGCCAAGATCATTAAAAATATCTACTTCGTCATGGCAGTCACTCCGGTACATCCCACCCGTCTTCTCACCTCCGCCCTCATTCACGTGCTCGCGACATCCACTCAAGCTACTGCTTCCCTCAACTGACACTCCCTCAGTGGCAATTCAAGTTTTTCGATGTCTCCGAAGTCAAACTTCCTCCCGATGAGAGCGCATTCCTCTCCGAGACAGGCAACGTGACCTCGGTCGTCTCCGGCTCCGAAAGCATCTTCTTTGGCACTGCTGATGGCTTCGTTCGCATTCTCTCGCCCGCCTTCAAGGTCGTGCGCTCCTTCCAGGCCCACGATGCCGGATCCATAACCCACATGAAGCAGGTCCAGGGCACCTCTCTTCTGGTGACCGTGGCCGAAGACCTCTCCAGCGAACCCGTACTCAAGGTGTGGGCGCTCGACAAGCTGGAAAAGAAGACGGGCATTCCCAGGTGTCAAAGCACCCTTACTATCCACAATGGCCGGAAGCAGTTTCCCATATCAGCCTTCGCTGCCCTCGATGATCTCTCTCAGTTAGCTGTCGGTTTCGCAAACGGAGCTGTCACTGTGGTGAGGGGGGATCTTATCCATGACCGCGGAGCCAGACAGCGGACCGTCTTCGAATCCGAAGAGCCCATCACCGGCATAGAATTCCGGGAGGGCAGCATCACCACTCTGTACATTGCTACCACAGGCCGCATCTTGACGCTGGTCATTTCGGGGAGGGGTCAGGGCCAGCCTGCGAAGTCGCTTGACGAATATGGTTGCGGGGTGGGATGCATGGCTGTGGACAAGGCGACCCGCGATGTCGTTGTTGGGAGAACAGACGCCATCTACTACTATGGACAGCACGGTCGAGGGCCGCCATATACATACGAGGGCGAGAAGAAGGTGGTCACCATGTTTAAAGACTATGTGGCCATTGTCGCACCCCCAAAATCCAATGTAATGCCTCGCACGAATCCTCTTCGCGCTTTTGGTATGGGCGCATCCGACGTGTTCAATACCTCTACCTTTACACTTCTCAATACCGAATTGCGTTTCATCGCGCATCAGGAGCAAATGTCGACCGAAGTCAAGGCCATTGTATCAGAGTGGGGAGATTTGTTCGTGCTGACTACCGACGGGAAGATCTTCCGGTATCACGAGAAGCCCTTTGCACAGAAGCTTGAGATTTTGTACCAACGCAATCTGCATGTGCTTGCCATAAACATGGCCCAAAAGGCTGGTCTAGACTCCTCGCAGCAGAACGTCATATTGCGAAAGTACGGCGACTACTTGTACCAAAAGCAAGATTACGACACTGCAATGCAGCAGTACTTGAAGGCTATTGACAGCACAGAGCCGTCTCAAGTGATAAGAAAGGTAAGTTTAGTTCTTCGCCATGCCGTATGTGTGCTCACGTTTGCATAGTTTCTCGATACGCAAAGGATCCACAACTTAATAGAGTACCTGGAAGAACTCCACGACCACCACAAAGCAACCTCAGACCATACCACTCTTCTTCTAAACTGCTATGCCAAACTCAAAGACGTAGCGAAATTAGAAGAGTTTATCAAGTCTGGTGACGACCTTAAATTCGATCTTGACACCGCCATCCTGATGTGCCGCCAAGGTGGTTACTTTGATCAAGCCGCATATCTGGCCCGGAAGCACGGCGAGCACGAACTTGTCGTGGATATACTCATTGAAGACTCGAAGCGTTATGCAGAGGCACTCGCTTACATGTGGAGACTGGAGCCCGAAACCGCCTTTTACAACCTCCTAAAGTATGCCACCGTACTCCTCGAGCAATGTCCAAAAGATACCACGCAATTCTTCATCGACTACTACACGGGCAACTTTAGACCGAAAAAAGACGCCATCGTGATACCGAATGCCCCTTCTCCCTCAGGCATGGGCTTGGGATTGGGCGTTGCGTCCAGCGCAGTACAGAACCTCGCCGCATTGCTGCCTCTCCCGTACATGAACACCAGCGCCGTCGCCACACCACCGGGAGGCGAATCCAAATCAACCATCAGTCAGGCGCAAATCGTTGAAACCAACACTGATGACCCTGCCCCCGAATACAAAATCCCCAAACCGCGCTCCGCCTTCTCCGCCTTCGTTGACCACGCCCCCGAATTCATCGTCTTCCTCGAAGCCTGCATCCGATCCTCCAACCTCCGCGAAGATGACAAAGTAGACCTCTACACCACCCTCTTCGAAATGTACCTTCACACGGCATCTCTCCAGAAATCCTCATCCGCCCGCGAAGAATGGGAAGCAAAAGCAAAATCACTCATCCAGTCGCCCAACAACAAACAACCAAACCCAATCGACACCTCCAACGTCCTCCTCCTCTCACACCTCTCCAACTTCCGCACAGGTACAATTCTAGTCCGCGAACAACAGGGTCTTCACTCGGACATCTTCCGCTCCTATACCTCGACAAATGACGTCCGCGGCGCCCTAAACGCCCTCCATAAGTACGGACCCCTCGACCCGTCCTTATATCCCGCCGCCCTAGCATACTTCACATCCTCCCCTTCAATCCTGCAAGAAGCAGGCCCCGAGAACCTCTCCGCCATCCTCGATAAAATCGATACCGACGGCCTCATGGCTCCACTGCAGGTCATCCAGACGCTGTCCGCGAACGGCGTTGCTACCATGGGCATGATCAAGAGTTATCTCGGAACCACCATTGCCAGAGAGCGAGACGAAATCAGCGCAAATCGCGCTACCATTGAAACACTCCGCCAGGACACGGAAACCAAGAAGGACAAGCTCAAAGATCTGCAGAACAAACCCGTCGTCTTCCAATCGTCCCGCTGCAAAGTCTGCGGCGAGTCGCTGGATCCGCCCATGTTGCATTTCCTCTGCGGGCACAGCTTCCATCGCCGCTGTCTTACCTCTTCTTCCTCTTCTTCTGGTTCTTTCGGCGTCGGAGGCGGCAGGGATGTCGAGGCTGATGAGAGCGTCGAGTGTGCGGTTTGCAGCGGGCAGAATCAGACTGTGAGGGCCATTCGCCGCGCGCAGGTCGAGAGCGCGGAGCGCCATGATTTGTTCAGGGAGCAGTTGGGCAGGGGCAAGGATGGGTTCGCCGTTGTTAGCGAGTGGTTTGGGAGAGGCGTTTTGGGGGGCGATGTTTGAAGTGCAGCGCAGCCTGGGATATATATCCCCTAGTAGATAGACAACACGAAGTTATCCACGCTTCTTTCTTCTTCTTTTTCCCCTGAATCGCAAATGGTTTTTTGTGACCTGTCAAAAACTTTTTTTTTTTTTTTTACAACTGTTTGTCTCCCATTTGATGTTTGATGTTGGTAATGTGACTGATCCTTTCTATTTCTTCTCCTTCTTCTTCGTCCTTCTTCAATCCTTTCCTTTGCGGCTTCCTATGTCATATAATATCGTCCCACGCCATGCCGTGCCATGCCATGCCAAACAACTCAGAAAAAAACAAACAAACAAAAAAAAACCCCCCTCCCCCCTCAAGCAAGAAACCCGCTGGTATCTCTCCTCCTCTCCTCTCCGTTTTCCTTCTCCCAACGTTCTGCGTGCTACATACATATCCTCATTCGCCCTTCACTGCCTCTTTTGTCCTTCTACCCAAGCCCAATCGCCCACACTCACAGAATCTCAAACTCGTAATACACAAACGCCGAATACTCCATCTCGCCGTGGCCCGCGGACTGCAAATCGTTTGCGGTGGCCATGTCGTCCTTTTGGATGCGGCCTTTTGCGTCGCGGCCAAAGGCGTTGCCGCCTAGGTACGAGTAGTTTGCGTCGAGGTTTTGTTTTGCTTTTTTTGCGAGTTTGGGGGTTGTCTGGTTGAGAGACAGGGGTTAGTCTTTGCTTTGGACAGTTTGGGGGGGGGGGGTTTGATAAGATTAGGGGGGAGTGGAGGAGAGGGGAGAGAGAGAGAGAGAGAGATGTACCTGGACCAGGCCGCAGACAAAATCCAACGGAAGACCATATCTGAGGACGGTCTCGACAAAGACGCGCAGGGCGAGGACATGGATCCAGATCATGGCGGTCTCGCTGTAGCCGGTCCTGCCGAGCCGCAGCGCCTCGTTCCACAGCTTCTGCGCGTCCTGCGCGAGCTGGTTTGCTTCCTTGGCTTCCTCTTCTTTGCCGCCCGGGCGGAACTTGTAGTCGCGCGGCGTCCATCGCTTCTCCCTGCACTTGTGGACGAATTCGGCGGCGTGCTTCTTGAAGGTGGCGACGGTGAAGAGGGTAAACTCGTCGTCGGCGGCGGCCTGGGCGGCGGAGCGCGGGACGACCATGGGCGCGAGGGCCTCGTAGGACTTGAGAAAGTCCTTGACCTGGGCGTTGGGCACGGCGATGAGGTGCGTGTCGAGGTACTCGGAGTCCTGGATGAGGAGTTTTGGGTCGACGATGGCGGTGAGGGATTTGGTGGAGAGGTTGCCTGTGCGGCGGCGCTCGGCGGCGACGAGGTTGGTTTTTGTTTGCGAGTATTGCTGGAACTTTGCCTTGACGTCGTTGTCGATGGCGCCGAGTTCCTTGTGCAGCGAGTCGATGATGTCGGCGATGGGCTTGTCGGCGCGGTACTTGATCTTGTTCCACTGGAAGGTGCGCAGGTATTGGTCCACGGGCTTGTCGTTGATGGTCTTGTGCTGCTGGGTGCGGTCCTCGTCGCCGTCCATGAGGGTTTTGAGGCTGTCGCCTACTTTGCCGACGACAGCTTCGCAGGCCGAGTCGAGCTTGGCCAGATCGTCGGCTTGCTGGACCAGGGCGTCGAGCGTGCCGATCTTGAAGTTGGGGATCGCGAACTGGTAGGTGGTGCCATTGTCGTTGGACACGGTGGAGCGGAGGGCTGTCAGGGCCTCGTCGGTGTGGCTGGAGGGGGAGATGGAGGTGGGCAGCGACACGAGGAGGTACTTTGTGCCTTTGGACATGGTGACGAGGGCCCCGGGGGAGTGTGGAGGCGGGATGCAGGGGAGGGGGAGGATTGTTGGTGTATATCGTCAGGTCAAGTCAAGTCGGGGTGAGTGGTGGTGGTGGTGGTGGTGGTAGTGGTGGGCTGTCGAGCTCCAGGCAAGCTTGGATCGGTCGGCGGTCGGAGCGCTGGACGTCATCCCCAGAGCTCACCTGCTATCATCCAGCCACACTTGGGATGATTCAGCCGTTGACCATTGGAAATATTGTTGTTGAAGCTGTACGGTATGTAGCTGACGGGGTCAACGGTGACAGACGTCATGTGACTGGGTATTCACTGGAGCCGAAGCCGGAAAAGGGCACAGCAGCAATGAGGCAAGGCCGGCGGGAAAGTACTGGCGAATCGGGCAATGCGTGCCTGATAAGATATGCAGACAGACAGACACCGCCGTTATCCGCCCATCCATCTCACCTCCAATTCACTCTCTCTTTCCCTTCCCTTCTCTCCAAAATCACCCGCAATCCCAACCATGGCCTCCAAGAAATTGGCCTCCACGGGCTGGAGAGCATGCTCATCAGCATTGCGGCAAACACCGTCGTCCGCTCGACCTCTCCCCCGCCTCAATCGATGCTTCTCGGTCCAAGCGTCGCGACCCCGCAAGCTTGCTTCCTCCACAAACAACTCCACCAAATGTCCCTCGTCGCCTTGCAGCAACGTCCGATTTGCTTCCACCGAGGCGGCCGAGGATCAATTGGGCAGGACGGGTCTCTATGAGCTCCATTCCAAACATGGCGCCAAGTTTGTGCCCTTTGGAGGCTATTCCATGCCCGTGCAGTACAGCGACCTGGGCATAGTCGAGTCCCACCACTGGACCAGAGAAAAGGCGAGCTTGTTCGATGTCGGTCACATGTGCGTCTCGTCTTTTCTATTCTCTCGCTGGATTGATCCGTTGGATAGCTTGCTAAAATACCAACCAACAGGGTGCAGCACCACTTCTCCGGCCCCGGCGCCCAGGCCTTCCTCGAGCGCATCACTCCATCCTCCCTGTCCGCCCTCAAAGAGTACACCTCCACTCTCTCCACCCTCCTCCACCGCGAAACCGGTGGCATTGTTGACGACACCGTCATTGCCCGTGTCCCAGGCAAATTCTACGTCGTCACCAACGCCGGCTGCCGCGAAAAGGACACCGCATATCTGACCGAAGAGCTCGAGCACTGGAAGAACGACTTCCCCGACAGCCCCGTCGAATGGAACATCCTCGATGGGCAGGGTCTCGTCGCTCTGCAGGGGCCTCTGTCCGCCGAGATCCTCGCTCGCATTCTGGAAGATAAATCAGTGGACAATCTCAAGTCGCTGTATTTTGGTCAGTCCATGCCAGCAACAATCAAAGGCACCGACGCCGAAATCCTCGTCAGTCGCGCTGGCTATACGGGAGAGGACGGTTTCGAGATCAGCATTCCGTCCTATGCTACCGAAGCCGTGACTCAATTTCTTCTCGATTCGGCCAAGGAAGACCTCCGACTTGCAGGACTGGGTGCCCGCGATACCCTGCGTCTAGAAGCGGGCATGTGTCTGTATGGTCACGACTTGGATGACACCACAACCCCTGTCGAAGGTGCGCTTTCGTGGATTATTGGTAAAGACCGCCGCGCCAATGGGGGCTTCCACGGCGACTCTGTTATCTTGCAGCAACTGAAGAAGAAGTCCGAGGGCGGTGGCGTAAGCAGGAGGCGCATAGGACTCATTGTCGAGGGCTCACCCGCAAGAGAGGGAGCCGAGATTGTGGATGAAAGCGGAGAGAAGATCGGTGTCATTACTTCTGGCTGCCCAAGCCCCACGTTGAAGAAGAACATTTCGATGGGGTACATCAAGGACGGCTTGCACAAGAGCGGGACCGAGGTCTATGTAGTGGTTAGAGGGAAGAAGAGAAAGGCGGTGGTTTCCAAGATGCCGTTTGTGCCCAGCAAATACGTCAAGGAGCCCACAACCAAATAGTATGGGAGTTTGTTGGCGGGGCGTTCATGTGTTCAGCGATCTGTTCTTCCCCTTTTTTTCTCTCTCTATTCTGGCATACTCTTTTCCTTTTTTGTACAGCGACCATTTCAACAAAAAACCACCATAGCCATCAATTCAACGGGCATCATCTACCATTCGCTGTTTGGGGTCTGCCGTGACGGCAGTATCAATACGATTTCAGGATGGATGATGATTTGCGGCTTGAAACTATACTCGTCGGCATCTAATCGCCAAATTCGAATGTGAAGTCTCGCACTTGGAAAGTGACAGCAGTTGGCTGATATGGGCTGGCCCGTGCACCAGAATGCGGGCCTCCGTCATTGCGTTTGGGGGGGTAATTCGACCGGATTCCGTCCAGCCCATGATCAACACCATCCATCCATCCATCCATACCTACTCGAGTACACATAAACAACGACAACATCCACAGCACAGTGAAGCAATTCACACAAAATGCATACCCCCCCACGATTATGGCCCTGAAAACTCGAGATGTAGCTCTCGCCGCCGTCGCCGCCTTCATCGCCTGGGGCTATCTGACCCACTGGCAACCCAGCCTGCGCTTCCTCCCTTATGCCTTCTTCGCCGGCGTTATCGCCATCCTCGCCCTGCAAGCCTGGCTGACCTTCACCAACGCCTGGAGCCAGCAGCTGCGGATCCCCGCGAGAAATACGTACGGTCCCAAACATGCCGCGTTTCTGGCCCCCGAAAAATGGCGGGCGGAGCGGGATGCCCTCACCAAGAGGAGCATGTACATGATGGAGCCTCTATACCCCGCCTCGTTCCTCGTGTCCGACAGCATCGACGTGTTCCTGGGCCTGATCCTGCGCGACTTCGTCAAGAGCTGGTATGGCAATATCAGCAAGAGCCCGACCTTTGTCAACGAAGTCGACCGCGCGGTGAGGGCTGCCATGGGCGAGCTGAGTAACCGCATTCTGGCCGTCGACATGGTGGAGACGGTGGTGTCGCGCCTCATCCCCATCATTACGGAGCACCTGCGCGCCGCGTACGAGGCCGAGCGCGTGGTGCGCGGAAAGAAGCTGTCGCGCAACATGACCGAGTCGGAAGAGTTGGATCTGGCCATTGCCGCAAAGTACAATGGCGGGCGTTTGCACCCTGCTGCGTCCCTGGCTTATTCCAACACCAAGCTCATACAGCAGCAGCATCTTCGCGGCATTGTATCCAAACTATTGCCGAGCATCATGCCCAGCAACATGATCACCAGTCCGGCTGTAAACGTTTTGATCAAGGAGATTGTCGCGTGCGCCGTGCTGTCGCCAATCATGGGCATGCTGGCCGATGCTGACACCTGGAACCAACTCATGGAAGGGTACGGCCGCTCGTTGATTCAGGAGCGCAAAACGGTGCGTAAACTGCGCGCTGAGCTGGACAAGCATGCGCCTCCCTCGCCCAAAACGCCCAAGAATGTCCAGTTCCCCAAACTGTCTCCCGGTGACAACGAACGCAAGTTTGAGAGGTTCATTCGAGCCATCAAGCAGACCAACACCCTCGCAGATGCCCGCCGTTTTCGAAGTGAGATATCCGGCCAGCTACGCAAGGACTCGATGGTCGAGGGTCAGGATCCCGTGCACCTGCGCCGCCTGGAAACGGCGAGGCGGATTTTGGATCAGAAGATTGCCAATTTGAGCGCTGGGGGATCTGTCCGGAACAAAGTGGTGGCAAAAGAGAAAATGAAGCATAGGCGGACGACGTCAAGGTTCGAAAACGCGTCTCTTCGTGATGTTCTGTATGATTCCGCCGGCCTATCGTGCTTCATGGAGTTTATGGATCAAGTCAATCTCATGCGTTTGGTTCAGTTCTGGATAGTGGTAGATGGGTTCCGCAACCCTCTAGAACAGGATACGGATGAACCTGTTGAAGACGCGAGCACATTTCGTCCTTGGACCGACTCAGATCGAGCCGACATGGCTCAAATAAATGAAGCATATTTATCCAAGCTAGAACTAAACATTCTTCCAGACGCGCGCAAAGCCGTTGGCGAATTTCTCAAAGCTGGGAGAAGCGCAACACCCCAGCAATACTACACCGCGCGCCGTCTAGTAATGCAAGCCCAGACTGCCGCATACGACCAGATGCAGGAACCTCATTTCCGACGCTTCAAGAGATCGAATCTGTATTACAAGTGGTTGGCTATGGACGAAGCTGCCAGCGCAGACAAGTCGCCCATCAGTACAAAAATCATCACTCAAACGTTGGACCCTGCATTGGCGGCCCCAAAAAGGCTCCCCCGATCACAATCTGCGCAAAAACAGACCCTTCATCCACCTGATCTGCGACGAGCGGCCGTGTCATCGTCTGATCTCAGTAGTCTCAGCAAAGCGAAAGACCTTGACCCTCCGCCCCGGCGATCCTTGGACACTGGCAATACGACGACAAGAGCCCCTTTGTTCGACGATGGCTACGACAGTGATCCCCTGGCACATTCAGTCATGAGCTTAGACTCAGATGCGGGTTTTGGGCGGCAGAATGACAATTCCGGTGTAGTCGATGCCATGTCCGCGGCATTGAACGATATCATGGGTGATGAACCCGAGGGCTCGCTGTTTCATGAATCATTACAGTCGCCAGTGGAGACGAGTTCATTGAAAGGATCTATTGATATCGTCAGAGCCGCGTCTCCCGATTCCATGAACATGCAGAAGAAGAGTAAACTCAGTATAGCATCGCTCGGTCTTGTAGGAGAGCCCCGTACTCGTGGAGTCTTCAATGACGATCTGTTCGGCGACGAAGAAAAGTTTCTCGAGGACGAGATCGAGGAGACCGGGGCTTCGGATAAAGCCGAAGATGAGATTCACGAGGCAGCACCTGGTGATCTGGGCTTAGCAGAGGCTATCGATGCATTGACTTCGGATATCGAACGCCTAGTTACGCAGGAGTCCATTGTGGATTCTTTGACCTCTAAAGCGGAACTCACAAACAATGCTGCAGAGCTGCGGATATTACGAAAATCCAAGTCGAGCCTGCAACGCGAGATTCAACGGAAGGAACTACAACGTCAGCAGTACATCGTACAGGAGAGCGACAACAGTTTGTACGGTCGCGCAACGGTGTTCATCCAGTCTTATATGGTGGGCCATGATGAGGACGGGAAAGAGTTCGCATTGTGTAGGTGTCTCATCCACCAACTGTCTGGATAAGTCTGACAAATACAGATGTGATTGAGGTTCGTCGTCGTGCGGGAGACCAAATGCCCGCTGCCACTTGGGCAGTCTCCAGACGTTATAGCGAATTCCACGATCTGAACAAACGCCTCCGCACCAAATTTCCCGAAGTTCGTAATCTCGAACTTCCACGCCGACAGATGATTCCAAAGCTACAGAAAGACTTTCTCCATAAGCGAAGACTGGGCTTGGAGAAGTATCTCAGGGTAAGTTCTTGCTAGCACTATTTGGATCTAAGCTAACACACCCAGGATCTCCTTACCATACCCGCCGTCTGTCGTAGTCGAGAATTCCGTGCTTTCCTCTCCCAAGCCGCCATATCCTCTGCTGACCCTTCAGCAAATCAAACCGTCCCGAACGACTTCGTGTCGCGCATCTACAGCTCCGTCGCCGACGGCATGGAAGACTTCTTAGGCAACATCCCTGTTCTCGATCAACTCTCTGTCGCCGGTCAAAACCTCATCTCAGCAGCAACGACCCAGCTCGCCTCCGCAAACGGCGGCGCCCCCCCTCCCCTTCCTCCTGGCAGTACAGCATCATCAACCTACCAACCAACTAATCTCCTCATACCTCCAGACACAGATGCCGCCGAAGCCGAAGCCGAGCTCCTTGCCTTCGAAAATAAAGAGCTCGAACCCTTTGTCAAACCCATCTGCGATATCTTCCTCGAAACATTTGAACTCAACCGCGAAAACAACTGGCTCCGCGGCCGCGCCGTCGTCGTCGTTCTCCATCAGCTTCTAGGCGGTACTATTGAACGCAAGATCCGGGATTCCTTTTCGTCGCTCGTCGCGGAGCATAATCTCGCTAATTACATCGACGCGCTCAAGGCGAATATGTGGCCGAACGGGCAGATGAAGAAGGCGGGTGTTGAGCGTACTCCTGCGGATCGCGCGAAGAGTCGGAAGGAAGCCGGTGAAGTGCTAAAGACGCTGTTACCGGAGGTTGTGGGGAGTGTCGTGGGCAGAGCGAATGCGGGAATGGCGGCCAAGCGGTTAGAAGGGACGGTCAACAACCAGAGGCTGAAGTAAGTCCCCTTCATCTTCCTCCCTCCTTTTTTCCTTTTTTTTTTTCCTGGTTTCCTTTCTTCGTTGTATGAGAAATGGAAGATCGCTGACTCCCTTCCCTTTTCTTTTGCTACAGTACGCATCTTGCCTTCACCCTCCTCGACGAACTCGTGCAGATTCTCTTCCCGGATGTAATTGGTGTGGGGCTTGGGGCTGCTGCTTTGGCTACGTCTTCTTCTTCTTCTACTGCTACTGCTGCTGCTGCTGGGTTAGCGCATGCTTCTTCGACGGCCCTGTGAAGTCTTGAACTACTATTAGCTCGGGCGGTGTGGTGAAGGGGAAACTGCTCCACCTGCCTTTTCACTTCTTTATATATATATATATACTTATATCCATATTGTTCTCCTACTTTGAGCTTGTTTTTGTCTTGCTACCTGACGGTGGGTGGTTTGGGCGTGAATGAGGTGAGATTTCTTTTTCTTTCCAGATAACATTGCTGAATGGTTCCGTGATCGGTTGATCCTTATTAAGGGTGCTTATGTGTAGCATCTCAAAACAGGGTATTCGTGCATTTGGAGCCGGGCAACAGGAAACGTACTGGCATATCAGCCGTGGGCAAATGATGTAGGCTTTCCTAGGTATCAGACTGTTTCGATTTGTTACTTGAAAGCACTGAAAGAATGCAATGTTCCAAGGAAATATGAAAGCCCAATCAACTCAGGACCTGGTTGATTCCGTCGAATATATGCTGACTGTCTTAGCATTCAAGACAATCCTCACCACTATTGGTGGTTATTCACGATTCATCTTCTCAACCAAGATTCATCCCATCACCTCCGATTCTCGAATCAAACAACGTCCTTAATATCGTCGTCCTGAGTACTTAATCTTACCGACGTCATAACATCAACAACAAAAGCCGGCTTGGCGAACTCAAAAGGTACCCACACCGGCAACAACACTGGTTAATCTCAAGCACTTCGCAGCAACGATCAACATCGTCTCTAAATTCCCCCGCATTGGACTAAGCCACTTCAGATTCTCGAGATCTCTTGGCTCTGTATATCCCTGTCGACACTCCTGGTGGTTGCTATAGTACGATTGGCTGCTTGCGCCCAGCTGGTCAACGTTCGACTAGACGAAGGCGTCATTACATGTCATTGATGATTAAAACGACCGGAGGGGCGTTGGGATGCTGGATAATAGCGTTCCATAGAAGCTTTTTTTTTCCGGATTCTTAATTCCCTTGGGTACATGTAGGTAGATCGACACTCGGATACAAATATCAAAGCCTCGTATAGTCCCTCCTCTCCTCTCCCTTTCTCCCTTTCTCCCTCTCTCCCTCGAGCATCCAAGCCCATTACCCATCACCCCCCACACCAAAATAAACCATGATCCACCCAACCTCTCTCTTCCTTCTAACCGTCCTCGGCGCTCTCCCCCACCCCTCCACCACCGCCTTAGCCCAGAACATCTCCATCCCCTCCGCCCTAACCATCCGCACCACCAGCGGCATCTACACAGGCCTCATCGACCCCTCAGTGCCCGACGTAAAACAATGGCTAGGCATCCGCTACGGCCAGCCCCCGCTCGGCACCAAACGCTTCCTCCCGCCCTCCCCCGCCGTCGACCCCGACACGCATTACTACGCACGCCAGTACCAACCGATTTGCTTCCAACAGAGCGGGAGCCACACGGGCTTGTTCTGGGAGCTTGTTCCCGAGTTCCAGAACCAGGATCCACAGGGGGAGGATTGCTTGTTTTTGAATGTCTGGGCGCCGGATGTTAAGGGAGTAGGGGGGAAGGAGGGGAAGGAGGGAAGGGATGGCTTGCTTCCGGTGCTGATTTGGGCTTGTGGTGGTGGGTTGCAGGAAGGGGGTGGGCATGCGCCGTATCAGGTTCCGGATCGGTGGGTGCAGAGGACGAAGACGCATGTTGTTATTACTTTCAAGTGAGTTTTTGGCTCTGCAATCTTTCGGCTTCTTGTTTTCTTGAGAAGGGGGGAAGGAGATGGGGGATATGGAAAGATGGGGATCAATAGCTAACGGATTGGGAACAGTTACCGACTCAATGTCTTCGGGTTCCCCGGTGCCAGAGGCGCGCCTGAGAATGCGGGATTCCACGACGCGAGGATGGTGTAAGTCCAACGATGATCCTTCCCTCCACCCAGCTCCCGAAACAACAGCTAACCACGAGCACAGCGTCGAATGGGCGAAAGCGAACGCGGCCAGTTTCGGGTAAGATGGTTCTTTTTGAACAGACGGTCCCCGTCTCACCGCCACGACTAACAACCCACAAAAAAGAGGTGACCCAGAGCGCATCGTGATATGGGGACAATCAGCCGGCGCCGGCCTCGTCGGCGCATACCTCTACGCCAACGGCGAAGACCCCATCATCAGCGGCGCAATCGCAATGTCCGGCGCCGCCAACGCCGGCGCACAAGGAGCTACAAACGCCTTCTCGCAGCTCGCGAGCGCAGTCGACTGCGGCGGTCTCGACGCCGACGAAGAATTATCCTGCGTTCAAAACGTCCCCGCGCTGCGGATCCAAGATATTGTGCAATCCAGCACCCTCCCCGGGACTAACACTTCAGTGCCTAGGTTCGGCGCCGTGGTGGATAATGTGACCGTGTTTGCCAACAACACGGAGAGGTTGGAGAAGAACCTCACAGCGAACGTGGTACGTTTGCTGTCAAAACTCTCTTTATCAATTCCTGGGGGGAAAACAATAAAAGGGGAAAGATGCTAATGGAGACGTTGTGATACTAGCCATTGATAACCGGATACACGACGAACGAAAACGCGGCGTTTGGAGGATACACGGGGAAGAACCAGACGGCGCCTCCGCCCGTCATGGGCGGGCCTGGCTTCAGTCTTGGCTGCTCCGTGAAGTCGGAAATCGAGTATGTTTTCCCTCTCTCTCTCTCTATCCCTCCCTCCCACTCAATCACCAAACAAAAATACAATTATATCTATCATGGCTAGTTAACCCAGAGGGATTGTAACATCGCAACAGAACCCGTCTACACTACAACCTCCCTACATACCGCTACCTCTTCGCGGGAAACTTCTCAAACATCACTCCAAGATACTGGCTCGGCGCCATGCACAGCTGTACGTTCCCCATCCTCCCCCTCTCTCCTCCACCATCCTCCCCACCTACTTTCCCCTTAACCCCCCTTCCCTTCCCTTCCACAAACTAACTCTATACCTCCACCTCCCCTTCTTTAGCCGACCTCCCAATCGTCTTCGGAACCCACAACCAATTCCGCGGAAACTCGACCGACCTCGAATGGGCGACTAGCTACGCTATGCAAGGTTCGTTCGCCCCCTTCCCTTCTCCTTCCCCTTCCCTTCTCCTTCCCTTCCCTTTTTTTCCCCTCCATCCAACTAACCTCGCGATATTTTCCCTCAGATTTCTGGGGAAGTTTCGTAGTCAACGCAATGATGGATCCAACGGATAGCAAGGGCGTTGAATGGCCCCAATACGCTGAGACGGGGGATACGATGGTTGTGTTTGGTGGGAATGGGTCGGAGGCGGTGCGGTTGAGGCCCGGGACGTATGCGGATGGGTTTGCGGAGTGTTGAGGAACGCTTTTTTGGGTGTATTTAGGGAGGTAAGGGCGGGAGATGGTTGTTTCTTTCGTTTTGGTTTAGGGAAGGAAGAGAAAAAGAGGGGAAGAGTGAGCGAGGTATTCAAATGCCCCCCTAGTTTTCTTTTTTATGGAGGGTTTCTAGATATCCTCTAGTAGTTCTCAACACCTTATTTTGGAAGTTGTATTTTGTTGTGTATATAACGAATATTCTGATGTTTTCATGCAACGGAGATGGTTATAAATTACAAAGTTATAGTGATTAGGGTTTTGCTCAATCTATATATTGCTATCTTGTAAGATGACGTGGTAGTTTTATAATACTAAGTGTTTGTGCCGCGTAGAATCTGCGACGATGGAATAGTAGACTTAGTGTGATACAAGGAAAATGCTTGACAGCATCTCTGTAACTTCTGAAGGAAATAGTGTGTCTTGAGGGAATTGTGTTGATTACTCAGGTGATTGGAATGCAGAAGACAAAGGATGCTACGGAATATTCTTTTGTTTCTCTTCGTTTCATCTCACGTTCTTCTGAAGTCTACTCAGGACGTGAGTGAAACATGGCATTTCTATACGGCATAAACACTTGATATTAAAAATCACACGATAACACTGCCTTGGAACAACACATGTTCCGTGGTTATCACGAAACTGATGAGTAATGAACACTTTGAAGTTACGCTGTTTTCCTGCCCCGACTTCCTGTCGCACCCGCTGAATTCCTCGACCGTTTCGAAGTGCGCGATCCCGACCCTCCCTCACCACCCTGCCCACCCTCATCCAAATCGTCGGACGCTCGTTTCAAAGGCCCCGGCACTCCAATCCGCCAATACCCATTGTCCCAAATCATCTTCTCCCGATCCTCCACCTCACCCAACGCCTTATGCACCAGCGATCCGTTCTTCTTCTGCCACCTCTCAATCCCTTTCTTAGCTCTATGCAGCAACTCCCACAGGCGCGGGCGATCCTGCGACTCACGCCGCAAGCATTCCCACACTAGATCCACCAGCTGGCTGCTATACACGTTTTCGTAGCGATCTGAGAAAGCCTCCAACGTAGGATGACCCGACATCCAGTGATCCATGTCGGGGAAGTAGAGATCTCTCCCTTCCATGAGATTCAGCGCCACGAGACCAATGCTCGCAATAGAAGTCGCCACCGTAATCGGATTCCGCTTGTTGAACGCTTCATCGACCGGATTCCCGGCTAGCTCTGGCGGCCTCCATCCCGGTGTCCCCGGCGCTTTGCGTTGCATGCGCGCACGCCAACTCAGGCTTTTGTCGTCGAGCGCGTAGCATAGCCCAAAGTCGATCATTTTGATCGACTTGAATGCTGGGTACTGCGCTAGTTCTTTCCCGAGGCAGATGTTGCTTGTTTTGATGTCGACGTTGACGAGGGGGGTCCATTCGTCTGCGGGCGCTGCGCCCGGTATGTCTTCGTTTGCGGTGCCGGGGTCGTAGGTGTCGTCTTCGGGTTCTGTCGGGGCGATTGCGCGGCTCGCGTGCAGGAGCAGGACCGCTTCGGCCATGGAGCGGATTGTGAGCCAGATGAAGAATTCGGGGTGTTGTTTGTCTCTGTGGGCGGGATGGTTAGTTGGTGGGGTTGTGGTTGGGGATGGGGCACCTTACTCTAGGTTTGTGTTCACCAAGTATGACATGTCGCCGTACGGGCAGAATTCCAAGTACCCATACGTCTGGATCATGGTGTTAGTGAAGGTTATTTCGTGCAGTTGCGTATGCTGGTGGACAATATGATTTATGTACGCATTTGGGATCGGATGATACATACCAGCCATATTTCCTGGCCCGGCTTTTCTCTTTTTCGTACAGACCATCCGTAGGAGTCTGCGATGCATTTTGTTTGATTCCCCGTGTTTCCAGTGTTCTTCAAGATTTCTAGCAACTTCATATGCAGTCCGAATTCCGATTCACCAATTTCATAGATCTGTTCCGGGTGCCCTGGCAAGATCTTAATCACCATCTCCTATTCCAACATCGTCAGCGTTATGCACTCTATCAAGATCGGAGCGGGGTAAGAAAGAAAAAACATCTCACATCGAGAACCGTATTATCGTCGTCGATGCACTGAAACAGATAAAGCACGCGAGTGTTGAGGTCCTCTCCTTGCTGCGCAATCGTACACACGTATTCCCATCTATCGAGATCCCCAGACCTGTTCATCATGGAGACGAGCTGTTCCAAGAAATGTGCCGTGTCGGCAGCCGTTGGCTCCATGGTACGTGGAACATGACCGTGGTGAGCTTTCTTGTCCATGTGTTCGCCATCTCGCGAGATATCGCTCCATCTAGCTTCCTTGCGTCTCCGGGCAAAATCTTTCCCGATATGAATCAACTCATCACGCTGGGGACCGTCGAAAGCTTGGAGGACCTTGTCTGCGCACGGTTAGTAGCGTGTTCAAAGGCATTCTCTTTCATTCTAGACGCCATGACCAAAACTGACCTGCGTCCCATTGAGGATACCGAATCGTAGCGCCCCAAATAAAAAAAGTGAGTTCTTTCTTCTCCGCAGCTCCTTTCCCATCTCTACCATCATACCCAGCGAGCGCCTCTTTATAAACTTCCACAGTATCGATAACCTCGAAGTTTGCATCTGCCAGTCTCGGGTCCGGGTTATCGGTAGCAACATCAGTCATCTCGATTATACCGTTCCCGATTTCGTACGCGATACGAATCTCGAGTGGATCTACAGTGTCGATGTTGTGCATCAACTTGTGCCCAATGCAATAGAGGCGCCACTCTTTAACCTTCCATGATGGGAGTTCTTGCTCGTATTTGTCTTCTTCCTCGGTGCCGTCGTAGTGTCTTTCTAGAGAGAACCATCTTTGGTCGGGGTCTGGGCCGGTGTAGAGGACCATGATGATTTTCTACTATGGGGGTACGTCGTGCGATCTCGGGAGGAAATAATGGAGCTGAAGCAAATAGATGTTTCAGATGGGCGGGAGGGCTTTTTTGTTTTCCTGGGTGACTGTGATGTGTCATGCACATGTTGGGGTTGGGTCATTGTTCATACGTCCTTGGAATTCTTTGTTTGGCCGTTTCCGGCCATCACCTACGATTAATCCCGTAAATTTTGATGGATTGCATTCATTTATCCAATATACTTCTATTCATTCATATTGTATTGAATATAGAGTGGTTTCCGTGCCGTACAGGGTGTTTGTTGCCCGCGAAACTGTCGCATTCAGCATGCGCAGCCATGACATTCAAAACTACAGTGTTATTCTTTTATTAGCTATTAGAATAAGGAAGCAATATTTTATTTTATTTTATTTTCTCTCTTGACTTTTTGGATTACTGACTTTCTGATAATTATTATAGCAATCTTTAATTATCTTTCTATAACTACCTACTTTTTATACTACTTTTTTACAAGCCTTTTTAAGCTTGTTGTTCTCTACGTAAGCATACCTAACTAATATCTGCATCCTTTCTAGCTACACATTCTGATCTATATATAAACTATTGTGGATTAGCAAGCACATTAACAGTAAGCTTTAATCCTATCGATAGAAAAGAGTGTAGAGTAAGGATGAGGAAAAAGAGCGGGCGAGGGTTTGTTCCACCGAGCATGCGATTCGGTTGGTAGACTGCAGGAGCTGATTCAGCGCTCAACCTTGGCGCCGTCCTCGCGCGTCAAAGTACGAAACATCCTCTTTTCGTGGAATTCGCCATTAATAGTATCTAGGTCACAGCCTTCTCTAAAATTATCGCCTTTAATGCTATCGCTACGCTCTCCCTCTTTCTTGGCTATTTGCTCTTGCAGAAGTTGGACGTGTGTAAATCTCGTTACACCGCGACTCACAAACTGTAAACTGGCTTTACCTAGAATCCCAACCATTGTCCCGAACAAGCTTCATCGCAATAAAATCACAATGTCATCTGCCCTGGTAGACTCCAAGGGCTACATTGGTCAGTCTGGTCGACATTATAGCATCGAACGGGTGCTTCAAGAACAAACATCTCCATTACGCCGGGTTTACTTTGCTACGCAAGTGAACCTAATCACGTATCGCTTTGATTGACCTGCTTACTGTTTCTTCAGTGCCAACAACCAAATTTTTATACTGAAGTATGTTCCCGAGATGAGTTTCAAGGACCTTCAAGATATAAACAATAGGCTACGCGGTGGCACTAACCATCTCCGCCTTGTTAATGACACCATCCTCAAGAACTCCATGTTCGTTTTCGAGTACTTCACCGATCATCTCCTCCGCCTCGTTCAGAAGGACTTGCCCCTCGCAGTGACAAAACAGATCCTGAAAGAGGCCCTTCGTGGAATCACGGAGCTCCATGATCATGATATTATCCATACGGGTAACTGCCATCCTTCCATGGAGCAATGCGTAGTGACTTATTAGAGACAGATATTAAGCCAGACAATGTTTTGATCGACTGGGAAGAGCGTCAGGATGGAATATTTATCGAGCGAGTCCAGCTTGGCGATCTTGAAGATGCCGCACATATCCCTCCTGGATCACATATTATTGGAAAACAGGCAGGTAACTGGATGTGGAGGAGTCCTGAAGCACACGCCCGAGGACCGGTGGATAAGCCGTCTGATATCTTCTCTTTCGCCCTTGTTGTAAGTTTCGCGCATACTGAATCTTGGATTTCGAGATTGTTTCTCACCTTTTTTTTTACATGCAGTGCATTTACGCGGTGCATAAACGAGTCATCTTTGCCGTTGAGGAAGAGGAGCTGGACGAGGGCGTAGACCCCTTGGCCATCGTAATTGAGCGTCAAATCTCATATTTTGCAGATGAGGACGGATTGAGTGGGTTTCTGACAAATCTCGGCGAGAATCCTTGGGTTCCCATCTTTGAAGTAACTCGGGATGATTTCAATCAAGACAACCCACGCAGACCATTCTCCCTTTGGGAGGGTGTCGACGAAGATTTCAAAAACCTTATTTGTGCCATGACGAACTTTGATTCGGGGAAGAGAATCACGGCACGTGAGGCATTGGCACATAAGCGGTTTGAAGATGCTTAAGACAGCTAGATACCCAATATTAGACCGCAGAAGGCGAGGGAAGCAGAACTACGTGGCTTGGTTTTATTATATCCAATATAGCGCCTTCGACTGCTGTATTAGACGGCAATAAAGTACTTTGATTGAGGCGAAGAGGTCCAGCCTGTACTGGGACCCGAATTATCGCCCATCTCCTTTGATGTTGGTGTCTACAAGCCGTACGAACACTCCCTTGCGTCGAGAGTATCTCGAACCTCGCAACGTCATGAAAAGCCTCGATTCATAGAATCATAGTTTTGAGACGTTACTGTATCGTATTGCATCGCCCATCTGATGGCCTTCGAGGCTTGCTGTCATCGAGATGGCCATCCGCTTCTGCGCTCATGTCATTATAATCTGACATTCATCTGTCCCAGTATCAGGCATATGCTCGACCCGACTTGACAGTCCGCCTTCCACGCGCAGTCTATTTGAGCTGCTCATCGTCTGGAAAGTCATCCGCATCTCTTTCTTCTTTCCAACACTGCTCCCAGTGACTAAGCCTTGCTGAAGGACGTGGCCTGGTAAGTTTAGCCCCGTGAAACTCCCGGCGTCGGCGTGAGCTATTTTCGAAATTAGATGCGTTGTAATATCGAAAAATTCACTCCATATATTAGTTTGGAAGTTATAAATATTTCAATGTAAAAAAGCAAGCATTGTGTAAGCGCAATTTCTCTATAGGTTTGGATCACCTATAATTTCATTAATCACTCTAGAAACTTTCTCCACCTTTGGTATTCATCCCAGTTCCAGGATTATAGCGACCCATGTTCGGCTGCCTTGTATCTGTGGAGCCGCCCAGCGGCAGCCAAAGACCCCCAAGACGCTATTCCATATCAAGACTGGGGAACGCTGTGTTTGCCTAGATGAGCATGGTAACATCCCCTACGATTAAGTTTTATTTATTCTGCCTTTCTCTCTCCCTTCTCACCGAGAGAACCCACATTGCAGAACTGGAGGTTCATTATTATCATGTTTACTATCACGTCTCTACCGGTCGAAGTTCTCACTCGGATCGTCAGCTATAGTCCCACTAAACATGACTTAGCTAGTCTTCGATTGACCAGCCGACTCTTCAACGACATAGCGGTCAAACAACTCTTCTCTACTACTACCCTGTATGCACATTATGAAGACTCAGACTCGAACGATTCGGACTTGGATTCTTCAGAATGTGATGTGTATGACGCGCAGACATTCAAGAATGCCATAGATGACAACGAACTGCGCAAGCACATCCGGAAAGTAGATGTATATACATGCGAGACACACTGTGTAAGTTATCGTGGTTGTTTGATTGGAATTTTATTAATAGGTGTAGGACCATCATCCTAATGATGCGGGTCACGTGGACTTCCCCCCACTGCCTTGGCCCAGATACCACGAAAGATGGTGGGACTGCGTCCGTTTTCTTAAAAACTTACCGTTCTTGACAACATTTAATTTGCACTTCGATCGCCACTCTGGCGAGTCGGACTTCTTCGAGCGGGATATTCTACATGAACCTAAAGACCGCTTGGAGATTACTGACCAAGTACTTTCATGTCTGCTAGGTAGTGAGCCCTCACGAATCACTCATCTTGGTATTAGACATTATCAAGACAACGGAAAAGCGGATAATGATCATGTGGAGCGACAAGAATTATTGAAGACGCTTTCTTCGCTCAGAATGACTATATCAAACGGCGAAACTAGGGATTCGCTGGGAAAACATCTCCGGGTAAGCTAGCACTCCGGAGCAATTCATCGAAGTCCCTTCAGCTCATGGTACTACAGGCAGGGGACCCCCATACCTTTTGGGGAAAATTTCCGCAAACCTTTCTCAAGCCAGCTATGGGAAACCTTCAACGATTGGTGCTCTATTCAGATATTCTTTTCGGCTTCTTCCCCAGGCTCGACCTCCGAGATGTACACTTTCCCAACCTGAAATCGTTGTGCTTTGGGTATTATGTATTCGCGCAGGACTCGCAATTTGACTGGATTACGTCTCATGCTGCCACTCTCCAGGAGCTCTACATGGACGATTGTTCTATATTGTATTCAATTGCCCATACGATCCCTGGATGGCTGGGCGAAGACGGATTCCCACTTGAGCATCCTCCAAACACGAGCGAATGTTACGGAAGATCATTCACTCCATGGGAAGAAGAAGATCTAAACGACGAAGTGGATGAGAAACTCAAGCTGGTAAATTATCCCACCCGGTGGTTTGACATATTCTCTCGTTTCCAGAAGGAATTGCCTCGCCTCCGCAGATTTGCATTCGGAAAATCGAAACAATGGTTCCACGACACAACAAGTAGATATGGTTATGTAGGCGGACCTCCGCATGTGCCCTGGGAAGCAGAAAACGATCTTGAGAATGAGATTCTTCGAGACAGATACGCGGTTTACTGCGACTGGGAATGCAGTTATTCGGAAGCCTGGGACATGAACGATGATGATGAATGGAAAAAGAAATGTCCGGCTGAATGGAGATCTTGGTTTGAGAATTTTCCTGCTTGCGACGAGGAAGACCAGATTGCTTTGAGGTCTTTGTGCAATCACATAGAGAGACGTTAGTGTCGCGGCGGCGAACTTATCCTGGTCTTGCTATCGGGTGATTGCGAGGGAACGAGAGATCTTAGAGGCAACACGTTGGCACATGCTTTGTACCAGATGGTGGAGAAGGGACTTGATGTCACTGTCATCGTTGTTCATTGTGACATATCAGTATTTCGAGCTGTGACTTGCTTGCATTATTACTGGGTGTGGTAAGAAAAGATGAGGTGTGATTTGGAAGGATGTAGAACGCCTTATTCAATAAACTGCGCGTTGCTGACACTGTCACGCTCTGCATACTTTTGGCCCGATCTAGAGTAAGCGAGTGTGCTACACCGATGGTAACATTGGAATACGAGGCCGCATGCATGTTCGACGTCATCTTCGCCCCCAAATCTACCCCAACGTTTGCCTGAAAATCAATGAGACCAGATTATTTAATGGCTTATACGCGGCTTCTGGACACCAAGCACTTGGAATAGCATTTCCTGTCAAGCGGGGAAAGAGTTTCCTCAGTTATCGTGAAACCTTGTCCAGTGGAACTCGCAGTCATGACAACAAACGAATCCCCAGAGGAGAACATTTTGTTGAATGCATCTGTAAGTATTTCATCAGCCATCTGTGTCAACACCTTCAACCAACGGCTGGAGAGAGATGAAAATTGACAATGCCCTCAAAGGACAACACTTCCACTGAAAAAGCGTCCCCACCATACTCAAAACTGAAGTATCACTATGCCGCTATCTGGCTGATCGGACTCTATATTCCCTTTGTCATAATACCATGGACAGCCACGGTCGTCTTATCCTATCGTCCAATCGCAAAATTCGCAAATACATATTACTACCCGCCGGGCTTTACTACCGATGAGTTCAAGCATTTGCAGTCATGGGTGACCGCCGTGAATGTGCTTAATTCCATTGCGAGTTTGCTTGCGGTTCCCGTTGTTTCGTTCGTGATCGCGCAGACCGCAGTGGTGTTTAGTCAACAAAAGACTCCGACGCGTCAGTTGAGTGTGCGTGATGTTTTCGCTCTCGCGGACCGCGCTTGGACCGACGTTAGTGTCCTGTTCAAGCTCCTGCGGGCGAAAGGGCACGGATCAAGGGCATTCAATGGCTTTGTTGCTTTAGCTTCGACATTGTTACTATTCAGTAAGTTTTTGCCTTCTTTGCGATGGTTTCCCACGTATGAAGTATGGGGTCTACAAAGGTACCGATGAAGATGCGTGATCACCACTGACATTTCTAGGTGCGCTGCAACCCCCATTATACCAAGTTTTGGTGAATTGGAAGAACATCAACGTTCCATCTGGACTTTTAGGGGAAATAAATATACGGCACCCATCACCAAATACTGAGATTTCAACGCCTGTGCTCGATACTATTCCCCTCGGAACTGATGCTGACCCTGCGATAATGGAGATGATCCCACATGCCACGGTCGTGCAGAATGTACAGCTAGAACTTCCTTCGATGAGGTGGTCGGCACCTGAGACATATATGTGGATTGATTTCAATGGGACACAGCCTCCGAATAACCAGCTCCCCAACCAACAGGGAGATGGAGTTAATAGTTTACTCAACATTCGGATGGGTGAAAAGCCAAGAGGTCAGCAGATACTCCCGGCTTTCATTTCAGCGTTTCCATACAATACAACGACGGGAACAAAGCGATACCACGTTATGCGCTTGAACTCTTCTGTGGAGTGTGAATTCTTGTCCAAGGATACGTTCCCTGCGACCTGCTCCGGCAGCAAACCATATGAGACGTCGATAACAATGCAGAACGAAACATCTTCGACCGAACTGCGAGTATGCATTCCAGGAGTATGGGGAACTTCACCGTGGACTCGAAGTCGAAATAGACAAGACACCAAAGAAGAAGTTTTCCTGCAACTGTTGGGTGGTTCAAATCAAAATGATTCGATTATCCACTGCTCCGCTGCCACAACGAGGGGCTACTTCGAACTCGGCAATTACAGAATTAATGGAGCATACGGACGACTACTGGATCATTGGCCATCCCCCGAGATAATAGAAAGGGATTTCAACGACAAAGGCTCGCACTGCGTAAAGGAGGAAAGCCCTGAATTAGGTTGCAGACCAGAATCGTACTATCCAACAGAGTGGTATGTACAGCAAGTCAAAGTATCCTACAACCTGCTTGAATCCAAGACTAATCTGCGCACAGGGACAACAAGACAGACAAAGTTGAGAGCTGGAATGCCTCAGCTGAGCCCGAGTATATGCGCTGGAACGCCTCGGGTCCGCTCGTCACCTCCGCTGCAGCAATCTTCGGAAACAACTCCTGGATACGCGTTGTAGCCAATCTAACATCGACACAGACCAACTCTTCCGATAGCTACACATCCATGCCACCCTGGTGGAAACCAATCTGTGAGAGACAGCCTTTGTACCACTCCAGCTTTGGCGTGAGGAGTTGCGAGGACCTAACTCCCAGCGAAGCAGTCGGACGTTGGCTCACCTATTCCTTCGATCCAGAATCAATGGAAAGACTGTTGTTCTCAAGCATGGTGTTGGCGAACAAAGCTATTCTCCTCATACACAGAAACAACGAAGCTCCCCGCAAGCTCTGGGAAATCCAAGGCCGGGCCATAGAATATAGTCCTGGCTTTTCTATACTCAAACCGGATGTTTCACTCGCCTCCATCATCGTCATCTCAATTATACTAGCCATTCAGATTTTTGGCCTCGTATTGTGCGGCATATACATTGCGCGCGTACCAACTTGGACTAGGTCATTCAATGCAATGGCTATAGCGAGGATAGGATCTGGCTTGGCGAAAGATCACTTGCCGATTGATGGGCAGTATGCAGAGGATGAAGACTACCAGAGGTTGAGGACTGCTGGCATACCTTTGAGCATGGCCTCCGCGAATGCAATCGTGTGCCGACGTAAAAAGGGTTCTCAGGTCAAGAAATAGTCTTCGATCAGGACATTTCTTTCTAGTGCGCAATGTCTCATGATATTATTTAGGGGTTTTTTTTTTCTTTTTTTTCAGGTTTCAGATGTCCAATAATAGAATGCTGCGTCAGGAATTCACGCGGCTTCCTTGTGCTTGCAGCTTTGCCCACGTTCGAAGTCACCACAAAGGTGCCTTGATACCATATATCATCTGGGTTTCATTTAGTCATTTTTTTGTCTCGGTACCCCGAACAAGATAACTAAGAGTCATTTCTCAGTCTATCATTAGCTAGGAACAATCCACGGTTCCCGTTATAGCCAGATTAAGCAATAGAGGGATCTCGTCCAACAGCGCCTCCTTTTTTGCGTGAAAGCTGAGCGAAGGTGGTGAAAAGTCCAAACAGCTCGGTTTTCTAACTATGTAGAATTCTCATGGGTGCAAAAGTTACAGCAGCTTTTCATTCATCGACTCGTTTCCTTCTTTCACTGAAGATCTTTTCTCGGACATCCCCGAAATAGAATTAGCTTGAAGCTGATCAGAAACCCATTTGAATGCTTCGGATACCCCTTCGCCCGTGGTAATAGTCGTCTCGAACATTCGCTGCATAGATTGGTTAGCATTGCACCATTTCGGTTCTGTTGAACAACGAACGATTGTAAGCACACATACCCAGGGTCTATCACCAAGCTTCTCTGCCAAGGGCCTCAACAGGGCTGTTATTTCTTCCATATTCATGCATGTCTAGCGGGGTTAGACTTATCAATATCGAATAGACATGGAAAACCTACTTCAAGGTCTCGTTTGTTGATCAGGATCGCCACGGGACTCGTCTGCACAGCCCTAGCAACCCCTGCACTTTTTTGTCTCACAGCCAGCCTCTCAGGCACAAGATTCAAGCACTCAAAGAGTTCTTCTCTAACTTCTACGGAGCGGTCGCGGTCATTACTGTCCATGACCCAAATAATCGCATCTCCTTGGACGCAAGTAGCGCGACCCACTGCTTTGCCATGGCCATCACACGCCCCCAGATCTGTTGTGTAGAACTCATTGCCTGATTCGTAATCGCCAACGCATCTTATATAGAATCCGATGATAGGGTACCGCAGTTCCACTTCTTGACCGGGTTTCGCAATGTGTTTCTTCATGAGCGTCGATTTTCCCGCGGCGTCCAGCCCGACAATGATAAATCGTTTCTTTTGGACTCCGGAAAGGGCTCTGGTCACCATTGAAGAAGGTTTTCTTAAAATACCAACGGTCTGTAGTGCAGACTGCAATGGAAAAGCAAATCGCGAACCAAGTATGGGAGGGGGCGCCGGCTCCAGACCACCTCGAATGATCTTTTCGAGCGTGGGCGAGTAGCCCTGCGTGTCCAGCGGTTGCATGATAGTAACACCAATAAGGTACAGCAGACAATTCGTCAGAGCGGTCGTCTAGAGTACAACACAATGTTCTAGTTTTAGGTTGTTGTTCAATCCTGCTGCCTGGCGGCAAGTGGCGCAGCGCCGGCTGTTCTGATCCTACGTGGCCCCATATATTACCCGGATCGGCATTTCCACAAGGCTAAGGCGGCCAGCCGACGTCTATGGACTGTAGTTGTATTCGAAATTCCTGCGATATAGAACTGCTGCATAGAAAAGCGATGATGAGACAATAGGCCTAAGACCTAGCGCCATAGAATATCAGTCGTTGCTCGGATGAAATATGCGTAAATGTCCTGACCGAGTCTGTTGCCGTGTAATGACGATTCAGGCAGCTGTCTTCCTTGTACATCTAATTGCTTATCTCAGTCTCTCATTGCGCGGAAGTACCTGAAACTGCGCTTGCTGCGAATACACGTCCTGACCACCAGTTCGACAATCTCTGTCGCGCTGAATAATTCGTTGTTGAATAACTCATTGGAGCAATGAAAAGAAACGTTGAACTGGGTACACATTGGACCAATCTACTGCAACTCTGTAGAATCATTGCCGCATCGCCAGGAGTGACGAGAAGGCGTATGGAGTAAAATTCCTAGATATCAGGGAAAAGGAACAAGAACAAAATCGAGAAGAGGAAGACTACAGATTTGAAGTGCGAGAAACGCTGCCACTAGACCCATCCCAAGGCACCACCATGTCTCTGGCTTACTAGCAAGGAGATCTTGTTTGGGAAACTGTGGTAACAAGCGCAGATTGTTCGCCACTCAGAGTTCCAGCTGCACCCAATGCTCTGGAGATCTCCGATATGGTCATGAGGAGAACAAGAAGCCGGTTTGTAGAGACTCGTCTTGAATGTCCTTGAATGTAATCGACTGCGGATGATAGCTTGAGCTTTTCATTCCACTTGCCGCCGTTGTAGATCATCACATCATTTCCCCTGGAACAACTTTCGCAAAGGGCTTTTCGTTAGCGAGGCGACTTTTCTGCGTATTGAATTTTTGGTGGAGATTTTTTCGTTTTCGAAAATACCAGCTGACCGTACGTTTGCTTTGATAAATTCTCGAACGGCTTGCTCGCCGAGGATTCCGTCCATCTCGAATTGAAAGGTTGCTGAAACGAAATGATTTTTGTCCAACATCTCAAAAAAAGCATTTTGAGAAATCTCCGCCACCCATTCCAGTACCCCTTTATTTTCTTTATGCATTTCTCGAACAATTTCGCTCAAGTAATCCTGCTGGCTAGAATAGATCGTAGTTGGCGGTCCCACAGAGTGTATGAAATGAATCGTGTCAGGCGACCAACGCATTTCAGGCGACCAACGACTATCTGGTCTCTTCTTGCATCCATTACGCAAAAGGTTATGTTTTTCGTGATCGTCTTTCAGCAAGGGTTCGGATGGTGCAAGAGATCTTACGTAGACTAAAAGGTCGAACAGTGTGATGAGTTCTAGAAAGTGATTGAACCCGAGATTTTCGCGCAATATTTCGGGAGAACCTATTGATCTTTCAAGGCTTTGAAGACAGTCTATCGGTGTCGTCCCATGCGCCATTTCGTACCCTCTAGCATGTTGAAAAAAGTCCTCAACTAGAGGCTTCGTCGATCCAGGATACGACCCAACAGCAGCTTTGATTTCCGCAAGTCTGGCGTGACACATAGTGGACCATAGATCGTAATCTTTCGACTGCCACTCCTTCAGGAGGCGTTGAAGATCAGGTGTTTCGAGAAAGTCCACTACAGTTCGATGTAAGAACCCCACGTCGCTCCAGTCATACTCGCCCCCAAGCGTGGATCTTCCCTTTGATGTTATTTCAAGAAGCCCTTTGCAACGGCCATTGATGCGCACAGTGGCTTCAGCACTGTATGATCTGATTCTTTGCTTATCTACTCCGTTCATGGACATTTGTAGCGCAAAATTTGGTTCGTCATCTAGTTCATCGAGATACCAGCAAGTCAAAGTCGTTAATGGGGCGAAAGGATTTGTGGTAGCAACAGCTAGAGCAATTTGGAACAGCTGTGCTGTCTTAGGTCGATAAATCGGATCCAGAGACTCGAATATTGAGCGAAAAAAGTCGTCGAGGTCACTTGGAAATGCGTCTATGCGCTTTCTCAGCAGTGATATAGGATCCCTATTCAGTAGACCCTGTTCTAGCGATCGCACGACTAGATAAACCCAGAGGAACACACCCTGCGATTTCTCCGCAACTTGATGTATGATAACATCAACATCAGTCGTAGTGGCTCGTAGGCGTTCTGCATTGCGATGCCGAAAAAGCTTATCCTTGACGTAGAGCTGAATATCTGGCTGGTTCAACTCCTGCATGTGAATTGTGCTGACGGTGCCAAATGCCGCTTGAAAAACGTTCCAAGGTCTACTAGCTACACAGATCTTGACATTTAAGCGTGAAAGGTATTGCGACGTTTCGATGATGTCTTGATGATTTCCTTCATATTCGTCTAGCCCATCGATGAAGAGACAGAGGTGAGCTGATCTGTTGTTGATTCGTGCAAGATGCTTGAAGCTTTCCAGCAGTGTCTTCATTTCCCATTCAACATGAAACGGCTCATTGTTTCTACTTGATGCACAAGCAGTGACCCAGAGCTCAGGAAAAACTAGAGACAGTAGTTCAGGACATTGGCAAAGATACTTAAAAAGAAGACTCCGGAGAAGACCTTCTTGGGATCTTTGGAGTTTGGTTCCTTTGATCCAGTAGAAGTAGCTGGCGATAACTGGAGTTTCATTTCCCGACCATGCCCGAAGAATCTGCAGGGTTTTTGGGTCGCTAGCAATTCGCTTCATTAAGGTGCTTTTGCCGCTACCTGGCTTCCCCGTGATCCAGAAAATCGGCTCAGAAGTTCGCAACCAATTTGAGAGATTGTTGGAAAATGCCCAATCGAAAGTTCCGCGGTGTGCCTCATGCACGCTCGCGTAGCGAGTGTTCATGCCCTCGAATTGGAGAGCGCCCAGGATCCGGTTTATAGAGCGAAAGGATATCCCGAAGTCTTCGTCGCGGACTAAACTTCCCACCAAAGCCTCTATATTAACTGATTTCCTCAAATTAGTGCCGTGTGCATTCACGTTTCCTGTTTGGCTCGGTGGTTCCATTTGCGCTTCTATTTTGTCTAGACCTGATCGCATCTCGCTTCGTAAATCCGCAATCTGATCCATCAATGTGACTCCGATACGTGCATTTTGCTTTTCAAACATGTCCAAGTATCGCAAAATTTCGCCACCTTGTTCCCTGAATTTAGGATCAGTCTTGACCAGTTGAAGGGAGTTTTGGACACACCTTTGGATAATCTGCAGTTGCAAAGTCATTTGCAAACGGTATGAATCCAGCTGCTTTTCCATCGAGAGTATCTGATTTTGATTCCATACCGTGGCCAGCGAAGCGCGGAAGCTACTCCATTTAGAGTTTGGGTCTTCAGCTTTGATACTCTGCAAGACTGCTACGAGTTCGTTCGCCAGGGAGTCACAACCCTTCGCAAGCTTCTCAAGCTCTACGAAAGATCGGCTGCTTTGTTGCATGCCCCGCTGGACATTGTTGGCCGAGTCTTGACGAGCTCTGTTCAACTCTCTTGTCAGCCCCTGCAGGCTGATCGTTATCGTCTCGAGATCCTGGTGGCCCTGTGAGGCTCCACTGGGGGAGCGGTGGATTGTTCTAGCTTGGCCGAACAGCTTGCAGCTGAACTCGACGAACTGTAGTATATTTCCTGCTAAGGCTACAGCGGCGAGAGCTTCCATTATGATGCCAGAGTGGTGTGGAAGATTGAAAGTTCTGAGATCAGGCTGTGAAGATACGAGGCTGAAGGTGGCTTAATCACCACCAGGCAGCCAATGACAGCTTGCATGAACTGTTGCCCATGTATTGTTGGCGCAAGCTGAAATCACTGAAGCGACGTTACGGCCCCCAATCATGTCTCAAGGTCAAATAGACACAGCAAAGCGGAGAGCACTCTTAAATCCTGTCGCGATAGATGATTTAATCCTGCTTTTCGAGAAGCACGCGTAATCTTTTTCCTAAGGAGTATTCTTTACATACCTACATATGTACCTAGGTAGGTATGTATCAGTAGCGACTCTTGAGTCTTGACAATACCGATCATTGCTTCCTACGAAAAACTCCCAAATGGGATGGTCTACTATTCCCAGAGATAAAACAGTTGGATTGTAATAAGCGCATAGGCTGGCACAAATATATTTACCTACATTTTACGGGTGGACGCACCCCATTGGAAGTATATGACTGATGTCACGTGATATACAGCGCGTTAAGCAGGGATGGTTACTTCGACCCCATTTAATCAACTATGTATTTGATACGATCGAGTAGTTGTCTAGAGGAAATAGAACAGGTCGCGTAGTGCTACTCAAAGCTGGGAAATGTGAGCGGGGGTGCATACTGAGAACAGAACTACCAGTTGACGTATGACGTATATACTTCATTTTAAAGCATGCCTATGAAGACAAACAAATGCGAGCGATCCTAGGGGTTGATTTGATCAAATCGAGAAGATGATTTATTAATTGCGATGCTTTCACTACGTATATTATTTGATTATCCCATATTGCATGCGGCACAAACACTGGGTATTGAAAATTTACACGATAAATCTGCCTTCGAGCTCTAGGCAGGACACGCGATGCTTTCACATTATCAGGAAAATGAGGAGCTCTGCTACAGCAATATTCTACTTACAGAAGAGGGAACCCACTTCGCGACAGCTCAGAGCGCTTTTGTAGGTATCTGCTTTTCTGTTACAAGCTTAATATCTCTGACCAATCGAGATCTAACTTACACCCCGAAAAGCATAAATTAGATGCGAATCGCAATAGAGTGAAAAGAAAAGAAAAATCAGAATTTAGAGTGGAGAGATAATTCATAATCCGTGACAGCAACAAAAACAAGATGAACACTAGCAAAACTCAGCACCTCCCATCCTCATCCCGCATTCCGAAGAATCATCTCCAAAAGCCCCTCAAAACTCGCATCCGTAAGCGGATCAGCAAGCGCAAGCGCCTCCCCACTATCCTGCGGAGGATATATCAACTTCTGATTAATATACTGCTTTACCTTCTTTGCCTTGGGCCCCGTGAGCTCGACCTCCCTCTCCCAACCACGCGTAACCACAGTCCCATACGCCCCAAGATCAAGACAGGTGCCGTAATCGGGCTGTGTGTACTCCATCAAAGGCAGGCCCAGAAGATCCGCGGCGGCGTTGTGTCCCGAGTAGCGACCGAGCGGGATAGCGTGTTGGCAGGACATCATAGCATTGTGGCCGTTGACGTCTGCTGCGGCTGCTGCGGCATCGCCCGTTGCGAGGATATGTGGCTCAGTGGAGACGCGGAGGTATCTGTCGACGTGGAGACGGTTCAATTGATCTGTTTTGTTGGAGATTTGGGTGGTGAGGGGCGTGGCTTTTACTCCTGCTGTCCAGATTACTGTTTTCGATTCGATGGATTCACCGGAGGCGAGGGTAATGCCGTTTGCGTTGACGGAAGAGACTCTGGACCCTAATTTGACTTCGATGTTGAGATCTTTGATGGCTTGTGCGATTACTGGACGGGGTCCTGGTCCGAGAGTCGAGGCGAGAGTATCTGCGCTGTCGACTAACACTAAATGGGGCTTGTAGGTCGTTCCTGAGAATCGTTTAGGTAGCTCAGTAACGATTTCAATTCCAGTGAAACCAGCGCCGCAAACGACGATGGTGTCTTGATGGTTGTTATTAGACCCTGAGACTAGATTCTGCAAGTGAGCGTCTAGTTTGGCCGCAGCAGATAGTGTATCGATATCGAAAGCATGCTCTTGAAGGCCTGGAATAGAAGCTGGCTTGACGACTGTGCTGCCGGCTGCAAGGATCAAACGATCGTATGAGGCGCTTGATTTCTCGCTTGAGGTTGAAGTAAAGTGAACCATGTGCGCTGCCGCGTCAATCTGATCGACGTAACCAGCGATAAATTCAATGCCAGCCGATTCGAAAAGCTGTCCAAGTGGAGCACACATAGCTGACGGATCTGCTTCATATAGTCGCGGGCGTACGACTAGATTTGGATCGGGAGCGATAACAGTGACCTGTATATCTTCGCCTTTACCATGGATGTTGATGAGTCGTTTTGCTGAGAGAGCACTCCAGACGCCTGCGAATCCAGCTCCGATGATGACTATCTTATGCGACATGATCGTTCGGCGCGAAAAGGTAATTCTTTTTGTCTCTCAATGCCACAGTTATCGCAGGGAAAAAGGTGTTGTTCTGGGCCAAAAGTCGTGAAGAAAGCAGCAATTGAGCGCTGTAAACTGATTTTTTTATTCTCTTCGTTTGATGCAGTTTCATTCTGAGCATACTGAGCAGATGCTCAAATTTTAATACTTCAGAGTTCGGCATCTCAACTTAGAGTTTGCGATACACATGGCACTCCCAATGATTACCGCATTCGCCGGTCAGTAACCGAGTGACCGACAACCCAGCGGCATACACCATCGCAAGATCACTAACCTCAACCACCACTCCCTTCCCCCTACACTATACAGTCTCCTTTAACGCAAGCCATAGAGTGAGGCAACTCGGCCCATATTCGGCCATACATCGCAAAGCAAAGAAACAGGGTATTCGGCACTTCGGCGGTGGTGGATCAAGAGCCCTCGCACGGCAGTTATCACCAGCGATACGAACCGGATCAACACTGCCAATACCAGCTCTCTACCCTTTTTTCTTTATCGCAAGAGAACTACCCGCGGAGGAAAAGACGCTCTGATTCAGAAGACAAGCTACGAAATATCGATTCCTATATTACGGCTGTGTTATAGCTGCGGAGCGGATTCACGTGCCGAGGGATAGCAGGGACGAACGAATCGGGCCTCTGCCGAATCGCGCTATTGGTTTTGTGTTTCATCACACTCGGAACGGGCGTACTTATATATCATCGGGTAGCGTTGTAGGATTCTGACGTGTTTCAAGATTGTGGTGTAGTTTGGATTGGGTTGTTGCCTGATTTTTCTTTCTGTTCTTGCTATTGGGCATGGCGATGTTTGTGACGGGATTTCTTGTTGTTTCTTGCTACATATTATTCCAGGGACGATGTGAGGCGGTGATAATGGTATCCACATTGTCTTATTGTGTCTTACGTCAACTCAATGCATCGATTGATTCGACGGCTGAGCGTCAGAATCCTGTGCAGTGCATGATGTTGACGGACATTGCTGAAGAAACGAAAAAGTCGCACCAAACACGAAATCGCAAAGCAGCTCGTCATAACGATATTAAAGCCATTTCCTTTATAGCGACCCTCGACTCGTAGCATTCCAACCATCTGCCAACCTCGCGCACGAAGACATACCAATACCTGACATCGGCACGACCACACCAGCAACATGAGTAGCCGCCGCTCCCCAATCCAGAAACCACAGAATCTTTCGCACTCAAAAGTGGATCCCCACCAGCGCCACTAGCAGCAACTCCGTCGAAGAAATTCCCAAAACAAAAAGAAAACCCCCACTGCAGACTATCACCCGCGCGATGATGCCAGGGAAGCACTGCCACCCAAGCCGCGGCGCCTCGACGGGATCTAACTCGACACGATGGTAAACATCATGCATGTGGCATGTTCCCCTGAGGAGACCCACATGCGCAACGGCGTGGTGTCGGACGTATAGACTGATTCGGCGGCTTGGCGGACCACCAACATCTTAGACGATAGGGACGTCGTGAGATCGGGTCATGGGTTGGGGGGGAAATCCTATCAATAGTCTGGGGGTAGAAGAAAGGGAATCGGTACCGGTATGTGGTGTCGCTAGCCTCATTGCGCAATGCGAATGCGCGCTTGCTTGTTAGTGTTTTTAAAGGTTGGGTGTCCCTGAGGTTTGTCTTCAGCTCGATAGGCTTTGTGCTCACTCACTGGGCTGCTTGTCCCTACGTCTCTCTTTACAACCGTAATCATTAATACACTCGCTCATTTTTTATACGACCCGCTATCAAGCTTCTGACTGGGCTCAAGTGCGTTATCTTGACCAGCATTCCTTCCTTAACCACGTTCTTTGCAGAAAGCGACAACAATCCGACGTTCGCTATTTTCCTTTTCCGCAAGCTATGGCTCGATCTATCATAATACAGGCGCTCTCAGCGTCTTCTCTCCTATTCTCGGTCGCTTCCGCGACGATTGAAGCTTGTCCCGGCAAGGAGACCACATGGAGTTCTGGCGCCGGCCAGCTCTACACAACATGTCCCAATACCGACTACCAGCGCGGCGGTAGAAGTCTGCAGATTGTGCAGAACGTGGGCAACTGCCAATCCTGCGTGGAAATCTGCAGCAAAGATACGCGGTGCCGCAAAGCTGTTTACGACAAGCAGCAACGCATCTGCCATGTCAAGGACGATAAGAATTTGATGTTCTGGGCATCAGACTCACGCTTCGACGCTATCCGCTTGGACACTGAGATCAAAGATGGATCGTTCATTTCGACTTGCCCTGTCGAACTCACCAAGTACCGTTCATCTGGCGGTGCGAACTTCGATGTCTGCCGCGGTTCCGATTACGAGGGAAGAAGTGTGAAGATCGTCCGTCAAGTAACCACCATCAACGCATGTGCCGACCTGTGCTCCACGACCAGGGACTGCAAGAAAGCGGTGTTTGACCACAACGACAACGTCTGCCACATCAAGGGTGCTGAGCCAGCGACGTCGCTTGTCTGGGTGAAGAACAAGCGGTTCTCCACCATCACCGCGCCTGTTGTCTCCGACATAGCGAAGCAAGGCAAATGGTCTGATATTATGCGTTTGCCTTTGATCCCTGTCGCAGCGTACGTCGTGCCACAATTCCCCCAAGCTGACCGTCTCATGTTCTTCTCCTCTTGGGGTGTGGACGCTTTTGGTGGAGCTTCGGGAATGACCCAGTTCGGTGATCTTAACTTCGAAACGGGCGCTGTCTCCCACCGTGAAGTTGTTAACACACACCACGACATGTTTTGCCCGGCCATGAGCGCGCTCGAGGACGGTCGTATTCTCATTCAAGGAGGCTCGGATGCCGAAGCTGTCAGCATCTACGACCCTGCCACCAACAACTTCAGCCGTGGCTCCGATATGACTATTGGTCGTGGCTACCAAACCTCGACTATACTTTCGAACGGAAAAGTCTTCACCATTGGCGGCGCCTACTCCGGACCACGCGAGGGAAAGAATGGAGAGATTTACGACCCCGCGACCGAGGAATGGACCGCTCTACCCAAGGCTGACGTAAAGCCAATGCTGACAGTCGACCATGAAGGTATCTGGAGAGAGGACAACCATGCCTGGCTGTTTGGCTGGAAAGCCGGCAGCGTTTTCCAGGCGGGGCCATCCATGGACCAACACTGGTATGGCACCGAGGGCCAAGGATCAGTTGTCAAGGCCGGTACTCGCGACACCGAACACGCCATGTGCGGAATCTTCGTCATGTACGATGCGATCCGTGGCAAGATCCTCTCCGCCGGCGGATCCCCCGACTACACCGACAGCAACGCCAACAAGCACGCACACATCACCACCATCGGAGAGCCCAACACCCCTTCGCAAATCGAACGCGTATCTGACATGGCCTACCAGCGCGGATTCTCCAACGCGGTAGTCTTCCCCGATGGCACTGTCCTCGTAACCGGCGGACAGCCCCGCTCTCTCGTCTTCACCAACACCAACGGTGTCTTGATCCCTGAGCTCTTCAACCCCGCCACGAAGCAGTGGACACAGCTCGCCGCATCCGCAGTCCCCCGTAACTACCATTCCGTCTCCATCCTCCTCCCCGACAGCCGCGTCTTCGTCGGCGGCGGCGGTCTCTGCTACGTCAACAAGATCCGCGGTTCCACCGCAGGCTGCGACAAATCCGTCGACCACGCCGACGGCGAGTTCTTCGAGCCCCCCTTCCTCTTCAACGAAGACGGCACCTACGCCCAGCGCCCCGTCATCTCCGGTCTCCCGCAAGCCTCCGTCAAGATCGGCTCTACTCTCACGTTCCAGGTCACCGAAATCATCGCTGGAGGTGATGCTAAGCTATCGCTTATCCGCATGGGTTCCGTCACGCACTCGGTGAACAGCGACCAGAGGCGCATTCCGCTTGAGGATGTGACCGTAAATGGCAACGAATACTCGGCGAAGCTGCCTACCGACAGTGGTATTCTTCTTCCTGGGTACTACTACTTGTTCGCCATGTCGAGCCAGGGTACACCCAGCATTGCGCAGACTGTGCAGGTGGTTTTGTAGAGTGCTTGCGGTGCGTTACGAGTCATGTAGTGAAGGTGAACATGGTTGTAAAGAGACATGACTGGACCTGTATATACGTAAACACTCATTAGTTAATAGCTTAATACCATAATTATTACTTCGTATTTGAAGAAATGGATGATTGTTTGATGATGTCTTGCAGGTGAACAAGTGTTTGAAGCGCGGAGCGGTGCCCGGGGATCATCTCGGGCCAAGTCGGAGCCGGAATAACGAATCGCCCGATCACGTGTTTCAGTATTTTGACTTCCAGAATGTTGATGTGAAATGCGACTTCACGATAGAGAGTGCATCTACCGTGCTCGAATGGATAGTTCAAAGAAAACGTTTTTTTGTTCTTTTTAGCTTTGAGAGATGCCCGGTGATGCTCGTGATCCAGCCCGCTGCATCAACCAATCCATAAAACACACATGTGCATGGCAGGTAAAGAGTGAGGTTTAAAATGACAAGGGTAAACGCAATGCGATTATATACTACGATAAAAAACCAATTTCTACTTCATCTCATTACTAGATCATCGACATACTCATCCTCATTACAAAACGTCCTCGCCAACGCCCCCGCTCAGAATCCTACTACCTTACAAGAGTACAGCAGCAGCACCAATCGTCACCGAAAGCGCAACCATCATACCAGGCAGCACCGCTACACCCGCGCCAGGGAAAGCAGCGGGGGAAGGAGAAGGCTGACCAGATGGCGTAGTAGTAGCACTAGCAGATCCAGTCGGCACCGCGGCAATCGTCTTCAGCAAGACAGGAGTAGTAGTGTAGGGCATAGGATCGAAACCAAAGCTGACGCTCGAGAAGGGAAGTTCAGCGACGCGCGACGCGCTGGGGAAAGCGAGGCGTTCGGATGCGGGCGCAGAAGGCTTGAGAGAGGCGCGGTCGAAGGGTCCTGGGGCGATGACACTACACGAAGGAAGATTTGTTAGCTTTAATCTAAAACGATGTGAGGGTTGGGTGGAGGGGAAGTGACGTACTTGTCGATGACATGTGCAATGCCGTTGTACAAGATGGAGTTTGGGAAAGTGATTTTAGCGTTGTTCACCCAGGCGGAGCCATCCGGTAGAACGGTGAATGTCAGGTTCGCGCCCTGGAGAGAGGGAACAGTGACGTTTCCGAGCGCGGTCGAGAAGATGACGTTGTTGGGGATGATGTGGTACTTTAGCACTTCCTGGAGAGTGCTCTGGTTCGCCGAGGCAAGGACCGAGCCGATGTTCTTGAACGCGTCGTCGGTGGGTACGAAGATGGTGTAGTCAGAGATGTTGAGTCCTTGGTCGTCGGCTCCAGTTAGACCAAATGCGATGTTGAGGTGGGCGGCTTCGACTGCGGCGTTGAAGGCGTTGTAGCCTGATCGGGCGGTGAAGAGTTGGAGGGGCGCGCCGAAGGATAGGACTGTGTCGATTTTGTGGATGGTGATGCCCTCGCCCAATTTGATATCCTGTTCATCTAGTTAGCAAGGTACATTGTGACAACTGAAAGAAAGGAATACATACAGCTTCAGTGACAGTAGAAATCGTCTGTTCTCCAGACAGAATACAAACGTCCTTGCCGTTCCTCACCAGTCCGTTGTACGCGCCACCGGTGAAATTCGAGAAAGGCTGTCTCGCAATAATAAAAGAGTCATCGAGCAGAGTCTGACCGAAAGTAGGAGTATCAGTGATGACATCGGAAGGATAAACTCCCTTGAAGACATGGTTTGACAACAGAGCTCCAATTGCGATCGTGTCGTTGCGCTGCTCGATAGCTTCTCCTTCGGGAATCTCCCTCGGTACTTTCGCAAAGGCGTCGTTGGTGGGGGCCACAATTGTGATGTTGGAAGCCCCAGCAAGCTTGTCCGCCAGTCCCGGAACGATGCTGACTAGCTCGAGCAATGTACTGAGATCAGGTTGAGATTTGAGGAGTGCTGCGATATCGCCTTGTGCTAGGCAAGAGCCCGCGGCCATTAGGGCGTACGACAAGATTGATGACTTCATTGTGGAGAGGATAGCAATGCTAAAGCTGAGAAAGAAGATTCCAGGTGACTGAAGAACGAGGGTTCGAGAGTGGTTTATTGGCAGAAGATGGAGATTGAAAGCGCGTTGTAGTTCTGATGTGATGCTCTCCTAGACATCCCTTCAAAGTCCTTCTTATACAGCGACAACCCGTGCGAGACAGGTACAGCCTTCAAACACGACAACTGTAAACTGTCCATGATGACGCATAGACACGATGAATCTGGCTAAGATGAAGCTGTGTAATTAGGGGAATCCAAGAAGTTTGAATGTTTGATGTTGGCGATGCTCAATATGCCCGCAGGATTGTAAGACTTGCGGCCCCCGGCCCACAATTCTGCACTCAGCCATTGCCAAGAGGCGGGGGGACCAATCAAAGGCGTAACGGGGTTAACGAAGAACAGGCGAATTTATACAAGACTGTTACAGGGGGGACAGGTCGGCGTAAATTGCCCGTAACCCTTACCTACGCATGAAGCTGAGAAATGGGTGAGGCTCATCGAGTGGTTAAGTTGAATCGAGCAGATGGTGTGCGTCACCATATACACTTCTTCCTCAATCTCTTCTGCGCATTCCTTCTTCCAACCCAATAACCCAACATTCCGAGCAAAGTGCACCAAAGAGCGCTACAATTGTAGTGGTACTGCACGGCGCACTGCTTACTTCATCGCAGTAGATGAAAGGACATTTCCCACCACTGTGATACGATAATGTTTTGCGGGTCTAACATTGCGATCGAGATGATGCACGTAGGACGGATTAACATCTTTCAGACGGCTGATACGTGAAGCACGAGTGTGATATGGTGAATTCCCAACTTCTTTCAATTCTCTATCAACTCTTCAGTCTCTAAAATACGCAGCAAGAACCTCCTGTCATGTTAACAATGACTTCGCGAATACCTCATTCTCTCTAGTCATGCGATAAACCCGTCTCATCATCACCCAACGCCTCTATAACCATCGCGACATCGCGCTTCAGGCCCTCCGCGGATCAAACCACCCTCGCTACCCGGAAACTTGCGCCTGATACCGCTCGATAATAACATTATAGTCATCATACCACTGCCCCAGCCAAGACGTAGCATCGATCATCCTCGTCGTATAGCAGCTCATCATCGGATCACTCTCAATAACCTCTTTCCTCAACCCCAGCATCTTCGCCCCATAATGCTCTATCAAAAACCGCTCTCTGGCCAGATACCGCCCATACGTATTGGTGGGATCAGTCGCGGTGACAAACACCGTGACTAGCACGAAAAGCGTGTATAACACCACGGGTGCGAAACAAAATGTAGGAAGCTCGAGGACGACGGCGGGATCCATTCGCGAGACGATGTCGAGAACGGCGTGGCAGTGTTCTATGAGGGCGTGGAGGGCGTGGGAAAGAGGCGGGATGCAGAGCGCGGGTTTGGGGAAGTCTTTGGTGGGGATGCGCATGGGGATGTAGGGGGCGGCGAAGATGAATTTGTTGGTCGGGGTGTGGAGGACGACTTCGTGGATGTGGACCATGGCTACGTGGTGCCAGAGCTTGAGGATTTGGGACGATGCGAGATTGTCGGGGACTTGGGCTGCCCAGGTGTTGACTTTGTTCTTCATCAGGTCGATTGTGGCGTGGGTGTCGTAGTTGTTGGCGTCTACGAAGGTTGCTGATTGGCAGTGGCAGAGACGGTCTGAAGTCTCCTGCATCAATTGGTGGATGCGGACGATCTCGCAGAGCAGAGCATCTGATGGTAAACCATCGTTCTGCAGGTGAGTAAGACACTCTTCATGATACGCATCCCACTGAACCGCAGGAGCTCGGCGGATATGCATGGAAGCCGACGAAAGCAAGATAGAGCAGGCCAGCCATGTGCGCCGCGCTTCAAGGGACGTTGCATCTCGATGGCGAGAGAAAAACGCCGGAGGAGTTGGCTGCAATGAAGGACCGCCGATCCCGAGATCGATAGCCATTTCGGTCGCCAGCTGAGCAAGCTGGTAACAGCAGTTGTCGGACCCGTCCCTAGTAGATTTACTCCAGAGGGTTGCTATCAATAGAGCCTGAACTAACTCCATCGATTTACGGCCCTTCGCTAACACTTCATCGGCCAGGATGCGCATTACGTCGCGTACAAGTTCGTCGTGGACGGGGAGCTCTGTGTCTTGTATTGCATGAGTGGTGCAAAACGCCAGCACACAAGCCAAAAGTATCGGAGACTGTGCTCGTAGCGTTTCCAAGTCATCTTGCAATACGACGACCGGCCATATAGTCCTCAATTGTTCCGCGACCTTGCGTAGCAAAGATCGTTGCCTCTCGAACGGGATCCGAACATCCAAAAACGACAATGTCCCATCATGCGGAGCATACGAGAGAGGACTGTCAAACGCTGGGGTTGATGGAGCTTCACTGCTGCTTTTTTCGCTTAACGCAGTCTTGAGCGCCTCAATCTGCGTTTCAAGTTCCTGGATCCTGTTGCGCTGGAGCCGTGGTGCTGCCGGTGTACAAGTCAGATTGTTCCGGTTGCACCTCTCGCACACGCCTCTTTCCACGCCCTCGGTTTCCGGCACGTCGCATTTGATTTTCAGTCGGTGGCATTCTTCGCACGCTCTGGACCGTTTCTTCATGTTGGTATTGGGGATTGAGGGTTCGGATTCTCGATGATGAAGCAGACAGAAACCCGAGTGTGGCTGTGCTTAGTGACTAGCTGCACTTGTTGCATCTAATTGCATCTTACATTTCATCAAAAGGGTATAGTAGCAGAAAATCCCCCTCTATAAACTACCACTTATAGCTGTTCAATTCTGAGCTCGTACCTGGAACGAGTTTAATGACATCAAATCTTGGAATGGCACGTGGCGGTGGGAGACATATCTCCGGCAAGCTAATGCAAATAATGCAACTCTTGCGGTTGTCAGCCAGAAACAGCTCGCATTTTACTCGCACGAGACAGAGCGAGTTGACACAGAGGAAATTCACCAACTACCAACGGGATGTTGTCGCTGTTGGCAAAGCTCGGAATGAAGCCGCCGTTGTTGTACCTGTTACTTGTCACCGCGTGGAGACTAGGTGGCGACCGTTGGGATAACGGGCGCCTTGCCAATAGCAGTCTAGCGTTTGCTTTCCACCTTTAATAACAACTTTTGGGCGTAGGTACCAATAGAGTGTCGTGGTTGTTAGTATGTGCTCTTCAGTTTCTCGATGCTTTATGTAAGTGGCCATTGCTGTATATCACTCTCAAAACAGAATAGGAAGAGGGAAAAGAATGAGACAGCCACTGAAATTTCATTCCTTGATGGGGTGAGAGCATCGCGATCGATAGATCCGTAACGATAACATAAGTATCATTTCACCATGATTCACCAAAGAATGTTCGACAATATAGCCCAGAGGTAGTCTAGAAGTATGAGGTCACCACACGTTAACTGAAAACTGAACCATGTGCAATTCACTGCTTTATTGTCCTTCGCGTGATCAAGCTTGAAAAGTATTGTCCCGTTGCGAAGTTGAATCCCAAGTTGATGCTTTTATATGCGATTGCGACGACAATCCTCGCATAGATTGATCTGGCAACGACGGCACTGCAAAATATATTTCCAATGCCGCTCATCACACATTTCGCAACGAAATCCTCGTCTGCCGCCGTGATAAATGCGCTGAAACTTCCCTGGATGCTCACACTCGTGATTCTCCTCTAATCTCGCACGAACTTGCCGTACGCGACGCTGTCGCTCAATTGGTGCCAGGTCTGCCACGGCATCGCGATCAACAATCTCTTCCGCCCTCTCCATAATACGGTCTGCGTTCGCATGGTCGCATTCGCAATGCTTCCACTCGGTACCGCATTCATAACAGAATTCGGCTTTACAACGACATCTGCGCTTCTTGTCAGCGAAACGGGCGTGCTCTTTCCGGCTTGGGCTACCCACGTCATGTGATTGCACCCGCTCCTTAGTCCAACGATGTAGCCACACCGATAACATGTTTTCCACCCCATTTCCCCAGCCAAATCGCGTGTGACCTGTAATTCGGGATCATTCGGGCAGTCCATGTCATCATGGTATTCGTTCTTACATAGCCCACAGGTGGACGTATTGCAGAGTTCACATTCCGATTTGTGAGTTCCCAGTTCTATCTGTCTTGGCGGGATAAACTCTCCGCAGTCGCGATTACTGCAATATACGCGATCTGCAGTAGAAAATTCGATGCTGGCTCGCTCATATGCCGCGAGTTCGACAGTCGACATATGTTTTGCGATGAGCTGCAGCGGGATGGGTTTCTTGTGGCATCTGACAGGGAACAGCGTCTCGTCTTTCGTGGCTCGAACGAAAAGACCCTTCAAGCAGTCAACGCAATATCTGTCTTGGCAAGACAAGGGAATGGTAGCCCCGGAATGAAAGTATTCGAGACAAACAGCGCATCTGACTTGTCGGGAGAGCTTCTCGAGCATACCTGCCTGGCGTTCCGCGTAAGATACTGATGGACCAGCAACATTATCTTCGTAATCTTCGTCGTCGGAAAACTCGAGTATAGAGCCCGAATACTGGCTTTCAGTCGCCGCGTTCATCCAATTCCGAATGTTGTCTTCGGGCTCGCCCAGTGCTGATTCTGGAGCCCTCTGAAACTCGGAATCATGATTACTGGTCTGAATTGCGAATAGTCGATCCTCGTGGCATCGTATCTCCTCCAAAGTCAAATCCGCCACGACAGCCCCGTCGCAGTGTACCGCCGTCCCAATGCTATGAGCGACCCTTTGGTCCAAAAGAAATGTATGGTAGTCCCGCAACTCGGCCTGGAAGCTGGCGTACGCTATCTCGGAATCTGGTGGATGATCCACGGCATACTTGCCTTTCCCGACGTCAGCGTGTATTCCGATCTCTTCCAGCTGAAGCGCGATAGCTGCAAGTTCATCCTCGAAGCTTGTAGCGTGATGAGGCTGAACAGCATAAAGTTCGGACATGATAACGATGACCGTAAATTATCTGGTTGAGATAGTGATATCAAATCAATAGTTCAGATATGGCAATGAACAAGTTTCGAAGGTTGAGAGACTGAGATGCGCCAACACATGAGGAATCTAGAGCTTATAAATCCCGTCGTTTTGGGAACGCCGGGTGTGGGGTCACTGGATATCGATGTGCCCACGACGAAGATGCATTCACACGACGTATCAAAATCGGCTTAAGTTGGTACACACTTCCACCTCTGTCTGTTGGATTCAACGAGGACAGCGACGATTGGAGCTTGCCCTCTTCAAACTCCTCGCGTTCCCCGTATACAGTGATTGGTTCCATGTGATTGGTTTAGTCTGATTAGAGTTACACCACACCGCCTTTTGTTGTTACAAAACCAATCACGAGTCCAATGTGGTAATAACATTTGAAGTCGTGGATGTTGTTTGAAATCCATTTCACGACACATGATAAAAGCTCGAGGTCGCCGCACCAACCCCATTACACGATACAACGATTTCGTATCAACCATATTTGAGCATCGTGATTAGTACCTACCTTGGTAGGTAAATCTGGCATAGCCACAGACCTTGAACTTGCTGATCAAATAATCTCATCTATGATTTCAGAACGACAATGGTCCGCCGGCTGACCCTACAAACGTACATGTTTACAAAAATCATATCAAATATCTTGACAGCCTTCATTCATCGCATTTTGACGCGGCACGAGCATGGCAAGTATCATGTCACGTGACTATGTGGATTTCGTCTACAAAACCAGACCGTAATAATAGAAAAGACTTATGAGCGCGCCGTTGAGTCAGTCCTTCTCAACTCTCTACCACTCGCCAGCTTTCTAATACTCCGACAACCAAACATTCCCCTCCGCATCCCTCCCAATAATTGGAAATCCATTAGGCATCGATGGTGGGTGAGAGTTGCGAGAAGAATATTTTGTTTAGGCCCGGGGTGAAGACGGGGGACTCATGGAGGTAGGGGCTCAATCCGAACATGAAGTCGACGCTTGGGTAAGGGCCGAGGACTTCGCAGCCGCGTTTTTTGTCGAAGAGGACAAAGTCCGCATCGGCGACGAGGTTCCAGGGGTTGTCTTTTGGGACTTCAGTGTCGCCGAGCGTGTTGAAGTATGTGCCGTTGATGGGGTCACGGAAGAATGGGTAAAGGAGCTTGGCTGCATGCTTTTTGAGGCAGATTGCTCCCGGGAGGATGCATTAGCTGGCAATCTGGTATTCAGAGGACGACAGATTGTCAGTCAGAGGAATTTGGTTTTGGAGATGCTTCACGTGTGTTGAGGGCGAGGTTGGAAGCAAGATTGTCAATCAGCTGTTCCCTCGCAGAAAATTCACCTATGGAGGCAGAGTCAGCAAAGCACAACATATACACAGCTTGGCCCAGTTCCACATCACTTGCAATATGTGATGTGTTCAAGTTACTCACCGAGAAGACTGGGCCCAAGATGATGAATCACAGTCTCAAGAAGAGGCGCATTGGCTTCAACGATCTGACGCGGGGTGTATAGCCCAGCAGGAAGACCCAAAGCAGGTCCATTGCTTCCTTTGGGATTCACATTTATCGCGCGGCCGATTTCGATGTTGTCAAGATGACGCCGTGTCTGAAGTCGTGAAAACTCCAGACTCCAGAGGAATACATGGACTTCCTGGTCGAACTCGTCCAAGAGATGAAGACAATCGGGTATACGCCGAAGCTCAAGTGGGTCACCGGTAGGAAGCCTTGAGTCAGTGTTTTTTGTGTACTAGGAAATGTAGATAGAGAGTTGCTGCAGTTAAGGCGGTGAGATCTCATCTCACGACAGCCGGACAATAACGTCATCACGAATTGGAAATATTTGCTGTAAACTGCCCTCATCGATCAGGTAGTAACCTATGCATTATGTATGATGCCCAATCTAAACAGGTTTCAGGCCTGGAGTGAGGTCCGTTGATGTGTTGGCTCTCATGTCTGTATTGACTCTCTGGCTGTATTGACTCACCTCCGAAGTTCGCAAATTAACAGGTCAGCCTCCACATTTGATCGTAACAGAGCTTTGTTTGAGCATCACGAAAGCAGTAGAAGGACTGGGCGATGGAGGATGACAAGACGAAGATGTTCGCATAGGCTAATCGCCAAGCTCGAGCGGATCAACAATGTTCCGAATGTGCCGAGGTCCGTGTGCCAGAGCTTGTCACCCTGCGAATCCATCACTGTTGCAACCCTCGGCCATTTCATTGGAGAATCTGCATCCTTCACTGCTTTCATTTCTTCCTAAACATAATCGCTTACGGCGAGGTCAAGCCTATGTATTCCCTGCAGCACAGACTTAGGCTGGCCAATCTGCCGGCGTTTCCAAAACGTTTCTACGTACACTATCATAGAAACTGGTCCACCCATCCTTACCAAATCTCTTCAACAGCTCCACTTCTCTGGAAGTATCGATCTTTGTCAAATCGTGACCTTGAGTTGGATCCTCTGCTGGCCAAGGCTTCTTCGGATCGAGCTTCTGAAAGACTTCTAACCAACTATTGAAATTGAACGTGCCAGCAAATCCCCACAGGCGTTCATCCACGACATCTTCCTGCGTCAATGCCGCAATGTGAAGAAGTGCGGTATCTTCAACGTCCACGAACCACTGAGGGATGAAGTCCTTGAGGAAACCGTACTGAGTGGGATCCCTCCAGAAGTCCATGACGATCTTGCCTGTGCTACCTGACTGCTTGGGGTGGAAGACTGGGCCGACGACGTAATCTGGCAATATGGTGTTAACCACAAAATTCGGGCTCTCTTCCTTGGAGAAACGCCAGACTTCTTGCTCGACCTGGGCTTTCAGGGCGGCATATACGTCCCAGATGCGGTCGGCTTCGTAAGGTGGCGGTCTCCAGGCGCTTTCAATAGCAGGTCCATTCCATAGATTCTCATGAACGGTGAGTTCCTCATTGGGGATCGGATTGAGTGCCGCGCGGTTGCTGCTCGTGAAGACAAATCGTTTGATCGATACCTCTTTTTTGGCAGCTTGGAGCAGATTCCGTACACCATTGACCATGGGCGTGATCACTTGGTTCGGATCGACCCCGAAGCTCATGTCTGCAGCGACATGTATAACGCCTTGCACGCCCGCCACCGCGTCGTCCCAAGCTCCTTCGGCATTCACGTCTGGTACCAGAGCTAACTCAAATGAGATCTTGGGGTAGCGTTGGGCAAAGACCTCCTTGATCCATGCCCCTCGCTCTTCTGAGCGCAAGCTTCCACGGACGGCGTAGCCGAGATTGAGCAGCGCGTTCGCGATGTGTGAGCCGATGAAACCGTTCACGCCAGTCACTAGCACTACACCACCTGGTGGAACAACCGCGTTCACAGTGACCTAGAATCGCAGTTGAAATGTCAGCATTCTACTTCTTTTATCGATCATTCAGCATTCTAGCATGCAGACCGTCTAATCGAATGAGCGCTTTGGGACAGTGTGCAGAAAATATACTGACTGCCATGGTATTCCTGCAAGATTGGGATATCTTCTGAATAACGATTGGGTAGCTGGAAAAAGTGTGGATTTATGTTTGCGCAGACTTCGGGACAAGATCAAGTCGTACAATCTGTTTCGTTTTATCTTCTAGTGATCCGGAATGAGCGATATCACCCAGCTAGCGATCGGACCCTGGGGACCCGTGTAGGGATCTAGTGCGAGAACGCCAAAGAACGCACGTAGCGCACTAATCGACGTGATTTGATAAGAAGACACTCAGTGAAATGATTCGAATGATGCTACCTGCACTGCGTTCCGATGTTGCGTGCAATTCACGACTATGTGCTCGGAGGTATTCACCTGGAGGAAACTGGGGAAGATGACGTCATGGAGCGTATCGCACGTGCATCTGACAGCCTGGAAACAGCGCAGTTCCCGGAACACCGGTCACTTTGTGATCCTCGATTATCGCGACAGCAAGCCTTGGATTTTGTCAAGTCATACGCTACTTTCTTCCAAAGCCATCTAACACGGACTAAGGTTCGATTACCCTCGCTAAGGGACGAAGCGTATGAGATCCCGCAGGACGTTCGCAATATCCTCACGGAAGAGGGAATTGCTGCGACCCTAAAAGTCAAGGCTTGAGCAATGGGACCAGAACATGTTTGTGTGGGTCGCGCTGCAACCTCGATGGCTTAGATGATAGATGTTTTTTGGACTTTTAGATTTTAATGAAATTGATTTCAATTCCTACTCAACAAGAGCATCTCATCGTGACACGTATTATGTGAACTTGATGAAGACCCCGCCGCAATCTTTGTCCTCAAGCTGGACTCAGAAGCAATATCATTTGATTTAATGCTCTCACGTAATCGTCGTTTCTGAGGAGAATCAACCAATGGTCCCTGTAACGTGACAATTATGAGTTTTTGTAACCGTCAACAGAACAAAGAGAACATCAACATGATATTTTCAATAAACATTCGAATGGAACTCCGCAGCAAGCATATACTCCATAACGAAATCAGAAAGTAGCGTCTCCATTCGCACCGTCTCCCCTACTAGCAGTAACGATGAAATTTGCTTTCCTATATTCCGCGAGTGACCCCAGCTCAGTTCGACAGTAGGTGGAGAGTTCTGTTGTGCAAGCATGAATTCAATGTCTGAGCCTTGATCGCGGACGCTTATCGAGTTCAGTGAGTTAGGCCAGAGTATATTGATGGCCATACCCGTATTCCTTCCCGAGAGACACTGAAACTATTCTGATTGTCGTATATAACTTAATTCGGCTTCAAAAACCGTGATTACTCCCAAGTTTTGAGACTTGAGTCAATCTTGGACGTGTTGGTGGCGCCCGCATCTGCGCTAGTCTCGTCTACCCTATACACAAGTTTTACAGCCTTGACTTTCCCATCCGCAAATTCTTGAAGACTTTGACCATTTATTAGCACACATCGATATGTAGGAATGATATGCTACTTACCCTTGAGGAATGCCATTCAAACCACCGGGCCGCTTTGCTATGGGGTGCGGTTTGAATTTGCCTGCGGCAAGCAGCTCGCCGCTCAATCTCCAGAACTTGACTCCAAAATTGAAGGTAGCTGGCATCGCGGGAAATTCCATGCCGAATTTGGAGAATGCTTTTCCGAAAGTCGTGTATGCCAGAACGACGGTGGGTTGGACATCCTTTCTTGGCCAGGTGTCCGCGGGGAGTAAAGTTACCACGTGTGTCTTTGTCTCGATCTTTTCTGGTAGTGCTTCGGCCACAATCTTGTAGCTCGACTCTGTGGAGACGCAGTCCAAGACATAATGCAAGGAGTTTTTGGTGTACTCTTTGATCTTGCTCGCGCAGTCAGCGTCATGGTAGTCGAAAATTACGTCGGCACCTCTAGACTTCAGGAGATCGAAGTTCTCCGGACTAGCAGTGGTGACGACAGTAAGACCGGAACTGAATTCGGGTCAGCATGAATGAGTCTTGAGTCGAGGAAAGTGGTCATACAGCTTAGCGAACTGAATAGCCAGGGTCCCAGTAGCGGTGCTACCGCCGTACACGAGAATGAAGGGAGCACCCTCGAGGGGTTGCTCGCTAGGTAGCGGAATCCCCATTGTCATGTACAGAGTTTGTCCAACTGTAGTAATGCCAACGCCCAACGTAGAAGTTTCTTCAAAGGACGAACTATCGGGGATTCTGGCGACGTGACCATCGCGCACCACGGCGTACTCAGCGAACGCGCCATCGAAATCCGAGCTCTGATTGGTCAGAAAAAAAGTCAAGCAGAAGGTGATATAACTGAAAACATACGAGGTTAGCGCAATGGGCTACACCATAGACCTTGTCGCCTTTTACCACATCAGATTTGCATTCACTCCCTACTTCATCAACAATGCCAGCCAGATCGCACCCTAGAATACCACCCACGCGACCTACGACAGCTGTATGGTCGAGGTCAGTGGGATTTAGAGCAAGCGCTATCGTCTTGACTCTGATGTAGTCGGGTGGCATCACCGGCTGTTTGATGTCTGCGACCGCAGCGACACCCCTTTCTTTGATGATGACAGCCTTCATTGTGTGGGTAGACAACAAGATCTGAAGATCTTCTGTGGAAATGACTTGCAGAATGATTGGAAAGTTTTATAAGGTGATTGAATGTAACTTATAGAAGAGTTTTGTAGGAAGAATTACTATCGTAAGCACCATCGGCATCAGCATGCATATCAACGGTCGACCAGCGGCTGCGTAGTCCTCCATTATAGTTAGCGGACGTAGGCTATTGGCGGACGTAGGCTATGCTGCATAAGGGGACGCTTAGGCGTCATGTAAGTTTTCTTCGTGTCTCCACTTCTACCAGAGACGGAGTCTTACACTTCCCATGCTATGTAGCGGTGCAGTTGGAAAACGCAGTTGATATGATGACAAATACACAGACTTCGCTATGGTACGCCTATCCTGACATACCCATGTACATGATGCAGCGCGCCTCAACCACTCGCCCGATAGATGTAGGATTCGTCCTCCAAGTTGGTAACTCGTTAGCACCGAATTTTCCCCGGAATGCATCTTGTGAGTCTTGCTCGAACCGCATGAAGGCTTTTACGCCCCCGATATTCTCGAGACTGTATTCCCCTTGAGGCTCTAACTCGGCAGATCCGATGGGAATAGAGATTGGTTGTACTGTGCCAACTGCCTAACCGAGCAATTTTTAGAATGCGGGAATCTAGCCCGCGAATATCCGTGCTTACTACCTGCTGAGTTCAAGCTCGTCTGTTGGTCTCGATGGTCGAGTTTTCTAATTGTAGAAAAGGTACCTTGCCCACTTGGAAGGGTTCAGTACCTCGGGGGGCTAAAGACGGCAACGATGACGACGGGCATCATGCGAATGGTATGCGGAATTTAGTAGGAATTACCTGGTAATCTCCCCGCCATAGTAATGGTTTTTCTGGTTTATTGATTCAGAGGGGGCAATGAATTTCATGTTTGTGGAGCTTGTTTGTGACCCATTAATTCATCGTTCCTGTACAATTTTTTGGGGTACGCTAGACCTGTTGTCCCGCCTAATAATGTAAACTATATAACTATCCACTTGTGATCCACTTTTCCGGATAAACGAATGGGTATACACGGAAAAGCAGCCGAATAGTAATCACAGTACCTAGGTAACTAGCGATTCATCATCAATGCATGTTTCTAATCACCACGTGCACCGCGGATTTTAGCAAATCGCCAATATACTTTACCCTGCACGTAAGCAGTGCATCATCGTTGTGGCATGCGCCATACACAAGCACAAGCTAAGAGGAGCTTCGTACCGATCATCGATCTGACGTGAGAATTAACCCACGGTTCTCAGTAAATTCATTGGCTCATAGCACAGGCAGCTAATCATTATACCGTTGCTTACGCTCTGGCGACTTTAAAATCCCAGCAATGATGGGATAACTTTCACGCTTGATTCTATATCGCATGTTCAATGTGTTGGTAGGACTTCACTTGCTGCGCTCTTATAATATCCTACGCGTTTTCCACCGGCAATCGGTATTTTGTGAAGTATTGATCCTTGAGGCGTGAAAGCTTGAAAATGAAATGGGTAGCTAGACTGCTTTTGACAACGGCAGTGCTTAAATACCTAGATTTTAAAGAATTATCCCTTAGATGCTATCGAACGCGCCGAATGTTTGGATTCGGTTTATTTGTACCAATGTACATTTGACAAATCTAACGCGTAATACGTGGCATGAGCACTTAGAGCATTAATGTGATTTGTTCTTAGTGCTCTGCGTCAATTGATACTTCATCGACGACTCTCTGCTCAATCAAACTCATATGTAGATTAGCTGTAACGTATCTACGCACATACCTACTCGAGTCCGTGAATACATACCTAGGTACGTGTCTACCAGTTGACATTGCGAACGAGGAGGACACGTGACTAAAGTCATGTGACGTGATGAGTCATTGTACCGCGTCATTGATCGCGATTTTTCTTCTTTACAGACTCCCTGCAAACGAATGAATATCACTGGAGCAACTGGGAAAAGCTTTCTAAGTAGCTGCGCAGGTAATTAATGGGGTATGCCGACTCCAGAGCCGCTCGATTCTTCCCCGCTCTCTAAACCGGAATATTTTCACTCCCGAACATCATCCGCCCCGCTTCAACTCTGTGCTACTGGGGTTCAAGCACACGATAGCCTCCGGACCCCACAAACCATGAAAGCTGCTTACCTACTTTGTCTCAGTCGGCGCGCTGAATGTCGTCACTGTCCTTGAATCGCCTCGCAACGAGGCTCTCAGTGGCCGATGCTCGGAACTATGCCGAGCTCCATCGGCGAGTGTCCGGGACGAAAAAATCGATGTATATATTCTGAGTTACTCAGGTCCTCCAGGATGTAGGTCCTCTGAAATTCGTTCCTTGCCGTGCTGCGTCTTTCGAAATCAATCACAATGAGGATTTCAGTGCAATCTGCTCTGATCACGCTTGCGAGCACATCTGCTTGCGCAGGTCAAGGGTACACAAACGAATCCGAAGTACCACTTTACGGTCAAAGCCCGCCTGTATACCCAAGTCGTGAGCCCTCCCCCTACGCGTTTATGTTAGAAACTTTACTGAAACATTGGAAGCTGTCGGAAATGGCACCAGTAACTCAAAATGGTCGGCGTCGTACGCTCGCGCTAAGGAGCTTGTTGGACAAATGACGCTGGAAGAGAAGGCCAACATCACACGCGGCTTTACCGGACGATGCGTGGGAAATTCAGGGGCAATTCCGCGACTCAACATTCCGCCACTATGCTTCGCTGATGCTCCGGACGGCATTCGAGGGCAGGAGTTCGTCTCCGCTTTCCCCGCTCAGATTCACCTGGCTGCGACTTTCTCCAAAGATCTTATGTACCAGTACGGCCATGCATTGGGTAAAGAGTACCGGGGGAAAGGCATCAATGTCGCTTTAGGCCCAGTAGCTGGACCACTTGGACGTGTTGCTCGAGGTGGACGAAATTGGGAGGGGCTGAGCAACGACCCATACCTTGCTGGCATTGGTATGGGAGCAGTCACTCGCGGTATGCAGGACACAGGAGTCATAAGCACTCCTAAGCATTGGCTCCTCAATGAACAGGAATTCCGGCGTCGACCCAACCAGGACGTGGAGGGCGAGGCCCTCTCCAGCAACGTCGATGACCGAACTCTACACGAGCTGTACGCTTTCCCATTTATGGACTCTCTCCGCGAGGGGGCTGGCTCTGTCATGTGCTCATATCAACGTGTCAACAACTCCTATGGATGCCAGAATTCCAAGCTTCTCAACGGAATTCTCAAGACGGAGCTCGGATTCGAGGGCTTCGTCGTGAGCGACTGGCAAGCTCAACATGCTGGTGTTGCGACAGCTAACGCAGGTCTCGATATCGTAATGCCCGATGGGGGATTCTGGGGACAAAATCTCACCGACGCAGTCAACAATGGTAGCGTCAGCACTGATCGCATTAATGATATGGCTACTCGCATCATCGCAACGTGGTACCAGCTCGGACAAGACCAAGACTATCCAGAAATTGGTGTCTATTCGAATCTACAGAAGCACCTTGCCGTGGAAGTCCAAGATGATCACGCAGATCTAATCCGCGAAATTGGTGCCGCTGGAACCGTTCTCGTCAAGAACGTCAACAACACGTTGCCGCTCAAGAACCCTAAGTTCCTTACCGTTTATGGATATGACGCTGTTGTAAAAACAAATCCCTGGCAAAACCCGTCTCGATTTGGCGGTGGTTACGAAGTCAACTTTGGATGGAACACGCTAAACGGTACCATGATCACAGGCGGAGGATCAGGGTCCAGTACCCCATCCTACGTGATCAGTCCATTCCAAGCCATCAATGAGCGTATAGCGAAGAATCGTGGGACTATTCGCTGGGACTTCGAGTCTGAGAACCCGTACTCTCCGTACGTTAATGCCGAAGCATGCTTGGTCTTCATCAATGCCTACGCTAGCGAGAGCTTTGACCGAACTAGTTTAACAGACGGATTCAGCGATAATTTGGTAAACAACGTGGCCGCCAACTGCTCGAACACCATTGTTGTGGTCCACTCAACCGGTATTCGCACGGTAGATGCGTGGATCGAACATCCAAACGTCACCGCCGTGCTGTTTGGTCTCCTTCCTGGACAAGAGTCTGGCAACTCCATTGCAGACATCTTATATGGAGATGTCGCACCATCTGGCAAACTCCCTTTTACCGTAGCAAAGAACGAGTCGGACTATGGCGCCCTTCTCAACTCTTCTGTGTCCTTTGATGCATTTCCTCAGGATGATTTCACAGAGGGCGTGTACATCGACTACCGTGCTTTCGATCGCGATAACATCGAGCCGCGTTACGAATTCGGCTTTGGCCTAACGTACACCACCTTCAACTACAGTGGCCTGCAAATCGCAAATACCAACTTGCGCGTCGATTCGCTACCCGACCCGAATATTTCCATCGTCCAGGGCGGTCACCCACAACTCTGGGATGTAGTTCAATCTATCAACGCTACCGTTGGTAACTCCGGATCAGTTGCAGCGTACGAAGTCGCGCAGTTGTATGTCGGCATCCCTGATTCTCCTGCCAGACAGCTGCGAGGTTTCGAAAGGATATGGTTAGCTGCCGGAGAAACAAAGACTGTCACATTCGACTTGACAAGAAGAGATTTGAGTATCTGGGACGTCGTTGCGCAGCAGTGGAGGGTTCAAGAAGGGGAGTATCAAGCTTGGGTAGGCGCCAGCAGCAGAGATTTGAGATTGAACGGGACTTTCAGCATCCGGAATTAAAAGTTTGGGGCTGTTCTAGTGCTTGCATTTCCGCACTTGGGCGGCGCGATACTTAGTAGTATGATGCGTAATTAATATTCAAGTAGTACGTAATACTGAACAATGATAGATGACTCCACTGCTCTGTGACGGGTTTACCTTCCCTACACTCCTATGAGGTTAATCAGTGCGACCTCCATCGGCCCATGATGTTGGCAGCATCACTCACATAGCAAACACTTTGAAATTTTATGTAATCATCAGAAACAAAATTCAATGTATTCACCTCGTTTTCTAAACCTTATAAAATCACCAAGCCGTCACGGAAATCATCCCCAACACAAACATCCACCTCTAATCACCAACCTCTACCTCTCCACAAAATTCCATCAAACTAGTCTCCTCCAATACCCTCCCCATCAAAATTCGCTATTCCATTCCTACTACTCTGCGATAAGTTCAGTAGCAGCTGCAAGTATACTGCTGGAAGGCATTATTCATAGTGCAGCAGCGCGCGGGACATTTATCTCCGGAGCACGTGACGTTCTTCTCCTTCTTGGCCTTCCCGCGGGCTTCGATGGCGATGGCTTTGGCGGCGTTAGCGGTGGTGATGCCTTCGGGTTGGGGGAGCGTAGCTGGTGGCCACGAAGGTGGAAAGGATGGCGAGGGCGATGGTTGAGAAATGCATTGCGTTGGTTTGGGTATCGACTTATGAAGTTTGGGAGATGACGCGGTAGGTTTTTGAATGAGTGGTAGTAGTTGGGTTTCGGATAAAGGCTGTAGATTGGAGTGATGAGTGCGGCTGTTTTATGGAGTCTGTAGAGTGCGTGATTTGCTTGTATTTATATTCTGTTATAGCTATGTACCTAGGTAGTCCTCGTACATAACCCTCATCCAAAGAAAAAACCTATTTCTGATGCACGAAATATCACAATTATCGTGCTTTGTCGATACATAGCTGTATAAGGAGAAATCGAAGCAGGGGGAGATCCCCTTGTAGGCTGTATAGCTTATAGCTTCAAGACATCGGAAAGTGAAGATGATCTATTTACTACATCACGTCTCTACAAATAGCCGAGGAAACGTACGATCATTCCCCACAATTTGACCAAGTAGGAGAATAGAGAGTCGGACAGGGTTTGTGGAGCGTCGGACTTTGTCGGGGTTCTGATAAAAATGTTTCGGTGTTTCGAGAAGCGACAAGCGAGATCCCAATGTTCTTTCAACGTTGTTCGTCTATATTGGTTATCCGTACGAGAAGCGAGTCATTGTGTACTTTTAATTCAACTTTGGAATCCTTTATGACTACCCCACACGTGCATCCGTGGTTTGGGTTTGCGTGTCTAGAGTCGGACCATCGAATCGTAATGTCTCACTCACTACACATTCCGCGAGGATGAGCCCTTTCCAACCATCTGACCCTCCGTAACGCGATGACTAGTATTCGGAAAGATGCGGCGTTCTCACAGGGAAATTCACACTCTCCAAATTCGTATATCCCACCTCCTCACCCCTCGCCGCATGCACCAATCCATCCAACCAATCCTGATGCCCTAGAAGCATCTTATTCGGTTTCTCCATCGCCCACTTATCGAATATCGGCCCAATTTGACTCTCCTGCGTAAGGATTCTAACCCGGTCCTTCTCGATATCTTCAACAACCCAAGCATGGTAGATCTCCAACCCCTCATCTGTCTTGCTGGACCAAGCAATTCGTCCGGGTGTGTTTCTGGCTGGCTCAACGTATTCTTCTACGGTGCATGTGAGCGGGGGGAAACCGAAGGTGCTGAATTTGAACATGTTTCCTTTTTGTAGGGTGGGGCCGGAGTCTGGAGCGGTGATTTGGGCGCAGTTTTTGTAGTAAGTCTCCCATTTTGAGATGTCTGATAGCAAACTCCAGATCTGGCTTGCTGAGATTCCCCGGGCGATTGTTTCATTGGAGACGAAATTGTCTGTTGTGCCGGGGAGGAAGTGGTCCGGCCAGATTATGCTCGATTGAGATGCCATGAAGAATTGACGATAAGGGTACACCGATGACTTCGGAGGACAGGGTAGTTTGTTGATTGTCGCGAGAGCAGTGGAACATGTGGGAATGGAGTTTGAACAAATTTCTTTGAATAGTGTATTACTCATTTCACGCTCCGATGATATCATGCCACGGAGCTTGGGTACCCTAAAGTCCGTTGTCCTAGGCTACATTGGGTAGTTTGGGGATACGCTAACAGACGTTGACATCTTTGGACAACATCTACGTGCTTAAAAATGAGTTGGCATGGCATTATCTCTTCATTCAGAGGAATTGGGGTAAAGTCCCGAGCCCTTATCTACACTTGCACGAGAATCCAGGGCTGGAAAGTACTGAATCCCGGGTATGGGATCGGCCAACTACATGTATACAGTCCTCGCACCAAAACACAAAGTAAATACCTATATACCTAGGTACACAATCACGCGTAGGTGTTGAATGTGAATCTAATATGCTGTATTGATTTGAGTTGGAGTTAAGGTGTTCCTACACACAGTGATGGGTTTTGACGATAAAGATAACAAAAACAGGCGATTACGACGAAATTAATACGAAGAGCCTTCACACAAGCTTAATAAGCAGCGATTGGGGGGCACCCCTCTAATATGCTGTAGAACCTTGGCTTTGCTTACCCTGCATGACAAGCAGTCGAATGGCCATCGGACATTTGTCCAGGTTCATTGATCAGTCACGTGCGTAAAATAAGCGAGCTGATGCGACAACGTTGCTGCCTGGGCCCGCCGTTCTTGTGTTCTTATCTCTGAATTTTCCAATTGTTTACTCTATAGCTCCCGCAAACACGTGAATGTATCGTCCATGTCTAAATCGCAGTCATCAGAGTCAGGCCCCGAGCTCCAGAGCCCGGCCGACAATAACAGTGCCACAAGGACATTGAGCCAAATCTCTTTCGCCAGTGTGGAACTGGATCAGCGTGATCTGTCCTTTGAGAGCGCATCAAGACAGATATTCAAATTCCTGGGGCGAAACCAAGTAGAATCATCATTCTTAGGGCAGAATTCGCCAGTGGAGGCGCCAACAGGTATGGAAGGAAGCCTCTTCTACTTTTCAGGTCACTGTAACATGTACTCACACATCGCCAAAGAAATTTTGCTCCGCAATCTAAAGAGCCTAAGGGACCAGGGGCAATCATTGCCTACCGAGAACATCTGTGTACCGTCATTTCTCAAGCTTCAGATAGAAGGACGCTGGCCAGGTCTGATCGTTCCGGACAATTCACCAATTGAGAGTTTATATCATAACGAGGTCCCTGATCTGTTCTCTGCATGGTGTAGCAAAGAACTTCACAAAACCCTAAGCAAGGAGCTCGGCGTATTTTTAAGCATCCTCGGCCAGGAAGCCGACCTAGAGTATGTATATTAGGGCTCGAGCTTGAATCTTAATGTCACCCCACACGGCGCAGTGCTTCGATACTTCAGTCTTTGTCACCGCCCGCTTTTTGTAACCTCGTTTTATTGGCCTTTTCGAGCATTGGACAAACTTCAACTTTCAATTGAAGATAAAGAAAAATTCACTACTTCAATGGGTATTGAAACAATTTGAGACGGACTGTGCTGACTCTTAACCCGCAAACTCAGAAAGCTTGATACAGATGGTTTATCGGCCTTACACATCGCGGTGATGCAGATCCGGCCAGATTGCATCAAAGTGCTACTGAAGCAAAAGGCTGATATAAGAGTTCAGTCACAGAATGGACAAACACCAATACAGTTTTTACTTGCCAAATATATGGAAGGCTGGGAGTCTGACGAATTTTTGTACTGGTCAGGCTTGGGACAGCGAATGATAAGGGCTGTCCGATTCTACGGATACACCAGCAGGTTCTCAGGAGAGGACATCATCCTATTGAAAGCAAAAGCATCATCGCCCAGGGCGTATTCATATGGTTATGATGAGTGGAGCAATCTGAAAAATGGAATACGTTCCATCGAAACGAACAAGGGTGGAGAACTTCTTGTCACAGAATCTCAAGCTCAGCTTAGCCTTAACTGGATCCATGTTCCATCCACTAATGTGAGTCAAGTCTTCTGCGAGGTACAAGCAACACTCTGACGAGAATCTACAGGGCATCGTTCTTGGGGTACGTGACGCATCGTATTGCCCATATGTGCGATCTAACATCAATTAGAAGATAGGGAAGGAACTTGATAAGCTGACGGGAGCATCTTTGGTTCCGCCTTGGCAGTTCTACGGGAGGGTGTCTAGTTTAGACATTGGCTTGTCCAATGATCTGGATTTTGCATACAGAGACCCAATATGTAAACGCTTTGGAGGTGCCGATGAACTATTGGAGATTGTGGTGAGCATATTCGCCGTTGCTTATTGACTTATTTCTAAAGTAAAGAAGTTCCCAATCCTGAAACTGAGATCTTTCCGGTATTTCAAAGCACAACGATCACACGTCTTAGATGTACATCGACTTTTCCGGACCCAGATAGACAGTAGGTACAGCAAGGTACAGACAGAAGCAACTCTAGACGAGGCATATTACCCGGGGTTAGGAGCCGAAGCATTGAAAAGCCGTAACAACGATCAGGTGGTCACAAAACAATTTGCTGCTCAATCGGATGATGAAACGAAGCCAATTCTGATGGTTGCGCAACTTTGGATTTGGCAAAGAGGCAACACTGTGCTGTCGGCAGGCTATGGTTATCCGCACAGCCGACTCAAATCCTGGAAATTACCACGTTGGCACAGTTCGCCCGCGCTCACGATGGCAGCTGTAATCACCGATTATGTTCACGACTTCGATAATAAGTCCAACTACAACGAAGACGAACAATTCATTCCAACTTTGTCAATATTCAAGAGAGCAGTGGTGTCAACTCTGACAGGAGTTGATGACTATATGGCTCAGCGCGAATTTGACGCAGAAGTAGAGTACGGTTTTGTTCATGATATATCTGATATCCGAGACGAGCTGGCTATGATTTTAGAAGTACTAGTCCAACAACAAGATATCATAGTTCAGCTACTTCGAGACCCTGACTTTGTTCAAGGGCAAAAGAATGCCACCGGAACGTCAGCTGCCGAGGCACACCGAGCGTCAAGTGAACAGAAGACGAAAGGGAAAACCAGTGAAGTTCACAAGAAGTTGATGGAGGCACAAGAAAAGATCTCGGAATACATCAGTACCATCAAAAAACTGGAAAGAGATGCAGAACGAATCGGCGACGTGATACAAAACAAGCTCAACCTCCGGAGGACAGCCGCCAGTATTGCTGAAGCTCACCATGCGAGACTTCTGTCGTTGTCGGTTTTTGGTTTCACCATCATCACTTTTATATTCACTCCGTTGTCTTTTATTGCGTCACTTCTGGCACTGAACATGGACTGGTTCCAGAATATCAAGCATCCCGCAGAGCCAACTGAAATTGACGGCAGCGGCGAGGAAGTTTACATGGGAAGTAAAGTCATCGGCGTATTCCGTAAGTTATCAAAGACACTACGCATTCATATAAGCTCAAATGCATCACATGTACACTAACTCACAGCATTCCAGTCGGTACTGAGTTCATCGCGTTATTTCTTACCCTCGTCCTCGGCTACGGCGCGTATTGGTCCTTCAACCATGTTTTCGAAAAACAGCCTTTCACTTTCCACCCGAAAGTTGTGTCGACGACCCTCAACCAATTGTTGAAGATATCCCCACCGAAACCGCAGAACTCTGAACGCCATATTATAGACAAATCGGATCAGAGATCCGAAAACTATAGCAGACACATCACTACAGCTGAATCGGGAACAAGGGGCGAGATTGCACCAAATTGGGCGGAATCTGTCAATATCAGGGATAAGGTTGCTGGCTTTTTCAAGCGCGAAAAAGGGAATCGTTTGGCTGAACTGCCTCGGTAGTGAACTTGTCTTGCCGTTTACTACAACGTAGACGTTCATGCACTCACCGCGAGACGAGAATTTTAATGATTGGGGTTATCGGATTTTCAATTAGGTACTTTCGATTATCCATTAATTGCTAAGATTGAGATATCTGTTCATTGTCACATTGAGAGCAAACACATAGAATACTAGAGACACAATAGTGCGCTTCGAGACTCAGCAAAAGCACTGAGTGATGTGAGCTATGAAGAATAAATTGCAAGATATTAGAGTAGATTACGGCGATAGACAATGAACGCACCTGGGCATGTACACAAGCTTGCAGATATGCACGTGATGTGAAGAAGAGAGTCACGTGATGCGCTTACAAATCTAGCGCCCCCGCTTCCAGGCCAACTCAAGTTCTAAACCAACGCCATCACTACTACCAACCCATCTACCACCACCGCATCATCCCGATTCCCATCGCCGCCATCGCCGTATCCTATCCGTAATCACTTCCAGGTCGCCCATTACTCGATTTCGGCGCATCGGAGGTTGTGCTGCTCTCAAACGTTGGCATTCACGGCGCGTCTCGGTTTCGGCCCACGCGCTGGCTTGCCGCGTTAGAGAGGTACCGCTTCGTTCTTCTCTGCCTACGCTCAACTGGCACTCCGTCCATCATCCTTGCGAATTTCACAAGGCCTTTGAAGTGTGTATTCACGGCGCGCTTCGGCTTTGAAGCCCACGCGCTGGCTTGCCTGCTTTGAAGGGGTGGTTCGCAGACAGTGAAGCGCAGTGCACAGGTGGACGGCGGGGACGGCGCATCTTTCTTCTTTTTTGTTTCAGTGGTCTGTGGTCGCTATTTACGCCGTGAAAAGCGCAGAGGAAGCTCAGAGGGAGGATATCGCGATACTGGACGACATCGTGGCGAGGGCGCACATCTAGTGAGTCGAGTCAGCGTTTGTGTGTTTGATTGAATGGGATGAGGCAGATAGAATATTGATACAGAATGACATATAACCTCTTACGTGAGGGCGGTATCGGTGCACTTGCTTGTATCGCAACCAACAATAATGCATATCCTCTACTTCACTGCTCCTTTCAAATCAAACATAAGGATGGCTCGCATGCTACCTTCTCTCTCCAACATTCGACTCATGTGCACGGCTTCGACGAGGCACAACCATTTCACTTTATATACGATGCCGATAACCTCGTCCCTGCCACTACCACATGTATGACTACGAAGAGGGACCTTGGCTTGACAGAATCGGGTCACATCGCGCGAAACCAGGTCCCCGATATCCGAGCTTTATCTTTGAATCTCAGAAAACCTTGCGCAATCATCTGTCCTGAAGTACCAGGAAGCATCGCACCAAAGCTAGGCCACGAGATTCCCTTCACACACCTTGTCAATCTTGCCAAAGCCACCGAAGTTACCATCTTGTTCGACTGGAAATGGCTCCACAAAAGCCAACACGGCCCATTCTTGACCATCGTCAGTCAACCAGAAACAATCACTGGCTTTCCCATCAACGGGAAAAACCTGAGAAAACGTAGGCTGGTGGACTGGTCTATCTTCACTCCTGTAGAGGAGCATGATGAAGAGTCAATTAATCCACCTCCCTACGTTGACGCGAACCGTAAGCGTCCCCGACAAAGTGAGTTCCCTCTTTGAGTTTTGATCTGCCAGCGTCGCGTCTACTTTCTTGATTGACACGCAATCAGTCTCGAGCAGCCCATCACATTCGTCGCCGCCGAAACGCATCGATTACACACCCGAAGGTTCTCCCACGGAGAAGGCGACAACAATCGCAACTTCCAGTCAGCAACTGTCAACTATCGACGACTCGCCGCGTCCTCATCGTGCCCACTTCGCTGACTCAACCCATATCAATCCTCAATTAGAGGATGCCATGAAGAAGATGATGCAGCAGATGTTCCCAGAGATGCTTGCCCAGTTCATCGATACATCCAAATCCATCTCATCTTCGCCACCACCTACATCCGACCGAGGGTCGATTAGAACTTCTGCTCCTCCATCACCTCTCCGCCACCTCCGCTCCTCTCTCCGAGCATTCCTCTCTTCCCGAACCACCGCATTGTTCGAACAAAAGCTCACCGCCATCTGCGACAACACCGTGTACGATGCCCAGTATATGCGTGTCGCTGCCGACGAAGACTTCATCTCAGCCATAGAAGAGCAGAAGCTCGACATACAAACCAGAAAGAGGGATGCGCTCGAGGACCTACAGGAGGACATCAATACTCTAGTGGATGAAAAGCTTCGTGATCTTGATGCCACGGTGGCGGAATACATGGAGGAGGCCGAGGAGCAGGTTGAACGTGTGGTCAATAACAAAGTCGATTATTATTTGAACAGGAAATATGTGAAAGATTTCGCGTCACGTATTACCGACATGAGCGGTCAAAGGTCGAAAAGGGATGGTCGCACTGCTGGCGATCGGAAGCGTCGTAAATTTCGAAGACGGGTGTAGCGTATCACACTTATTTCTCTTTTACGGCCAAATCTATTCACAATATCAATGCGTTTCTTACTGTGTCTTTGGGTCTTCAAGTTCTCGTGCCGTATCGGACTATCTGCGACGAAATTTGTTGACTGATGAAGACGTAGGCTACCTGGCGCTCCTCTATGCTTGGTCATAGTTCACAATTCATGTTGCATACTATGATAGAGTCACGGGTCTTGTTCTGCCTCTCTCATCTTGTTCCATAGCCACAGTGTCGTCGATCAGACGGAAAAACGAAGGGTAGAATCTAGTACATGATGGACGGCAGGAGCATCCGAATATTGCCTGATTTCTCTTCAATATGGTTCGCTATCAACTTTGGTACCGTATGTGTATTTACTCTCGTCTGTGCCAACCTCGGACTTGCCCAGAATATAGTTAAGATCCTGGATTGGACGTCGCCTTTCCACAGGTTCTATATGCACGGTGACATGGGCTGTGGTGATTAAGTTTCTTGTTGGCATTTCGGTGGTTTATGATGCTCAAATGTACATGAATCGGCCACATTTTTGTGCTATATGGGAAAACGTGGATTGATGTAGTGTTAGGAGGTTGTAGTCTCGACTGTTGGCACAGTATGACAGAACACAATTTGTGGAAACAATGATTGGACAGAAGATAGTAATGTCAGCCATTCTGCTCTCTTCCTTTACTGGTACTGATATTTGACATTCCACATTGACATTCTAAAACGTTTACAGAATGCCAGATTGCGTACATACTAGATAAAAATCTACATTATCACTTCAGGTGTCCTATTGAAAGATAAGCAACTGCTGTTGAGAGCACTTGTTGCTTATCATACGATTTGAGGAGTCAGGCCACAGCCTCAACTCATCACAAGACCACGCTAGAATTAGCTACTGATAATCATGATTTGCATCCCAAGATTTAGGGCCTGGACGAATCAATTGTCGCGATCGGTTGTAGCAGGGAAATACGTATTGTGCAGGCGGGGGTGACTAAGAAACTTTTGGCGGAGTTGGATCGAACCCCAACAGGGATCCATGCTCGCGAAACCCCCAACCCGCAGAACAGGTCGTATTACATATGTTGGAACTTGCCTGCATTTTTTGGCATACTGCAGCACACAGGCATAACTTTAAGGTCTGGCCATCGATTTGTGCCGGCAGCCGTGGACGCTACGGCCACCGGTAAAATGACCATGTGGCACAGCATCACACAGGATGCCATTTGTTATAGAGACCTGATAAATCCATTGTTGTATATACGGCTCTTCCAAATCCAGCTCGTGGCCAACCTCGCAGTATGAGCGCTCCGTTTATCCCGAAACAAGTTCTACCGTTTGACCCACGTTTTCTCCTTAAGTTGAACGTGGGCATATCCCGATCGCTCGCAGACCAAGTCGTTTCGAAAGTCGTCCCGACTTTGCCGCCAAAGAGCCGTATCCATGACAATGCCTGTGGGCCTGGCGACGTGACGAAAGCCCTGCTGGAGGCAGGCAAACTAACCGACGGCACCACCATCGACGCTACAGACATCAACTCAGCTTATCTTGACGAATTGGAGGATGCTATAAAGGATAACAAGGCGTCGTCTGTGACCGTGGAAGTCATGGATTCCATGGCGTTGACGTATCCGGACAACACGTTTACTCTGTCGATCGCAAGCTTAGTACTTCCATATGTGAAAGAGGATGTTGCGGTGGCGAGGGAGCTTCTACGGACACTCGAGCCTGGCGGAACAGGCGTCATTACAGTGTGGAAGGATAGCCCAATGATCAATGTCACCATCGATGCGCATCACCAGACTCGGGGAAAGGAAGCCCCGTTGCCTCCGCTCGTGGCGCTTTCTCTTTACTCCGTGGACGAACTTAAGAAAGCGCTTGACGGTGCAGGCTATGGGAATGTTTCGTACGTAGACATGACTGCGTATGCTGACATGGATGACATCAAGGAATGGGCGACGATCGCGTGGAGTTTCTTAGCGCAACCATCTGGTGGATGGACAAAAGCTGATGAAGATAGCTGGGACACGGCGATAAGCATAATGGTGGATGGTCTGTCCAGCGCTGGGTCTAAGGACGAGCAGAGCAAGATAACGATGGTGCCAATGACGGGAACCGCTGCCGTTTTCAAAAAATGAGACATTTCTTGATTCTGAATTGTCAACGGTCAATTACGAGACCCCGATGCAAGCGTGTGCTTCATTATCTACCCGCCAGAACAGCACTAGTATACATTGGCCGAGGAATATATGTTTCCCTTGGGCCACAGCGTAAAATTACAAGACCTTTATCTTACACCGTATTTCCGCTGTTCTTCCTGCAGTTCGTATGTGTTGGCAATTCCAAATTCGGTGTCCACTCTGATCCCCTGGCTGGCCAATCCTGTCGTGGACGAATTATTCTGATGTCGCATAAACCCACCGCCTGGTAAACTTCCCTTCGAACGTGACTGAGTGGTGTCCTTCGACGTAAGGAGACTGAATAGTCGAGAATTCAAGATGCGTTGACCGGTAGCACTCTGCCCGAGAATTGGAAGTGTGGGGACGCAGGCACAGATTAATCCGAGCGAGGTTTCGTAGTATCTGTGTAATGTTAGCTGCTATGCTTCCGTTGACACACGTCACTCATACCCGGTGATCACAATTGTGGGATAGTCCCACGTCCCATCCGTAGTATCATTCTTGATTCTAAAGTACGCGCTCGCAATGCTTAGCGCAGTGGCACTAGACGATGGTGAGTCAACTGTGCATACGTTCGCGGTGGAAAAGCGTGAGACTCACATGAGACCAAGACAGAACAATGCGCTTGCTCGCAGCCTTCTTTGAAGAGAAGTGTTCAAGCCCATCAATATTGGGATCGAGATACCGAGAATGAAGATGTCACTGACAACATTGAACGCGCCGAGAACAGAGGATAAGGGTAAGATAGTCAGACATCTTCCGGTACTAGCCTCAATAACTGTCTCTCCTGATCTAGGGATGCAGTAGAACATGGATAAGATGACATATATCAAATACATCAAAGTAGTGGCACCAGTAGCAGCAAACAAGATGTATCGAATCCATTTGCGTGGCCAGAATAGCTCTGTAATCAGCAATAGCAGTGATATTTTTACGAAGTATTGGCAAACGGCAAATAAGATTCCGCCCGCGATAAGGCTCTGGAGTTGGATTAGTTGAATTCTATGGGGTTTTCCCACTTGATGAAGTACTAACGGCGAAATAAATATCTGGGACATCTTTTAAACGAAGCTCGTATTGATGATTCCCCATGCCTGGTACAGCGCACACTTGCAAATCGGTTAGCTTTGAGAGACGGAAACAAGGTTTTTGAACATACTATGCAGTAAAACGTAGGTCCAACCAGCGAGACTGATCTATTGCTGCAAGTAAGTTTGCATTCGAGCCGGTTCTTTGTGGGTTTCTTACCGCGCCGGCGACGCAGGACCCTAGATAATTGAGATTAGAAAATGTACTCAGCATTTCATGCACATATACACTCACAATCGGAAGCATTGAAGGACTTGCGAACAAATGCCTTTCCGTAGACACGAAGACCAAATGTGAGTAGTGTAAACGGCATGATGGCCACGAGCAAGCCAATCACCATCGGCTTTTTACTCGCTGGATGTTCGAAGTTGGGCGTCACGCCGAGTGGTGTAGGCCCGAAGGCCTTCAATTCTGGGTCCATTGAAGATTCTGTCATTGTTGCGATTGTGATCTCCAGGTCCTCGAGATTATGAGGTCTGTAATTTTCAGACAATCTGCGGCTGTGATGGATAGGGACGACGGGGTCCAGGGCAGATGTGGGCTTCAGCCACAAACAAAAACCATTCCAAAACTCATGCAACACTTGCCCCAAGCGGACTTCGGATTCCGTTATCTCGCACGAATTTTTGATTACTCAAATGTTGGTGGAGATCGACACTGACAACTTGGCTCTCGTTGATCCCATCTTTTCTTGATCGGCCACCGAACCGATGGGGGTAAACTAGGACCGTTTGTGGTCAGTTCAGCTCGGGAAATGCTGAATTATAAAACGGCAGGCCATAAAAACCCGACATTGGAATACTACAGATCCCGGCGTCTATGTAGCTAGGGAAATTAGGTTCCCCAACACGTTATGATTTGCAGATTGCTTCCCCGGGGACCCTGAAAAAGCAGCCACCAAAGCCTTTGCCGTCACTACTACCGTCGCCATTGCCCCCACCGCCGACTGTCCTATCATAAGGATGCACTCGTACACGAGATGCTTCATATACCCCAGGTCCATCTACTGCATGCGCACCTTCACCTGCCTGTCTCAGTCGCTCACATACAGCAGTATCGCGCGAGCCCCCCCACTCCCCACTCCCCACTCCCCTGTCTGGTACAGCCTGCTGCACCTGCAACGGCTCATGCGACCTGCTCTTTAATGCTCCGAGACATTGCCTGTTACTAATGCTCTAGATATCAATAAATTTGTCTCGGGTTGAAAGTCTCGGGGATTAGCACTCTTTTGGTAGAATGCTTGTGCTGTACCAAAATGCGATGATCACGACAAATGATTAAGGCCCGCCATAATGTGAAAAACCAATCTTGGATAGCATTCGAGTCCCTCAAACCTTGTTTATTTGAGACATGGTGCTGCTATAGTGATGCAACAGTTCCAGGGGCAGTAAGACAAGGATATATACATGCAGTGATTGGGCTGACTGATCTATTGCAAATGTGCTACAGTACCACGCCTAAGATTTGGGCTCGGCGGGACTCTGGATACGTGTCCAAAGTTTTGACATAATACTCTATCTAAATACTAAGGGTTGATAGAAGAGGTAAGCCTTGTCAGAACTCTGCTGTAGCTTCTATAGTAGAGAGCAACAAGAGTAATATGGTTCTTTAACATACTTAACACTGCATCTTTTAAATCTGTACATCTCTACTAGATTGTTAGGGCGTTCTATACGTTACTAAATCAATTGCGCAGTTAATCTAAGCACTAACCACTGTAATAAATCATCGCATTTCTATAATTGACAAATGTATTTACCTGTATCTTAAGGCAATTCTCTAAATTTCCCTTTGTACTGTGTCATACCAGTACTGCGAGCGCCAGGGCCTCGAGGCTTTCGCAAGTTTGGAAAAGAAAAATGACGACGCGCCTTCTGACCACGAAAGGTTTTTTAATTTCCCATTCTATACTCTCATTGTCAGGAACTTGTATTGAGATGCGTGCGTGCAATTATCGATCTTATATTTCGCCCATGTTTTTTCCGAACAAGTCCTCCCCCAAGATTTCCGATTCGTCTTGATACCCCTCCGCGGCACTACCTGAACTCTCGAGCTTATCCTGGATACCCAAGATGCCTGTCAAACTCTCAATGATACACTTATTGACAGCCCTGATCTCTAGCTCATCAAAACAATGTTGCTCATACTCAAGGCGCATCAACAGAGTTCTATGATTGACAACCAAGAACTCAACCATTAGTTTGAACTTAGCACCAGAAGTCCACGTGTAGCATGGTTGTGCATCCACGTTGGCCATTTTCATAGCACCGAAGTTCGGATGATACGATACCATGATGTCGAAGACCTGGGACTCAGAGCGCGCAGATCCAACTGTCTTCAAAACTTCGTGCCACGGTACTGCGTTGCAAATTGCATTCTGGCTCGATGTCCGGACTTGTTTCAGAAAAGAGGGTAATTCCGCTGTTGGAAGTACCCCGCCGGAGCAGGAAGTGTTGGCCGGATAACGAATACGAATAGCAATAGGCTCAAGAAATAGTCCAACGATCCCCTCGGCATTGTGGCGGCTGCGCCCTAGGTACGGTGCTCCGAGAACCACGTCAATATCCTCTGAATCGCTTGGTTGGAGTGCAAGAGCCACCGCCGCAAGCACAATCTGATGGGGCGTAATTTTCTCTCGCGATGCAAAAACTTTCAATCTTTCAAAAATCCTCGTGGGAATCCGGCAGAAGTGGGAAGTACCCGCAGGCTTGTTGCCAGGCGCATGCCAATTCCGACCATTTGCATAACGAGATAGGGGAAGATTGCCTAGATAGTCTTCCCAAAATGATAGCTCACCAGTGGTAGGTGGGGTGATGATTCGCTGGTGGTCGCAGTATTGCTTTGGTGCATCGAGAGAAATACCGCGATACAACTGGCTGACTTCCTCGAGCATGGTCTGGAGGCTGCTATAGTCACAGATAATGTGAGAAGCGACGATGATCAGTTGCGTGGGTGTGGCACTTATGCGGATGAGATGGTCATGCTCCAGATCAAATATCTTTTCCGTTATTTTCCGTATATCCTTTCGGCTCATGGTCTTCAGATTCACATTGACAGTGGGGCTCGTATCGTGGTAAGATCTGTGTGGCTTTCCACCTGCTGCCGAAATGTATCGGCATCGAAAGATATCATGACGACGGAGCATGGTATTCCAAGAGTCAATAAGTTGTCGAGAATTCACACTTGTTCCTAGCTCGAACATCGCAGTGACATTGAACGCAGGTGACCCACCAGTCGTTTTATATCTATCCGACCAGTATTCTTCCATGGGGGAAACCGAAAATGTATCTATGGCTGCTTGTTCTGCATCTTCCTTGGCAATCGGCGTTTTCATCAGGTTTCGAACCAAGTCGTCTAGTGTCGGGGATAGCGCGATGCAAGAAAGCGGAATTGTATAGCCAAAGTAATCAGAGAGCCGATTAGCTAGTTGTAGCTGCAACAATGAGTCACCCCCTAATTCCAAGAAGCTTGAGTCCGAGTTTATGCTAGTAGTCGGTGGAAGTTTCAAAATGTCTTTCCAGATTCCGATCACGACGCTCAATATTCGGCTATCGGATGGAGATAATGATGATACCTTAGAATCCATACGAGAAGCTTGCTCAGTCACCATGGAGTTCAGGATGACTTTGTAATCGATCTTCCCTGCGTTTGTCTGAGGTAGCTCCTGAATAGCGGTGATGTGTCGAGGCAGACAATAAATGGGTAAAATCAAGGCTAGTTCCTTCCTTACGATGGATAATTCTAAATCCTGTGGCTGGATCTGCGCAAGGAGTTCTTGATTTTGCGCATTGTAGACCACTGCAGCGGCGGTGCAACTGCGTATCGCATTCTTGATGCGAACCTCGATATCATCTAAGTCGACCCGGTATCCTTTAAGCTTGATCTGCCTGTCGTTTCGACCGCAAAATTGCAGCTCTTTCTCCTGGTTCCAGTACCCTCTATCGCCTGTTGCATACATCATTTCTCTATCAATCGCCATAATGGAATCCGACGAAAATCTTCTGCGTGTCTCCGAGGGTTTGTTTATGTAGCCTTTCGATACTTGTACACCTGCGAGATAAATCTCACCGATGACTCCTGGAGGAACTAAATTTTTTCGGGAGTCCAAGATGTATATTCGGGTCGATGGATTTGGCCTGCCCAAAGTGACCGGCTGTTGTGGATACAAGCGTTTGATAGTGGCTCCGCAAGTTGCCTCAGTAGGACCATACATATTGTACAATGACACTTTGCTAGCCCAGCTATCGCATACATCTTGCGGAACCGCTTCTCCTACTAGGTATAGTATCGTAAGAGTGTGGAAGTCGTGTGGGTTCAGGTGTCGGGCTATAGAGGGGGTTAGGATCGCCGCATTGACTTTGTGAAGATGTCCAAATGGGTCCGACGAGCCCCCGAGTACTAAGGTTGAGCCGTAACTTAATGCGGAGAATATTTCGTGTATGCTTCCATCGAAAGCTGGAGACATTACCTGACCAATGCGCCAGCGTGGCCGGGAGCGCAGACGGACGTTGAAGTCTTTCTGGAATGCGACTAAACTACGATGAGAGCAAAGTACGCCTTTTGGTGTCCCCGTGGATCCAGAGGTAAAGCAGAGGTATGCAGGCGCCGACGGGTTTGGGAACCGGAGTGGCCCGTAGGGAGAAGCTTTAGTCTTGAAAGATGGCGATTCCAACCCAGGCATCAGCATATCATCAACGGAAAGTAATAATTCGCACGTAGCGGGTCTTAGATCTTTGGAAGCACCATCTCCTATCAGAAACAACCGACTCCCGGACTGCTGGAAAAGTTGACTTCTTGCCTGGTTGGGCAACCCAGCATCCAGTGGACAGTAAACACATCCGGCTTTCAGAACTCCGAAGATTGCCACGATCCAGTTGATCGTTCGGTCGGCATGCACGCATATAACCTCCCCTGGATTTATGTGCGAGCTAAGCTGTTTGGCAACCATATCTGTCATCTCTTTCAATTGATAGTAGGTAACTGTCATTTCGCCTTTTTCTACAGCCGTTTGGGTTGGATTGGTAGCAGATACTGCGGTGAATAGACTGACAAGTGATTGTTCCCAAGCAGGTGACGATCTCAAGGTCAGGCTTGAGTAGCAGTTTCCATTTTCCCATAGCTCATGTTTGTATGATGAGAGTTGCGCTTGAAAACAGCCGCGGACAGTCTGATTCGGGCGCATGAGTGTTCGAACAGCGGTGGCAAACTGCCTCCCTAGCCTCATCATATCGTTTGAGTTGAAATGGTGCTCATGGTAGAATAATTGTATGTTTTCATCCATGTGAATGTTCACACTCAATGGCAGATCCGAGATGACGTTGGTATAGGGTGCTTCGAGCATTTCTACGGGGCTGGGCTGGAGTATAGGCGATTCAAAGTGAATATTCAATGTAGAGTCGAATGCTCTCTCGATACCTCTCTCAGGAATGGTCCACTGGTGCTTGTCCAAATCTACCGCATGCTTGAACACCGATCGTAGGTAGTTACCGATATCTTGCTGGGGTTCAAGTAGTATTTGAAAAGGCAGCGTGTTAATCAACGGCCCGACCGCAGTTGCTGCACCCGCTAAAGGTAGACTGCGCCCAGAAAAGACAACACCGAAGCAAACATGACTGGACCCCACGTAGTGACTCAAGGCTAGCGCCCATGCGGCATAGAAGATGCTAGCAACAGTAACTTCATTGTGTCTAGCGTGTTCGTGCATGCTCTCCCAATCCACCTTGAGGTCGACATCTTGTTTGGCGTAAACAGCCCTGAAAGGAACCTCCTGTTTAGGTAGAAGTAGTTGACTCTTCGCCCTCTCAATTTCAATCTTCTGACTGGCCCAGAATGATCTTCCTTCTGACTCCCAAAGACCGCGGGTCGCAGCGAATTGGCTCATCAAGCGAGTAAATGAGATACCAGCAAGAACGGGCCGGTTCTTCAGCGAGTTACGGTGATTGTTCAAGATAAGCATACTCGAGTAACCATCGATCAAGGCATGATGAATGCTCCAAATCACAGTACTCTTCCTGATTCCCGCATCCGATTGGAAATGAACGACCTTGAAAGAGGCACCAACGAAGTCAGTGCTAAAGTGGTGATCATTGAGGAGAGATCGGGCATCTTCAGGACTATTTGCTTCGATTTCTTCCCATGCAAATTTGGCGGCGTCGTCGTGCTCCACAAGCTGAAGATTTTGTTTTGATGGGCGGAAGGTAGTTCGGAATATTGGTTCAGAAGCGACTACAGCCCGCCATGCGTCTCTAATTCTGTGTACGTCCTTTGTGTGATATGTCTCAAAGTATTGTACAACATTCCGGCCAGCAAGCGTCTTACTTCCGTGAATAAGAGATAGCTGCGTATGCGTTGCTTCACAAGTTTTGGGCCTTTTCTGGTTCTCTGTTCGTATGGCGTGGATACTATCAGTCAAGGATTTTCTTTTGCTTCCTTGAGACGAGCCAGGTAAGATATCCGGGGAGATAGAAAGGCTGTGCAGAGACTTGACGTTCTCAATCAGGTGGTTGATGGTTCCACTGCTCATCAACATAGCTACAGTGATATCCAGCCCTCTCGAGCGACAGGATGAGACTACCTTGATAGCCGATAGTGAGTCTCCACCATTCCTTATAAAACTCGCAGTACAGTCCAATTGTAGTGTTGAAACATTAAGAGCGATTGATAGCTCCTGTAATAGATCATGTTTCGGCGAATTCGAAGCAGAGAGTCCCATTGACTCTGGGAGGCAGTCATCCGTACGCGGTAACTTGATCATCGCTGACAGCGAACAGTGCCGACAAACACAGGAACAGAAAAGGTAGAAAGCTGAGGAAAATTATCGTGAGTATTCATGAGACCCTTCAAAATTCTGGTCCTTAGTGACATCATCAGATTTCCAGCCCGTCAAGTCGCGAAAATGATTGCGATCGGGAACCGAGCCACGCGCGTCGGAGCCCGCACTTACCGGCTCATCAATCTTCAGCCTATCAACGTGAAAGTTTGTATTTGAGAATTTGAGATCATTTTATCTCCTGTAAACGTTCGTATCTTCAATATTGTCATCTCTGAAAGATGATCATTCTTCAAACTTTACCACCACCCACGTCGAATGTTTGGTATCTCGCATATGGTTCCAATCTTGCTGCATCTAAGTTCATTCATGATCGCGGTATAGTCCCTATCTCATCTACTGTCGTGGAAGTGTCAGGATGGACGTTGGTCATGGACAGCGCCGGAGTGCCATATTCGGAACCCTGTTTTGGTAGCATTTCGCCTATTCCCGCCTTTGGGGACGAGAAGTGTGTTACCTTGATTGGCACAGCATATCTTCTAACGCCGGAAATGTACAAGACTGTACTTGCATCTGAGGGGGGAGGGATTGCCTACTGCGAAGTTGAGATTCGGGTCAAGAAATTGGAAGGAAAAAGCCCAACATTCGCAGCAAGATCCCTCGCAACAGTTCTTAGGAGACTGGCAAAACCCAGTGAAAGATATATGGTGATTCTTGGCATTTCTCTTTATATCATATGTCTGCGCCACCAAGAGTTGTTGGAGATCATAAATTTTGGCTAATACATGGGTCTATCCCTAGGGTCTCCTTCGTACAGGAGCCAACGAAGCTGACATGCCGCACTCGTATCAAAAATTTCTCAAGAACATCCTAACCTATACGCCACCAACAGCTGCAATGCCGCGCCTTGGAGCAGCTATATTTCTGGCATTCTGGATTCCCGTGATGTCTGTCATGGAGAAGATAACAAAATCGAGTTTAAAGAGAAGCGGTGAAGCTGAAGCACCCACTTGGGTTGTCCTCATGGTCAGAGTAGTGGTGCATTCCATGTGGCTATACCACGATTATGTTCATTCGCCAATATGGGGGAGGGGCGATGGAATGGAACTTTGTTGAATGAAATTATCGTCCGCTTAAAGATGGCCTCGTCGGTCAATCAAACTATCGCGCAGTCGTACTCTGGACGTTCGTGCCACTTCCAAATGCGATGAGTACGTCCACCATCAAAAGATTGTTTGCGCATAGGAATGTATGGTACCTCCCACATCAGAATAAATAACATTTGAAATATATGCGCAGTCAAACAATCAATGACAACCGCAAACATATTCAATAAATGGGTCTATGGGCTGATGAGATGACTGCATTAACACGTTTGGAACTGTGAACCAAAACCCAAAGGTAGCGATCTACGAGATGACGGGGAAGACCCGTCAGTAGCATGTTTGATCATGAATCAGTGTAAAAAACCAGGCAACGAACTTCAACGCTTTCGCGAGGCTGAGCGTCAGCTGGTGCTCGGGGGTGCGGAAAAGCGCAATGAGCACACACTAGTGGTGTAATGTTAGTTGACAGAAAAAGTCTAGGCAGGACTGCAACTGAAACCAACGTACTTTTCGCCACATCCTCACTGCTGTCCCAAATCTTGATCAAAGTCGTTTCTTCTGGTGTCTGTCGATCCAGATAAAACCATTTCTGGTCAAGCGAATGGCATACGGAGACGGTTTGACCTTGAACCTCCTTTTTCTCTTTATATATGTTTGTCGGGTGGATTTCCGATTGTTTCAAGCTTTGATAATCCATCACCGCGAGCGGCCAATCTTCAACAATCCCGTGAATGGGTCGCCACACACTGCCTTTGTTCAGCACGCCACCAACCAACCAGAGGAATTTGCTATGGGCTCTTACTTGATTACTTGTGTCCGGCCACGAAGAAGGCTTTCGGCCTCTGCTCCAGCGTGCCGTTTTACTCTTGCGACGGCCCCGAAAGCAGATCTGCCCCAAATCAGTATGTTGTTATTGAAAGGGAGGAACCGGGCGATCTTACTGGTCGCAGTGTACCTTTGAAGCATTAGTCATTGAAAAATTAGGTACACATACCATGATTTCCACTTACCAGTGTTGCTGGTTGTTCCCTGCCATTGGGATTTTCATTTGGTTGCAGCGAAGCATCACGTCGACGGTATGTGTGGTCGAATATAATGACCTTCGACGCCCCGGTATGACGCATGACTAGATCTTTGACTTTGGTATAGTATTTTTCTTCTATCAAGTCTTTGTCTTTGTTTCGTATCGCATCTGCAATAGCGACTTCTATGCCATCATCGCGCTGGAACGCAAATCCATGAGTGTCAAGTGTGAACGATTCCATCTCTGGTCTAGCGTTATGGATCTCAACGTCGTAGGTCTGGTTCGTGAAGTTGGTGCGCGGATGATCATCCTCCACTTTACCACGCACGTATGGCCCTTCCTCCTTAGAGGACCATGGCTCCAGATAGGACATTTGACTTTTCACAGCGGCCATTGCAAAAGAAAAAAGTGAGTTGCTGGGGTGAAATAGAATTTGTAGAATAACCGTTCATGACAGTAGCTATTGGCGGTTTCATTATGTACTTGTATCTACAGCCTACCATCGATGTATGCGACCGGGACCCGACTCACATATATCTTCGGAGATTCCAGCCAAGATGTCCCAATATATTCCATGAAAATATTGAGGCTGTGATATTATTCAATAGGGACATTATATCGATCATCACAACATAGTGTTGACATTCTTAGTGCTGACACGACCGTGAATTTGGGGCACAAGAAGTGATGCGCTTGACGAGTAAATGCCAGACCTGTAAAATTGAACCGAATGGGGTAATCAGCCGGAAAACTGTAAAAATTATTGATGTTGCATATTTGACTAATCTCAATACCTCTACGACATTACCGCGTGTTCTCGCAAAGGAAAATTGGTTGCCTACTTTCGGTAGCCGAGCCGAACAGTCAACTATAGCGTTGACGCAAACCTCTTTCTAAACCCTCTAATAGAGACTGAGAATTCCCTGGAAAGCGGGGAATCATAATTTCAGGCTCACAATGGATCTCGAAACAGCACCTCTGCTCGCAAATCGAAACGCGGAGGAATCTGAGCGAACTACATCAACTCACAATCCCCCCACCGAACATGCCCGAGGACGTTTGATTCGAGAAGAACACATCAACCGGGTATTGCCCGTAGCATTTACAGCTTCTTTTGCGATTGCAGCCACATCTGCGACGACGGTGTTTGCTTACGCTCACTTGATGTGCAAAGATCCGGCGAACTGCGATGAACAAGAAAGAAAGCCCTACGCTGGGGTAGTGGCTGTTGCAACAAGCATCGCAAATGTGTGCGGGGTGTTGAGTGTGGGCCTTTTGCGGCAGTGGAATACGGCCAATCCCAAATTTGGACTTTTCTTCTGGTTGACATGTCGTGGAACAAGCCTCTTATTTCTGGTCGCAGGATGTATGTGATAGCATTCCCGCTTCAGCGTTCAGCTTTTTTCGAATGCACCAACTAATAAGAAAATATCTATTTAGTAATGCTAGACAGTATCTACGTTGCGGTTGCGGGCAGGGTGTTCGAGGGATTCGCCACTGACAATGTGCTCCATTACACTCTAGGAGCTGTATACGTCAAGAGTGAAGAACCGGCGATGGTCGCGCGACGGTTCGGGACGTCATTAGCTCTGTACATGAGCGCAATGTCTATGAGCCCTACAATAGTAACATTGCTCCCAGATTTTGGTTGGAGTTTTGGGCTTGCGATAGCAATCCTCGGCATTTCGCTAATATATGTGGCATTGTACGTTCCGACGGTTGATTGCGCCACGGGACGGATTTCAGATCAGCAACAGTTTCAGCATAGCTTGAAGGCATGGAGTCAGCGAACCAAATCGATATTGAAGTCTTCGCGAACATTCGTTCGTGGGCCTTTCACGATACTTCCTGGGATGGCGATATTTCTTTACAATGCCGCACAAGCCTATCTCTTTCCAGCTATCATGGTACATGCATCCATACGTTTTGGATTTACGGGTACAGAGAATGGCTACTTGATTTCGATTGCCGCCCTCACATCTGCCATTTATCTATTCGCGATCATGTTTGCAGTACCCAAATGTACTAAGCGGTTTAAAACAAGGCCACAACAGCGAGAGGACAGTGATCGCGACACCACAGGAGCAAGAAGTGACGAAAGAAGTCTAACTCGCAGAAAGTCTGACGCGCTTTATGCTCTCACCTCTATGCTTGTTCAGGTTATTGTTCTTCCTTGTATCAAGCTAGCGGGTCGTCCTCACGAGTTGTACGGCTTAGTGGTCCTCATCGCTTTGGGGCTCTCCGCTCCCAGTTTCATCAAGAGCTATGCAGTTACAAGCACCAAAGCGAAGGACTCAGCTCTAGCGGGCATGGCAATAATGGAGAGCTTGGGAGGCTTGGTATCCCCGATGGTTCTCGGTGCAATCCAAAGCTTCACGAACGAGGGCATGGTTTTCATCGTAGCTTCATGCCTGGTCGCAGGAGCTATGTTGTGTCTGGTTGCGAGTCTGTTATACAGATGAAACTAGACAGTCGACGCCATTGGCACATTCCGGCAATCAAAGACAAAAAAATACTGATTGAGTGCAAATATTGCAGCATCTATCAAATCTACGGAAAACTAAATGCCGTTCATTTAGTCACTATTACGACATTAGCAGTCATCGTCAATTTCCCATCGCCCTCTTCATGTTTTTTGAATCCATCCCATGTCTCCAAAACCTTCTGAACCGTATCAACAGCCTCTTCCCATCTTGTCTCGTCCTCTTTTTCCCATCCGGAGTCCAAGGCGCCCATGAAGCTCCAAACGATTTGGGCCCAGCGTCTCGAATCCTGTACCTCGATACTGGTCGCTGCAGTTTCATGGCGGATGTTCTTATGGTCGAAACCAGCCTGCTCTAGAACCTGAGACACCTGGTTTACTCCCATCCAATGCTTTGTCACCCCTGTTGGGGGCGGTGTTCCCGCAGATCGAGTTCGCTCATGACCCGAATTGACGGCGTCGATCAATATTGTGTCTGCCCACACGGTGAATATCGCCGTGCCCCCCGGCTTCAGGGTTCGATAAATCTCGGAAGCAGCAGCAGCACTGGATTTAACCATGTGAATACCGAAGTTCATGACGGTGTGCGTGAAGAAATTGTCTTCGAAGGTGAGGTCTTCCGAAGCCATCGTGGCGCACTCGATTGGCCAACTGTTCTGGGAGGCCACAGCCTTGGTCGCCTCGACCATTTTCGCCCAGATGTCGGTTGCGTGAATACTGATGGACTTTGGCGATTGGGCCATGATGGCTTTTGAAGCGATTCCCTGGCCGCAGGCATTATCGTGCAGAACAGTACCTTCTGGTAGAGGAGAAATGTAAGAAACAATTTGGTTGGCAACGTCTTGAGTGCCATCTCCCAGGATTTCCGCATAGTATTTTGCCTCCAAAGGAAGCGCCTGTTTTGGTACGAATCGGGCCATAGTGTCAATAGGCGGGTGCTCTTCCTCGATAAGTTTAGAGTTGTTTCAGAAAAGGAAAACGAACGAAAAAATAGTCAGAGCATTGGAGCATTTGAAGGACATGCTGTGGGCAAGTCCGACCTGCGTGCGTCTGCCTGCTCTGCTTACGCCGCAACACAGGAGTTTTGTCGCCCCAACACAACAGCTGTGCCGCCCCCAACAATGTCGGCTTATCTACTACTCAGCCAAACACGAGAATTTTATTGATACGAGAATTTATTGATAAAGTCGGTTTCCGAGCACCGGTGCCCGACCCGTATAACAGGACGACTGTCCTCGCCCGTCAAACATCCAAATGGAAGGTTGCTCATCTGGCACTTAATTTTATCTCCGCCTCCCAACCGTCAGAGCACATTGCTGGGCTACAAGGTCCATCCCTTCTTTCTTTCCTTCGCATTGTTCGCTTGCTGCGCCTCCAAGCACCATGCATGTACCCATCGCCTCGAGTAACGAGAGGGCGACTCTGGTACCACGGTACACGGAAACTGGGTTTCTGAGCCCACATGTGCAGGCGGGATGGGGCTACGCCTCAGTTGGTGTAACGCTGCCTCTCATGCTGGTATTGCTGTTCTTGCGACTCTATACCAGGATTAGAATTACACGCAAGGTTGGCGCGGATGATTGTATGTTGCCACGTCTACAATGCCTCTTTCCAAGTCCTGCTAACGATGCCGGTAGATTTGGCCATTATCGCTGCGGTTAGAAATTACTCGTTCTGATGCAGATTATTCGTTCCGGCTGACGCATGGAAGGTTTTCAACACAGCGAACTGTGGGCTGTTAATTTGGCGTAAGCTATGCCCCTTCTCTGGCAGAACTCGTCGATAACCTTTCCTAGTAATCCGTGAGCTGGTCCAACGCCATGCCACAGGCGACTTGTGGGGCTTCACTTTCTCCATGAGCCCGAAGTGCAGATACGTCTACAATTGCATTTACAGCGCCTCGTGCATCTTCGTCAAATGTGCACTCTTGGTTCACTATCTTCGAATCTTCAAGCCGAGCTTCAGAGCACGATTGATGATCTGGATCGGGATCGTTGTGGTCATTCTTGCCTACCTCGGCACTGGATTTTCGTGTCTAGCGCTTTGTTTTATGGGCAAGAGAATGGTCGGTGGGAGTCCCGGTGTGAAAAAGCAAATGACAGTCGGCGCTATATACGACACGACATTGGCGCAGGGCATCATGAATGTTGTCACAGACTTTTATTGTTTGATCATTCCATTGCATCTAGTAATACGCCTTAGACTTCCACTGGGACAAAAGCTTAGGGTAGCCCTCGTCTTTCTGGTCGGATTGATGTAAGTCATACTCCTCTTATCTCGCCGCCAATCTTGTGTGTATTGAATACTTACTTGAGATAGTCCTTGTATAGCGTCAATAGCTGGAGTCGTTCTTCGTTTTGAGCAGCGTGTCACGGAATCTGTATGGGAATCGATGCCCGTATTATCTCTAGGGTGCGTTTGAAGACCTTCGTATCTCTTGTCTCCTATTCCTGCTAAATCTGACCAAAACCCTCTATCAGAATCGTCGAGCTCAATATCGCACTGAGCTGTAACTGTCTTACCACTCTTGTTGTACTTTTCAAAGACGTCCGAAAACGCCCCGCTTACCTTAGTCTCAAACGGCTCTGGACGAAGCAGAGCGCGAGTGACATGTCCAACGAGAGTAGCGAAGAAAAGCACTCAGAAGAGATTCCCGACAAGATAGTCCATGACATCCCCAATCCCGTCATGACGGGCTTACGGTCTTTTATCCGTCGCGTACACAACACAAAGTCTCTGTTGTCGACAAGGCAAACTACTGCTTTCACCGACATCACCGACGTCTCGGCGGACACGGTTGAATCTCAGCTCAAGGAGGACTACCACAATCAACTCAAGGCCATGCGTTGAACATCATCCCTGAGCTGTACCCCGCTTCATGCCAATGTATAAGCTTGCACTCCTGTACCACAATTCTTTTATTGATTCTACCTATTCTCTACCGCAGCTCTTTATAGAATTCTCAACTTTGGCACTGTCGTTTTCTTCATATTTGCCATGTATTAAGGGGTTATTCTTATGTAGAATATGTAGTATGATATAGTTTGCGCACAGTACTACTAGGATGTCATGATGATCCGATCTATCACTGAATATTCACAATTCCTTGAACGAATTTTGCTTCGTAACAGTCGTGGATTTCTCTGATGTATGGAACCCGTTTCGCTTAGTCTTTAAACTTACTTTTCACTTAGCTATTTATAGTAATCACCTATCAGTCTTTTAATGTTTCCTGGCAAGCACGTCTCCTACTTAGAGCTTGAAGACTTATTTACTGTATTTTTGAATACTAAGTGTTTGTGCTGCATGGAGATGTAAAATTCAACACTATGCTTAGTGTCTTGGACGATTGTGACACAACGCTCACACGGTATTAGGTTTGTTAGCGCCCGAAGACTCCCTATGCGAACAATGAAAGTGAATCAATAGGATGATACGTGAATTCAGTAATTCTACATCTACTGTCAAGAGACAGGACGGAAAACCAGCGCTTTAACCCATGCTCTCCTCAGATCATACACCTTCTCAATTTCCCAGCCTGAGGAATCAGCCAGCATCCTATACTCGCCTTCTGTCCGCTCCTGGCCGTTTGTTGTCATCATCATATTGATATCCCCGTAAAGGGACAATCGTTCCGAGTGGTTTTCCGAGCACAGTGACTCCAACACAATCAACCTACTCTTGGGACCAGCAATAATACTTTTTCGAATGTTGCTCAAAATAGAGATAGCTTGAGCGTCTTTCCAGTCGTGAAGGCACCACTTCATGGTATACACTCGGCATTTGGGTACACTCTCAAAAAAGTCGCCCGCCACCAAGTTGTTATCCGAAACCTGGTTTCTCAGATCAGAGTACTGGCCACCGTCCTCGAAGGATTGTCGCGCATGCTCAATTACATGCGGAAGATCGAATAAGCCGCCCTGCATGGAAGGATACTTTCTCAGTAGCCCCGCCAAAAATCCACCACCGCCACCCCCTACATCCATCACGATCTCGTCAGCCACCTCTTCCCATGGATAGTCTTCAAGTATACCGGGCATCTGTGCTGAGGCACCACCCCCCAGTGTCTTGTGGAGCTGCGGTAGCCAACCAGATCTACGGAAGTACTCGAACATGCTGTCATCGGTGTTATAGTTGATCTGTGCCGCCCATCTCTTTTGACCATGCTCTATTGACTTTGGAATACCTCTAGCAATGTCATAGAACTGGTTCCCATACAGACTGACCCAGTTATGCCATTGAGTCCAGTGCTTGGAGTGGAGGAGTAAGGATGCCGGACTATTGGAGTAGCTCTGGGATGATTCATCGAATCTGAATATTCCGTTATGGATGAGCGTGTGCATTATCTGTTTGAGGCGATCGCTCTGGGAATTTGTCCGTGTTGCAAGCTGTTCGAGAGTCATCGGCCCGTTCTCCAACGTATCTGGTATGCCTCTCTCCACTGCGGCGCACAGACATTTGGTTTGAACATAGCCTTCCTCTATGTCAGTGGGGCTCGAAAAGTGACTGAAAGATGTTTTGAATACACTAACCAAGAAAATGATCTGCAAGTATCAACGTTGGGGGATCTAGGATGACTCTGATCTTGTGTAAAAGGTCGACTGTTTCAGCGGCGTGCTTGATATCATTTGGATGTGGAAGAGCAGAGTCATTGTGCAAACTTTCTTGGATGGGCGAGCCTAGACTTTGCAAAGACTGCAGACTTTGCCGGAGGTTCTGGTTCAGGGTTTCGAGTATGTTGGTGAGCTGGGGTGTAGGTGATGACCCACTAACGGGTTTTGGGTCTTTTACAACAGACATGGTCTCAGAAAAGTTCTGTTTTGGTCTTTAGGATTGATCCGGGGTTATCCACGATAAAGGAATGAACAATATAAATAAGAAAAAGCGGATTCAAAAGCCGGTACCCGATTATCGGCAACCGTCCTCCCCGTTGATGATGGTATGAATAAAAGGACCTCAGTCGAATTACAGGTCGATACATGTCAGACAGTGATGAAATCGAATGGAATCCTTCTTATACAAAGGTAATTGTATTAGATGTTCTTACATTCCTTTCTCTAGCGCCACCAAAGCTCAAAAGTCAACAAATTGAGGTTGACGGTCCTCTCCCAATTCTTTCTCGCCTATTTCAAGATGATAATGGAATTCGGATTTATCAAAAGGACAAGAGCGGGGGTTCACAAATCGTTTTTGGGACACCAAAGTTTCAACATCTCTTATCGCGCATATTCCCTCGTAAGCCGAGCGTCGAGTCGTTCGAAACATGTGATATATTTTGATAGTAATATATGTAGTACTTATATCCTCGATACCAAGTTTTCAGTGATTGTTTCCGCCCTTCCCCCTATTGAATATGAGATCCTGAATCTCTACGTCTCCATTTGTAGCTGAGATTAGTCTCGGATTCTTTTTTTCAACGCGATCTTTTGGCTCATGTTTGGAACGAATTGACCCTCAATATGAACTGGTCTGGGTCGATCCTGCATCTTTCTGTCCCATTCGATGTCATAGTCGAGTAATAGCTTTGCAATGACCAGTTTCATCAGCCTCACGGCGAAGAATCGTCCCGGACAGACGTGATTCCCATATCCCCAACTAGAAGGCTGATTAGTTCGTGGTTCTCGAGACACAATGACACACTTACGGTAAGTAATGCGTATCTACAGAAGATGCTGAGTCTCGTCTATCCCCATCGGTTTCAGACTGTTCTCTCCCGTTCTTGTTCGCATGTCGGAAACCGTCAAACTGACTTGAATTCGAAAGCGCTTGATTATCGTCTTGGATAGCTTGGGAAGGGAATCCAAAGCGAGTGCCAGCAGGAAGAATCAGGCCGTCTGAGAACTGGAAAGGTTTATCGACGACTGTCCTGACACAAGTGACTTGAACAAAGTTAGTAGTATTCTATTTGCTTTCGCATATGCTGTGGAGGGTGGAGACTGACTGGAGCCCGTCGAGGACAAGCGGTTGGTTTCTCGGATGAAGCTGTCCAAGAGATGGAGGCTATTGACCATCTTTTCTGTCCAGCCATACTGATTGATTGCCCCTTCTATCTCCTCTCGAAGTTCGGGCACGTAATCCCGATGTAGAAGAAGATTCCAGATGATTTCCGTCATCATGCCTCCAGGAGCCGAGCTTCCAGCCCACAAATTATGGAGTAGTTCTTTTAGAAGCCTGTCTTTCTGCTCCAGGTTTGCTGGCTGCGGGAAGAGTTCCAAAGTCCACTGGATAGCGTCATGTCTGTCTGAATCTTTGGTCCTGACGTTCTCTTGAATTCTCTCATCAACGATTGGGCGCAAGAGTTCCATCGCTGTGTACAACTTTCGCCTGTGAAGAATGCCAAGTGGCCACGCCAATATGCCCAGTAAAGGCCCCAGGGGAAGCTTAGCGATCACAAGAGCTGTGATGAAGATCGATTCTAACAGACTCATAGACTTCCGAATGAATAGCTCGTCCCGACATGCCTTTTTGCTGATTAACACTCGTGTCGCGGTTCGATGTGTTAGTTCGGCCATCAGCGCCATCGCTTTCGTGTGTTTCCATTCAGAGCAGTCGCCAAGTAATTTGTCGAGTGAGAACTCAATCTCTTCAACAAGGTCTGCGGTCAAATGGGCTGTCGTCTAAAATTAGAATGGATGACCAGATAGGAGGGTGTCATACGAATTTGAGGATTGAGTTTTCTCTTCACTATATCTACCATTCGCTGAGATGACTCGGCAGTGTACAGATCGCCGACACTGGTATAAAGATGTAGAGCCTATTAGAATCTTTCAATATCCGGTGTTTCACATTGAAGAATGAGTCCATTACGCTGCTGATGTTTGCGAAGAAACTTAAATGCTGCCAACCGGCCCCGCGAACATCATTCAAGTATTTGGGTGGCATTATAATGTAGTCCTTCGCCCACCATCGCACTACAAAAGGTCTTCCAGTTTTCTTGATGATCTATGGCCATTGGCATTGAGTTTCGATGTCAGGTGATGAGAAGGCTAACCTCGTGGTACCCTTCGCGTACGACTTTGTGAATTGGCGACCATCTGAATGGCTGGGTTCCGCGTCTTTCGAATGAACGGTAGATGAGGTTGGGACGATTTGCAACAGCTATGATAAGCATCGATGCGATCAGGCACAGGGCGAGATTCACCGCAGATGGAAAATCTGCCAGTCTTGAAAGCGCCATCGTTGTGAATCTCAAGCTGTACATTGGCCGCTGCGTGCAAACAATGTTTGATCATCTTGAAGCCTTTACATGTCACATGACAGCACATAAGGACCGAGATATCCTTACTCACCTGTATATAAAACCAATGCCCCATTTCTTGAGCTCACACACTCACTACCCAGATCTTCGGCTTATCATCGGCCGCCGTGCTACCGGTCACCGACCGGTCACCGACCGTATTAGGAAACTCCATGGATGTAGACTAAAAACCCTTAGCGCCTTGGCGGACAGAAGAAGCTATCCCTTTTTCGACTTTCATCACGAAGTCACACTGCGTGGTGCATATTGTCGTATTTCTATCGTACGGGCAGCTCACTCATTATTTTTCGCGCATATCTCCTCAGGGCATTTCATTTCTCATGCAAAATGAGACCCAATTTGCTGCTGAAGGAGCCGGACTCCTCCATTGTACCGCACATACTACTGTGTCTCGTCCAGATCATCGCATTGTCATCCCCCTATTTTCCGCAGCGGCGGCTCGTATTTGGCGCTCTTATAATATCTCTTGGTGCTTATTGTACCTTGCATCCGCATTTCACGAATAATTTTGATTTGGCCCAGCCATTCTCGTTGGCATGGTCTTTTTACACGGCAGTCCTGGCCAAGATCATATTCTCGGATGCACCTGAGAACCAATTCTGGAGGATTGATCGTCCGGCAAGGGAGGCTAGGGAATACAATGCTTTTGGATGGAGAAAACTGCGATGGGCTACTGCTCTGATGTTCAATCATCGTGGGATCAGATGGAACCATCAGGTCAAGAATATTCCCGCTCAGGCTCATACTGGAAAGTCCGCGTTTTTGATGCGTCAATTGGTGAAATTTTTGGTTTGCATATGTATGGGCGATCTGCTTTATTACATCCACCAGAGAGTGAACTTCACAAATAGAAATGGTATTGTGGCAAACTTGGATAGCAAATACTTAACTCTACGACATGAGAGTTGGGGATGGAATTTACTCAAGACCTTTTCCCTCGCCTGCCTTCCATACTTTGCGCTCAGCATGCAATTTGCTCTTGCTGGTTTTCTCGCCGTATTATTTGGACTCAGCAGACCAGAGGTAAGATTTGATATGGTTCGAAGCTGGACTATTCATACTAACAACATGATTTCCAGGACTGGCCTTCTCCCTTTGGCAGCTTTGATGATATGCGGACGGTGCGGTTGTTTTGGGGACGCTTTTGGCATCAACAGCTACGCCATGTGAGTCTTCACAATCTAGTTTTGGCAGAGGACAAATAATCTTTTGCTATATACTTGCCCATGAGGATCGCAGTGAAAGTTGAGACAAGTGTTTGTACTAATCATCAGACAGATGCTTACAGCTTACACTGACGCTTCCGCTGACTTTCTCCGAATACCACGGGGAACCAATTTCTCTTCCTACTTTAAGCTCTATCTGGCCTTCTTCATATCAGGGAGCTTTCATGGTTTGAGCCAATTGTATTTACCACGTCCTTCGAACATTGCTGCCAGTGAGTGCTCTTTGGGCTTTTTGAAGTTCTTTCTTTGCCAGGCCGTGGCGATCACGCTTGAAGATCTGGTGATATGGCTCTGGGGTGTAACTGGCTGGAGGACGAAAAAAGTATATTTTGTAGGATATCTTTGGGTTTTCTTATTTCTGGGGTGGAGCTTTCCGTTGGTGGGGGACACAGTACTTAAGATGCGGGTAGGTGAGGGTGACTTTGCGCCATTCCCTCTCATGAGGCCAGTGGTAAATGCGTTTATTGGAATTCCACCATAGATTCCATGTGTAAATGAATCATTCAAAGGGATCGCATGGTACATACCGATTCGTTAAAGCCTAGCGTGAGAAAAGTAGGCAGAGTGCCTATTTCCTGTGATACAACTCGAACCAGTGTTACTTGATCGTCTCTTGATCAGGATCAGATAAAAATGATCAGAATGGTCCTCAATGCAGTGCTATCTTCAATTTCATTTAGTCAAAGTCCGATATGATCAGCAGCATTGAATTTTATCTTACGAGTTAAAACCGTTATGTGCATGACATTAGATTTGCGCGACCGCTGGCGCTCATAGCCAAAGACCGGTGCCCGGTGTGTTGAGCTCTCTCGACCATCTTCCACGTTTATGTCAACGCAGTCAGATTCAGTCTCGAACAGCAAACCTACTCGATCAATCGATACATGGAGTGCTACGTCTCTTGGGTTATCTGCCTTGCAGTAGCCAGTTGCGTATATATTTTTTCAAGTTATGTCAATGCTATAGGCACCCGCTTTCTATCCGTATCGCTCAATGTATGTGTTTTGGTTAGTATACATGAGATGTTAGGTCTAACAAGCTTCAGTACTACCTTTCGTGGAGGCACCCTATTCATCATGTCGACGGCAAGAACGTCATCCCCAGCTGTCGTTATCAATGGCCGGACGGCCAAGGAGATGAAGCGAAATTCCTTCAAGGCACTTCGAGAAGCCAAGAATGGAGAGAGAAATATGGCCCAGTATTCCGACTGTGGTCTGGAATGAACCCCGAAATGTTCGTTTCCCTTCTTTGAAGCTAAGGAGCACTATAATGACTGACTCCAACGATGATTCAGAGTAGTCTCCAGCCCTGAAGCTGTGCGTGACGTGTTCAAAGATTCTCACCGACACATGAAAGCCATATCAAATGATTCTGGGTATCTGTTCGGAGAGATTCTGGGAAGCTGCGTCGGTCTAATCAGTGGAAAAGCATGGGAGGCTGTCCGAGAAGCATTCTCGGAACCGTTTACTAGACCCACGATGTTGAGGTCAACAAGCACGGTCGTGCGTGAGGTCGAGAAACATTTCAGTGCTATTGAGAGATCGGAGAATCTTATCAAAGGCTTGATCAACCCTGCGCAAGACTTGAAGATGCTGGCTTTCATTATAATCGCCAGATCCTTGTACGGCCCGTTGGACAAAGATGCCGTCGAGCGGCTAGAAGTTCTCGCGGGTTGGAGAGAGGATTTATTCCTCCGCGTGATGAAAGGAGGTATCTCCAGGTTTCACTGGTCCAAATATCTTCCTCTCAAGGCCAATGCCCTTCTCTCCAAATTTCGATCCGGGTGGAAAGATTTTAACAACACAATGATCGCAAACCAGAAATGCTCCAACAAAACCGCACCTGTAGCCCAAATATGGGAGACTGTCAATGATGGCACAATCACCGAAGAGCAATTCTACCAAACCATCGACGAGATACTTTTCGCAAATCTTGATGTGACCCTTGGTGGTCTATCCTGGAGCATTATGTTTCTCGCTGGTCATCCAGAGTACCAGGAGAAACTTCGCAAAGAGTCCGGACACGCAAAAACAAACGATGGACTACCTTCCTATCTTTCCGATAACACAACGCTTCTATCCGCTTGTATTCTCGAAGCTTCCCGTCTGAAACCAGCAGCCGCATTCTCAGTCCCGCAATCATGTCCCACGGACCGCACTATCGGTGGGTTTGTGGTTCCCGCTGGCACGAATATAGTTGTCGATTCACATATGTTGAATATTGAAAATGAGTATTGGGGTAAAGATGGAGATACCTATAGACCAGAAAGATTCTTAGGAAAAGGACGGGCGACAGATTTTCGATACAATTTTTGGAGATTCGGATTTGGACCACGCCAGTGTTTGGGAAAGTACATGGCCGATCTTATCATCAAAGCGACCCTTCTTCATTTGATAGAGAACTATGATTTGGCTTTTATGGGGACGGATGATGGCGTACGCAGCAAACCTGAGGTATGGATCAACCATCCCGAGGTGGTATTACAATGTGTGAAGAGATAGGGGATGTCGGAAATGGCCACTTTTGGTGTTTTGTGTCTACCAAAATCATCAAAAAATACCTGTGAGGACTTCTAATACAATCTTTGTCTTTGCATTGTTACTTTTGTAACACGAGAGTGGGACTTATCCTGTCGGGCTAATTTCTAGACGCCAGCCAAGAATTATGGATGGATGGACATAATATTCGGCCACCGTGACGTTGCTTATATTTTCGGCAATCGCCCATTCCATAACGACCATATCACTTAAAATGCACCTCAAACCAATCAACGGATCGGAGCTTCGAATGCCCGATGTTGTCCTTGGAGACCACAAGTATGATGGCCGCGTAATTTTGTATGCGCTCAAAGGCAAATGTCCCTATAGCAGCCAATAAGAGTTTCGACTGATGGAACAGCAGCGAATGAGACCAACTACATCAACTTCATCAAACCCATGATTTTGGCTCTTGAACTAGATATACCTCATGTCATATCTATCATCGATACTCGCGATCAATGGTTCTATTCAATCCATCCTGAGCGAATGGTCCCATCGCTCAAAGACCTTGATCCAGAGACAGGTGAAGACGTAATAGTGTTCGAGGGAACAGCATGTTTGCAGTATTTGGCTGAGTTATGGGACAAAGATGGACTGTGGAGTGGGCGAACAGCAGCTGAGAAAGGCGCAGTGCTTGCTTGGACAGCATACCAGACTGCAGGACTGGGGTAAGTCAAGGACTTATATTAACTCCGTCATCCCCACTAAACTGGCTGACTTGAATGCCTCTGCATCTTATAGGGCGACAGCAAAATACTGGCTGTACTTTCTGCGCGGGTACCCGACGCGAAAAGACCCCGTGCAGCTCCCTCGCACCATTGAAAAGTCAGTAGTAGAGTCGCAACTGGGGTGTGATTTGAACTAACCTGAGAATTAGGTTGCATGCAAATGTTCTAAAGCAGTGGGACATCCTTGAGACCAGGCTATCACAACCTGGTCAACAATATATTGCGCTCCGTGATCGACCTACGCTTGCCGACCTTTCGTATTTTCCTTTCGCAATGCCGTGGATGTTCCAATTTCTCGGTGTCAATGTAGTGGACTGGCCTAATATTGAAAAGTGGGGTAAGTTGATGCTTGCACGTGCAGCAGTCAAGAAGGTGATGGATGAGGCACCCACATTTGGCCATGAGGCTGCAGAATGTTCGATGTAATCATTACATTTATCAATGAGACACGGAAGATTGATTGAAAATGGGATATACAGGAAAGCATCCATGAATTGATTTCTACTACTTTCATGTGCACAATGATCCCAGATCAAGAATGCTACCAGAGATGTTTCAGCTCCATGCCGTTCTGCGGAATGAAGCCCAGTCGAAATGTGGAATGATACTTTATGACGTCCGCAAAAAAGGTCGATAAACGATCTAATGACGTTTGCTGTAGGACCTCAGGGCGCCGGATGAAAAAGCTGAGAGCCCAATCTATCTCCGGAGACCGAAACGCGGACTGAAATCGGTGCCCCCAAGAACCTGGACTGAATAGGTGGCCGGACTGAAAGATCGATAGGAGTAGAACAATTGCGAGCCTAGATAGATCATCATCTTCCAGGCTTGAGTTGTTCAGGGTATAAGCACCGAAAAATAGGATTTTGCCGCCCTCAAACATTCACAGCACTAGTGGATTGACGTAACCCTCGCATTTTGGTACTGTGTTGGTAGAGTTCCCCGATGCGTATGCCACACGACTTTGACGGAGCTTCTCCACTGGCCAGGGGCTAGCGCAATGGCAGTCATCATGTGATACGATGCATTTCGTTAGATCCAAGAGGCTCGTGACTTCACTGGCTCTCAAAACAGAGGGGAAAGACTGATCGGGAGAAAGCGGAAATCTGTATGAACAACATAAATGCCATTCTTTATCTACAGGAAGATAACGCCAGTAGCTAAACCTCGCAATCATCAAACGCTATCGCTAAAAAATGCAGGGTTGTCCCGCGTCCTCTGCCTGGAGCTGAGCACAGGCTGCCGCCCCCGCAGAAGATCCCGAAAAGAGAGCCTGAGGGATGATCTTGATAGGCGAGGCCCCATCCCCACCGAGGAAAACTCCTTTCCGGGTCGTCTCGCAAAACAGAGGCTTAGAGACAGGGTCTTTCATGGGCGTCATCTCCAGCCCCAGCTGCACATGAAAGTCGCCCTTTGACTGGGTGGGCGGCTTATGGCCAAGGAATCCTTCATTGACCACGTTCCCGTCATCGAAATGGATGTTCACGTCGGCAAATTTGTCCCCTTTCTCGAATCGTGCGACACGGCGAGAGTCAACCTTGAAGATCTGGTTTTCACCCTGCGCCTCCTGCACCGCACTCTTGAGTTCTTCTGACCCGTGCGTGTAGATAGTGATGGATTTCGTGAACCGCAGCGCAGTTCGCGCGGCATGTAAGATTGCAGGGGCTGAGGCTAGGTCAGGCACCGCGAGAATTCCTGCCGATTCAACTCCCCTAGCTTCGTAACCCTTGCAGAAAAAGCAATGGTATCTGCGATGATGCGGTCAGCAATTGGTGTGCAAAATATTGAAACGGGGGGAAATGGGCACTTGCATTCCTTTGGCCCAGCACGAAGCATAGCCCTCGATATCCGGGAATACATCTTGTACTCCATTTGCTAGGATAATCTTCCTTCCTCGCCAACAGTTCCCTTGCTGGTCGGTGGCCGTGAACTGTTGCTGACCCGAGCCAGCGACTTCTTCGAGTGTAGCAATGTCGGCTTTTTCAAAGTCAATGGTTGTATAGTAGTCCAGGATATTCTTGCGCGCAGCGGCCCGGAACTCTCTGGGGTCCGTATGGTCCCATGTAAGGACGTTGTGCATATGTGGACTGGGTGCGTTACGATAGTCTTCCGAGTCCAAAACGACTGCGGTGTGCTGCTGGCGAGCTAAAGTGAGAGCTGCCGCGAGGCCAGATATGCCACCACCGATGATGAGTACATCGTACGTCTTGGAATGTTCAGTAGAGCCCATCTTCGTTTGCAAATATTAAGATCAAAAGTATTTTGTTTTCAAGCATAATGATCCCTTTTCGAATAAATACGTTTGCGCACCTCGGAACCCGTAGGATTGGGATGAACGGTCGCCGGAAAGTTGAGCGAAATCTCGATATTGGGATATTTCGACGTCTCCCGATTCACCGGCGGCCGTTGATCTTCTGAGTAAGAATTGGATCCCGTAGGTAGTTTCAGCTACGTCGAAAATTTCACATTCTCAAAATTTGTGGTTTGTAGTGGCACTTGATTGCACCCTTGGAAGATCAACATGGATTTCAATGCTACCACAGTCGATTCGAACCGAAAGAAACTCTACGATGTTCTCATAATTGGCGGAAGCTACGCTGGTCTTTCAGCGGCGCTTACACTTTATCGCGCTACCCACACATGCCTTATCTTTGATTCAGGAGTCCCCCGTAACGCAAAATCTACTCAGACTCGCTTGACATCGGGATGGGAAGGCGAAGATCCCAAAACCATGCGCGAGAAGTCGCGAGCCGAGCTTGAAAGCTCAGGGCTTGTGGATTTCGTGGCCAGTAGCGTCCAAACAGCGAGAAAGTTGGAAGACGGGACATTTCAAGTGGCTGACGGGAACGACAAAATTTGGAATGGTCGGAAGATTTTACTCTCTACTGGCGTCAACGAGATCTATCCGCAGATCCCTGGATATGCAGAGAACTATGGCACGTCCATGTGAGTTTCACAGAGAATTAGTTCTATATGGTGTAAGATTGGCTGATGGTTTTGCAGCTACTATTGCATGTTCTGTTTTGGCTATGAACAGCGTGGCTCTCGAACGGCGGGTCTGCTCGCCAGTGGTCAACTCTCTCACCCTGGTCATGCCCTCACCAACGCACAGGACGCGCATAAATTTGCGGAAAGTGTCACAATCTTCACAAACGGGAGTCCTGCACTTGCAGATGAGCTGTCCCAAAAGACAGTGGCGGGCATTCGAGTCAATGATCAGAAGCTCAAACGGTTCATTAAAGAGCCAGATGCCGACAATATCAAGGTAGAATTTGAGAACGGCGAGATAGAGAGCTTCTCGTTTTTAGTTCATAAACCTGATCTTGAGATCGATGCTAGCCTACCTAAACAGCTGGGCCTCGAGTGTGTCCCAGGGTTCGGTATCAAGGTCACGCCACCATTCAACCAGACAAGTGTAGAGGGGGTTTATGCTGCAGGCGATTGCTGCTCACCTTTGAGAATGATACCTAATGCTATGAACATGGGTGCCTTCGCCGGCTGTGGATTAGCAAGGGAGCTGCCCCGTGGCGCCTTTGTAATGCCCGAGAAAGTAAAGGAATCATCAGGTTTGGTAGAGAGTACTGCTATTCAGATTTGACCGTTGTGTACATAGACGCATCATAATGATCCATTCCGACAATCGTCAGTCTATTCATGTATTTTCACGTATCAAATCAATTGGGCAACGATCTTCTTCCCCACACGCAGTGCAGGCGAAAAACCCCACCAGTCTGTAGAACTTCCCCTACTACTCTGGAGCCCAGCTTGTCGAGATCTTCAGCGGAGAAAGACGTTGGAATGCCTTGTAGATGACGAATTAGTATTGCTTCTATAATACACCAATGGGTAACTTACTGCTTGCTACTTGGGTCAGTCCTTTGATTACCAACTCGATCATTCGGGTGCTTTTGACACAAAGGTCCTCCGTCGGACTGTTTTTGCCAATAGGCACGTCAAAAATTTGTTCCTCGACATCCTCCAGTCCCATTTCGGTGAACCAGGTCTTCAGTTGCGGAGCATAGTCTGCACCCGTTTCCATGAACTTGAAAACGTCCGAAAGTAGACGAAAGAAGTCGGCCATAGCTGGGCCCCGCGTGATGGAGTGATCTGGTTCTACCATCTGGAGCCAGCCACCTGGCTTCACGAGATTGACAAAAGCCCGCACAGTATCATGGACAGTCGTCTTATTTGCAGCAGGAAGAGCCATGCGTTGATGAACGAGATCAAAGCGTGAGTCCCACTCCACCGGCCATGGCTTTGTCATAGACTGCGTATATAACGAGATCCCCTCAGGCGGTGGGCGTGGAAAGTAAATATCGGTAATGTCTGTCCCGATCAATACAGTGTCATTGTACCCTGCCCCTATCATACACTGCTGGAGACTCTGGAGCCAGATACCTGTATTATATCGTTAGCCAATTTTCTGTGAAAAGGGCGATAATAATGTGACCAACCATCGGCAGTTGCGGAGTCCAGAATTTGGAGACCAGGCTTGCTGAGGTCTAGGTGAGCCAAAATGAGCTTCTGTTGCATGCAAGCTCTGATGACAGTGTGTCCAAGCTTCAGGCGCTCAAGCTCTTCGGGGTTCCCATCGAGGAAATAATGGGTGTTGTTCTTGTCCTCCGCCATTTTTTGGGGTATAAGTCACAGTTTGGGTTTACAATAATTGGGTGGATTTCGATTTTGGAGAGACAGATATCAATGTTTATCAACTCAAGAAAAATAATTAGCTAGGCTGGTTCACTCAGCTTTCGCGGCCCGTAAATGATACCGATACGAAGACCGCTCGGCCTGCCAATGAATAGTCTCGCCTGGCGGCAATGAGAATCGTTCGTTAGCGCAATAAACCGCTGCGATCGCTTACGATGCTTTCACACCCTCGAACCTTCGCGTATTGGGATTCCACGGGCGACCTGCTCTGCTCCTAGTGTGCGACGTTCTAAGATCCCCGGGAGTCAAAAAGACCGCCAAGAGAGCCATACTTCGGCATGCGATAGTTCTTCAGTGATGTTAAAGGCCCCGCTTAGCACAGGGCATCACAGAGTTAGTCCGCCATAAGCTTTGTGCCTGCTCTCTGCTGAGCCCTACTTCCCAAGACGCTGCATTGGCATATATACGTCGCCAAAGCTGGGTCACTTAATTTTCAGTATTTTTCTTATATTAGGCTGTATCGGATATACAACAAGGAATGAAAACGTTTCGTACGGAATGCCGCTATATATAGCCGTCTGTTGTATGTCCTCAAATATATACAACTAATGCCATATTTACCTAAGAGGGAAGACGCCCGTTACCACTGTGCTCATGCCCTCTACTTCAATGTAACCTTTGGGCGCACACAACCAGCATCCCAAAATGTGCACCCTGACTTTCAGCTTCATCCTTCACCGCTTGAGGGAATTTTTCTAATTCAGTTCCAGTCATGCCTAGGTCGACCTTTTGGCCTGTACACGCCTTAGTGCTGCTCAAGATACAAACAATTATAGCGAGGAATACTTTGTATGAAGTCGCGCAGGCCAGTGGCTGCAGCCACCAAATGCGCTGTGCTCTTAGCCGCTATCTTCTCGTCTCGACATGCCGCACCGTACGGTATATCAAACACCTTTCCGCTAGCGTTCGCCAGCCCAGACTGTTCCAGATAGGTTTTCAATGGTCGAGCATATGCAGAGCCCACCCCGACCATGTTCAACATCTGAATCATCATTGTTTCAAACCGTTGCAGGGCCGGTCCATTTGAGTTTTCGCGGTCGAAGACGGCTTCCACGAGCTCTACCCACCCTCCCGGCTTCACCAACTCAGCCAGCCTGGCCACACAGTCTTTGACCGGCGTCTGTCCTGCTCCTGCTAGGGTAAGTCTCTGATGGACATAGTCAAAACTCTTCATTTGGTCGGCTGGCCATTCGTGCGTGATGGACTGGATATGTAGTGAGACACCGGGTGATGGAGGCTGAGGAAAGAATGCTTCAACAATATCAGTGCCCACGAACTCGTGTTTCTCACCGACGACAGATCTAAGGTCGCGCAGCCATAGCCCTGATTTCTGATCAGTATGTCCTGCCAGGGGAGGTTTTCATGTACGGAACACGAACCATCGGCAGTTCCAGAGTCCAGAATGCGCAGAGATGGCCCTGAAAAATTGATTGGAGCGACTGTCAATGTATCCATTGCGCTTTTGATGGTCTCGTGTTGGTTTGCTAACCGTTGAACTTCCCCTAGATTTGACTCCATAATGTATTGCTCTTTCTCTCGCGAGTCCGACATGCTGAAGGAAATCAATGTGGTGTACCCTCCTGTGTATTAGAAATCAGATGAAAAATATAGTTCACTCACGTTAAGATTGAAACAGGAAGATTGAATGCAAGTACCATTTGGTAGGCACTGTTCACGTGATATTGGATTTGGATTCTAGATTACTCCCATGAGCGGCAGATACATAGCGAACAGGAAAAATCCGGGGGCCGTTAACACGGCTTCCGTTCGCCAGTGAAACGCCTGCCCCTGCAGTGATGCTAGGTCAATCTAGCACTTACCGTTCACTCCATGTAGCTGATAGTAGATACAAAAGTACTTGCAGAACTGTAGACTAGCTCCTGGATCTTCACTTTACCTTGGGCACTACCGAGCAGTCTTTAATCAGCGTTACACACGGCTTTGATCTCATAAGTTTGTGCAAAAAAATGGATCCTGGTCCGCATATTCCCAAGCAGGCGATTCGCAAGGACGTCGATCTTTATGCTGAGATCACGGCGAATTCAACGCGAGATGTGGCCCGACACGTCTTGCAGATGATACCTCCGCTCTCAGCAGGAATAAGAATCCACGACAACGGATGCGGTGCTGGTGAAGTCACGGGTGTCATCATGGAGAGTAGTCCCCCCGAGGGCATCTCCATAGAAGCTACCGACATCGATCAGTCGTACCTGGACAAGCTACAAGCCTCTGCGCGTGAGAATTCGTGGCCGGTCAACGTTACAAATAGGGGATCTGATCAGCTCCAATTCGTCGACGGCGTCTTCGACCTCTCCATAGCCAACTTTGTGGTTTTCCTCACCCCGGGTGGGGGCGTGCCGGCCGTAAGCGAAATGCGGCGTACGCTGCGAGAGGGGGGAACAGCCGTATTTACAGCTTGGGCACGACTGCCGCACGTTGATCCAGTCAAAGCCGCACACGAGGCTACAAGAGGGGCGGATGGACCTCCACTACGCGAAATCCCCCCGGAGTGGTGGCTCGGATCACATCTTCAGAAGGTGGCTATAGAGTCTGGGTTCGACGAATCGAAGATTGAGTTGCGCACATGTAAAGTGTACATAACGATTCAGGACGATGAACACTTGGCGCACGTGCTCTGGAGTTATCTGGGGCCGCCAATGACGGGGTGGCTGCCGTCTGATGAGGGAGACTGGGACAAGGCCATCAGTGTGATCTTGGCAAATTTCCAAGACACAGCGGGATTCGCGAAAACGGGCGCGGACCGAGCCACAAGCATTGAGCTCACGGCTAATGTCCTGATTGCCCAGAAGTAGGCCAACGCCTCCGGGCATTGGCATTATTGGTTGCGTACAGGTAGGCCAACAGCGCCGCAGGAGTGGAGTTGATGATTGGCCCCGCTGGCTTTAATGCATGTCTTATATGTGCAGTTCGGAATCCGAATGATACAGGCTCACGCGAAGTAGTCTCTGTGGTTTCGACTCAAATGAATTTATATGACTCTGCACACGCTTTCACCGCTTTGGGTGGTAGGAGGCTGACAAGGTGAGGACGAGGATCATGCATCTTGTTGTATGTGCGACCCGTGGTGACCTATCGCCTAATTGCCTACATGTATGTAACGATAAAGTAAACTTCCCCCACCCCTCCGACGCCTGGCTGTGAAACCCAGCGAATGCAGTTGATGCAGGAAATGGATTCTCAGCTCCCCTTGGGGCAGGTGTGCTCAATCTGCAAGAGGGAAAAGCGGCATGCTGATCAAACAACCGATTCGGGGCTCGTACGGTCGGTATTGACAGTCATATAGGTTGATTTTGGTTTGAGATGGTCGTATATAATGTCCGTGAGGCCTCCAGCAATTTGACGCACACCATTGAAAACACCCCTCAGTCCCCCAAATCCGAATTAGCCACATTTTTAGTATGATGATAGTCAATGAGAAAAGAAGGTGAAACTTCGTCCCTCTGTGTGGTCTGAAGTTTAGGCTGATGCGGCTGCGACGACAGCCACCAACCAAAGCCACCCAAACTAAGGTCAGCTTGCAACCCATGCAATGCCGCAAAGGTAAGATTTCATTAGATTCATTATGAACTACGTTGCCCAACGGGATACATCCAACACATGTGTATCAACGAACCTTAGGCCTTGAAGAGCAGGGAACAACCCTACTAACACAACATCGCTTCCCAGGTCAAATGTAGCGGGGAGCTGACCGGTTGTACCCGCTGTCAAGACTTCGGCACTAAGTGTATATACGTCGAGTCAAGAGTCGGCAAGGTTCAAGGTGTACGGGCGAGACGAAGAAGGTCGGAACAGAAACCTGTGTCATCCGCCGATGTTCCTTGTCCAAGGACTGTGGACAATTCTATTCGAGTCGAGAGGAGCAACGAAGCCCATACTGAATCACCACAAGCATCGCCGCAGAGATCCAACGCCACCCCCAACTCACTTGACCGAGCGCTACATGGTTGGTCTCCAGAACCATGGCATTCGGAAATCTGGGATGATAGTGGTCTTGATCTTAGTGGTGTCAATCGAAATTTCCCTACAACATCATCGGATTTCGCTGAGTCCGTGAATGCAGTAGATGCAATGGTCTTGTCCGCCGACAACAGCACAGCTAGTTTCAATCTCGCTTCCTATTTGGATAATACCCATTTCGATGGCTCTGTCACGGATACCGGCGTCGGAGGTCCTAATTCCAGCATTGCGGAAAACGCCCAAGAAACTGCGCGTTCCCCTCCCACCGAACGTACCCTAGATTCTTTTTCCAATCCTGCGACCAACACGACATCACAGCAACATCCTGCATCAGTTTCTGCAGAAACAAATCGAGGCACTCGTACGCTGGAGAGCATATGTGTACTGCAATGTACAAAGATCGTCATGGCGCTGGAGAATTACCTACTTCATGAACTGAAAGTCTTTGACCTCATTTTGGGAACAGTTCGCTCCGCTACCGACGAGGTGACTAAGATCATACAGCATCAAGAAGGGTCACGGTCTGATCGCTGTATCTTCCTACTTCTCACCATCATGTCACAGCTGGTAGCCTTGCTCGAAATCGGTTCCAGAGTAACACAGGAAGAAGAACCTCAAAATCAGGCAGGCTTTGCGGGTAAACCTCTGGGAAGTGCGTCAAATTTCGGCTTCAGCGCATTTGATTTAGATCCCGAGGAACAAAAAGACTGGCAAATCCGCAAAATCCGTCGAGAATGTCAACACATCCGGCAGATGCTAGGGAAAATAACTGTTCTCGCGATTTCCGGCGCTGAGGGCATAGATCAAACCACTTCTCTTCAACGCGAAGAGAGATCAGCATGTTTCAGAGGGATTGAGTACCGGCTGAAGGCTTTGTGTGAGGCTACGGGTGAGTATTCGATGTGATTCAGGTCTAGCGCCCATGCGGAGATTCATCTTCACGAGAGGTTCCCTTTTCTCCGCTTCTCCACCAACGGCTATTTTATGCAAGGCGAGACTTCTCATATGTTTATTGTTTCTCGCAGTGTCGAGATATTTTGAGATTCGGAATTTCTAGCATGACCCAACGAATCTGAACCATATCCAATTACAAACTGTGCCAGAAAACACCGATCGTCGTGGCCTCAAACTCTTCACAAATATACATTTTGAATCTTGGAGCAAGAAAATCGTTCTTCTGTCGATACGCCAGATCGAATAAGCTGAGGAATGGAATAAGTTGATATATCTACCCTACACCATTCGAGGGGGCCTCAGTACCTGCAGTCTTCAAGAAAAACGCAAAGCTATAGGAAGGGGCCTTAAGCAGCGTGTCCGCGGGCCAACCGGCAACAATTTGTTGATAATTTCCAAATATCCAATGCTACTTCTCCTCTTCATCCAAAGTCTGTTTCTCCCACATACTTAGATACAAACCATTGTTCTGAAGAAGCTGAGCGTGTGTGCCCCTTTCGACGATGCGGCCTTCTTGGAGTACAATAATTTGGTCCGCTTTGACGATTGTTGATAATCGATGGCTTTTTATTTGGTCAGCGATCGGTTTGTACTCTGATAATATGACACAGAAATTTACTTACGCAATAGTTATTGTAGTGCGGCCTCGACTCACTCTTTCCAGGGCTTCTTGTATATGACCCTCCGTCTCTGAATCGAGCGAAGCAGTAGCCTCGTCCAACAAGAGAATACTTGGAGCACGCAAGAAAGCTCTGGAAATGGCGATCTTTGGAAATTCCCTTGTTAGTATATGTTTTGACAGATCGCGTCGTGCGAAACGGGGTGTAGACATTACCCTTTGCCTTTCACCTCCAGAGAGTTTAAGCCCTCTCTCACCAACGCTAGTGGAGTAACCACCAGGGAAGCTCATAATCTTGTCATGGATAGTTGCCGATCTGCATGCGTCAAATACCTGCTCATCCGTGGCATCAGGCCGTGCATATTTCAGATTGTACATCAGAGTGTTGTTGAACAAGATAGTGTCTTGCGGTACGACACTGATGTAGTCTCTGAGGCTCTTGATCTGGATTTTCTGCACGTCCTTGCCATCGACACAAATCGTTCCCGAATTTACGTCGTAGAAACGGAAGAGCAGTTTCAAAAGAGTTGATTTTCCACTACCACTTTCGCCTACAATTGCCGTCGAGGTGCCCGACAGTACTTCGAATGAGATGCCGCGCAAAGCTTGCCGCTGTTCGTTATACGCGAATTTTACGTTGGAGAATGAGATATGACCGCTGCATCTCTTCAACAACATCGTGTCGTCTGCGTCTACGACTGTCGGCTTTTCTTCGTACTGCGTAGCTCTTGTTAGCCCTATCCATAATCTTAGGCGGTGCTATTGCACTCAAAAGGAGAACGTACAAGCTCCAGCATACGCTCAGCGTCGACAAGATTATTCTGGACCTGTGTGTAAAAACTCCCAAAAAAGTTGAGTGGCGCCTGTAATTGAGCTAGATAGGTGAGCAATGTTACAAACATAGCTACCTTTTGGAGATCCATGGAGATCTGGTATGCGTCTAGGTAGCAGACCAAGAGCGTCCCCAGAGTGAAAACGCCATTTTGCACCGCATTTAACATATTGAGCGAAAATAGCACGTTGAATTCGGCGGCTTGGAAATACGCAATTAGCATCTCGTAACGAGAAACCTCCATTGGGACAGCGCCGAAATGGTGGACGGTTTCATAGGACAGCAGAGCATCCGTCCTGGTGTGCAATATCGGTTAACGCCACTTCTATACTCAGATATTGCATTCGAGGCGGTGCGACTCACTTTGCAGCCTCCATTTCGCGCTCTCTTTTCGCCATCTCTCGACGTGCGCGGCCACGATATTTGGCCATGTATATCGTCACGTATATGTAGAACCACGTGACAGCTATCACAATCAGCGAGTAAAATGCATCAAACACGACAAAGAAGTAGGCGGCCGCGATCCACAAGTCAGCCACCATTGGAAAAAGCTGGAACGCGAGTCCATCCAAGAAAGTGTTCAACGCGCCTCCTTTGCTGAGTGCGCTTATGACTTCACCTACTCGCTTGCTCAGGTGGAAATCTAGTGAAAGCTGTAAGACATGTGTGAATGTGGCTGAACTTAGGCGCTGGTAGGTCGATTGGCTTATCGGGATCCAGAGCATAGCGCGGATCGACCCGATGACACCTTGCTGTCCTTGTAAACCACGGAATAAAATGTAAAGTACAATATCCAAATGGGGAATGCGATTGCGTCCCAGATGTGCGACTACAACACCAAGTTGGTGTGGAGCAAGGATATTGACGATACGTTGAGCGATGAGTAGCAAGAAGCAGAAGATTGCTCGAACTTGGAGAGGCTTCGAGTTCGACGGCCTGAACGTTAGTAGTCAACTTGACTGTGAATAGTATTTCACTTCTGTCGCGACTTACCATAAGAAGGGAAACAGCGCTTTGAAGCCGAGAAGATAATCTGTCCACGTGGTTGTCTGCGCATCCCCGGAACGCTTAGTTGAAGTCGTTTTCCCATTGGCCCCATTGACTTGAGATCCATTACCAAGCAGAGGTTGCCTTTCTCCGTTGTCTTGTGTACTCCAGTCCTGGTTTTTCCTTTGATTTGTCACGATGAAGAGTGCGCTGATGCCGACGAGGATCAGAATCCTCACGGTAGCCACGACCGCCGATGCCGTGTGCCAGGCATTGTTATCAGATATCTCACCATATGTCTGCTTCCATCCATGGGCAAGCCATAAGACTTCGTACAAGGTGCTTATCAGCCACATGTTGCGGTTGACTATCGATGCCGTGTAACGCTCATCCGGATCCGGCAGTAGTCCAGCCAGGTAGAATAACCCTACCCCGAACGTCGAAGACTACAAAGTAACGAGAGTCAATGGGCTGTTACGTCTCTGCTTTGTAGTTTCTGCTGGAACTTTCTCACCAGGTAATCCTTTTCCGCCCACCCATTCCCGTAGCCATTTTGGCTGACTAGAACCACAGACAGAATCTCTGTAAAGGCCTTGCCGGTAGCTTTGGTCAGCTGTATAGGGTTGAAAATTGAGAAGAAAAAAAAAGAAAAAACTTGTGACTCGAGGGAAAGAGTGCATATACACACAATTGAGAGAAATAGACCTATGTGTGCAACGAGGAAGAGCGTATCGGCCGATTTACTTCGAGGTTGGCTATGGGAGTCATGACGCTTCACTTCGTATATGCGAGACGCGACGTAACCGATCCATAAGGAGATCGGGTATGCCCAAAAAAACATCGAGGGAGCACGGATTTTCGTTGTCTTAGCTTCAGTTCAGCACGAAATGAAAAGGCAGGAGAATAAAGATACAGAAGCACGAGGCGGACCAATTTTCATGCAACTGCGAAGAACCGCTTTTGTTGGCCTGGGATCATGCCCCATGGCCGAAGTTACGGCTGCCGGGGCGGTTCCGGAGACCCCTGTCGCTACGATCAAGTAATGATTTATACCACCCACTGTCTGAAATTACCTATCAGCACTGTTAATTCGAATCTTGATTGCGCAATTTTTGTCGCGAGTCAAGAATTTCTCACTCAGCCCCTGTGGACCCAATGGAGGGGTCAGGTCTATCCACACGTGGTGCTGCAAATGTCAGCATCATCTGGCCCAAGATCGCCAACGCGGTCGCAGAGCGGGAAGAGAAGGGAAGATCGAAGGAGAACACGGTCATAGATCTATCTACTTCCGAGAACTGGTTAATTCGCGATGAGCTGATCGAATTTTACAAAACCGCTATACAAAGCGATCTCGCTGCTCGGGTGAGTGCCTTGCACGCAAGGATATGTGGTCATGCTTATGGTTCTACGACAGCACTTTTCCTACCCCGATGGATTCAATGGTGACCAATGCCTCGTCAATGCCTTGGCAGAATTCTTCAATGTCTACTTCAAGCCTCACAGTCCGGTTTTGGTGGACCACATCTCGGTTGCTCCAGGGGCTGCATCCGCTCTCGATTCTCTTCTATACAATATCTGCGAGGCCGGTGATGGGCTCCTAGTACCCGCGCCCTTCTGGAGTAAGTCGACGGATCTTAGCAGTCGTCTATACTGATCTTAATCTTTTTCAGATGGTTTCGATTGGCTATTAAACGTGAAAGCTGGGGTTTTCCCCATTGCAGTAAGCACGGAGACATTTGACAATGCTCTGACGATGGATCTACTACCGATGATGGAGGAAGCCTTCGCCAACTCGTCTCGCCCGATCAAAGGCGTACTCTTCACAAATCCACATAATCCTTTTGGTCGATGCTATCCAAGCGACGTCATCGTGGAAGTGATTAAATTTTGCAACAAGAAGAATATTCACTTCATCTCCGACGAGCTCTATGCCGTATCCCGATTCGAAAGCCCCGATGTAATCAATCCAGAACCTTTCGTATCGGCATTGGAGCTTGATCTGGTGGGCGCTGGGTGCGATCCATCACGTGTGCACATAATATGGAGTATCAGCAAAGATTTGGGGTCAAGTGGTTTACGAATGGTTCGTCTCTGAAATTCATCCAAAATTCACAATCCTGCTTCTACAACTATCGATACTAACTTCAATATCTTAGGGCTGCTGTGTTACTCAAAATAACAGGCCTCTCGCAACCGGCATGTCGCTTACCTCTAGCACACAGCTGTCTTCGCTTACAGCTATTGCGGCCTCGGCATTGCTCACATCACCGAAGCTTCCTCAGCTGATCAAGTTGAACTCCCAAAGACTCTCAATCGCATATTCCCGCCTGACATCCTTCCTAAAGGAACACAACATCGAGTACATTCCGGCTACCAACGGCCCGTTTCTCTTTTGCAAGATTGTTGCTGATGCACGGACATGGGAAGATGAAGCAGAGTTCGTGTCAGGATGCAAGAAAAAGGGTGTGTCAATCTCGGCAGGTAAAAGTTATCATGTCAATGTTAAAGGGTGGGCCAGAATCAACTTTGCGATAATGCCAGAAGAGATGAGCGACGCGCTGACGAGACTGTCTAAAGTGATTTCCTGAGTTTTCAAGTTTATCACACCATCTTGCATTCTTAACCAAACATATATAGCTAAAGTTGGAATTAATATATGGAGTAATGTACTACCTTGATTCTCTCCAACCATACAACTACCGGCTCGTGAGCATCCCATATGTGCTGCCCATAGCCCCCTTGTTCCGTACTTTGTGTTAGTGAAGAGTTATTTGATCGCGATGGCCCCCAATATCACAACTATACTGCTAGCAGATATCATGGAGAAAATCTAGCAGACAATCCTGACTTGAAATAATAGCTTGAATATTACTTTTGTGTTCGCCTTAACAAAGTATAATTCTATCGGCCTCAGTTTCTCATTATGCCATGTTCATGGTAGATATCCCAGCATTACAGGTACCAAAGTAGCAGCATCGCCTTGGAAGTACCAATCTTGTTCCGCAAGACCCAACAACGATGGATCTTCTTGCTCGATGTCAACAACCGCAACACGCGCTCCTCTCTTTCGAGCCCCCTCAATATATGCAGTTGCAGGATATACGAGAGCACTGGTTCCAATGACCAACATGGTGTCGATCCTTCTCGAATTGTCGTTCTCATCTCCTATCCACTCCGCTATAGACTCAAGCAGAGCCTGTGGAAGTGGTTCAGTGAACCAAACCACCCCGGGTCGCAGCAGCCCATCCTTACACTCGCCTCGAGGACAACGGGGTATATCGCCGAGGGATAACGGGGTGGAAGAATCGTTTTGCAGAAGTGGTTCAAGAGCAGCGGCTGAATCTGTCTTTGATAGATGAAGATCGCACATATTACATCTTAGATCATCCAAACGACCGTGCAAGTGGCGCAAACTCTCAGCCGAATGCCCAGCTCTTTCACTCAAGTCATCAATATTCATTGTCAGGGCGAGAAATTGCTCGTTCTTTGATGCGAGTTCTGAAAGTGCACGATGCGCAGCGTTGGGCCCTTTATTTTTCATCTCCTCCAGTCGTTCTAGGTGGAACTCCCAGACTAGTACCGGGTCAGCAGCAAAGCCGGTCGGCGTAGCAAGCTGCGTCGCATCGTGCGTGCGCCAGACGCCTCCTGCTCCCCGGAATGTTGGTATACCCGAAGATGCAGAAAGCCCAGCACCCAGAAGAGCGAGGATGCGATGGGAGGTGGCAAGGTGTTCCTGGAAACTAGCCATGGAGCGGGAGGCGCGAGGCCTAAGGAATCCGGTCGCAGACACCACATCAGAGTAGTTTGGCGTTGAATCGGTTCTCATGATGAGAATTCTGGGATACGTAGATGGAGTTGACCAATATTCGAGCAATCAGCAAGCTTACGGTGAAAAGAGTCTTGCAATGGGGCTGTGTCAGAACCGTGCCGCAATCACACGTCCAACAGGATCACTGCACCTACACAAACTTATATAAATTGTTTAGAAGCGCGTGGCCTGTCAGCTTATCTTACGTGTTCTAAGCCACCCAGTTGTACTTCAATCCATTAAGCGTAGTGGTGATTCATCGCATTTCCATGCGGCACAAACACTTCAATCCATACTTTTCCAGAAATCATAACTGGTCTAACAGGGTCTAACAGCTGGGAGATAGATTTACTCCCAACCTTTCGATACGATAGATTCTTCCTGCGCCAAACCCGCATCCACAGAGTCTCTAGTGCTTTCAAACCAGTTAAAATTTGTTCTTACGGGGCACATCTCCGATGGCTCAACCTATTAATCGATTGAAAGCGTGTGGGGTGATTCAATCGCTCATGGTCATCAGTTCACTCGGCTAGTCAGCTTCCGCTATACCACTGTAGACTTGTCCACTCAGAATCAGTGATTAATCGCTGTACTCAACTTGGGAGAACTCAAAATAGTCGTGTAAGAACCATTTCGAAACGAAACATTGTGTGTTCACTCGGTATGTCAGCTTCCGCAATCCCACCCCAGATATTTTCATCAACAGCCAGTGAGAGTGTGCGTTCAATCCACAAGAGTGAAAAAGATGTTGTAGGGCGCTTTCTTGAAACAAACCGCTGAGGCAATGGAACATCACGCTTCCGATGAGTGATCATCAAAGATATCAAAAATAGAGCGCTTTGGTGCTTTAGGCAAACGAGAAGAGAGAAGTCCAACATATAAAGATGTGAAAAGACAACGAGGGCTTTCAGTTCATCAAGCAACACATACCAATCCTCTACTTCTCTCACTTCAAAATAACAGCCATGAACTACTTCCAACTTCTATCTCTCGCGGGTCTCGCCGCGGCCAACGACGCCCTTCTCCAAAATCCTTCTATTACTTCGACGATCACCACCGACTCAGATGGTTCCCTCCACACTATTATCCCAATGGTCATGACGGACCTCGCCACTTTGACTTCTACTACAACTGTGACAACAACCATCACCGAATTCACCGATGACTCCCTAGCTACACCTACCCACACTATTGCCGTCCAGCCCTCGGGAATTTGGTGGAGAGATGGTCTGGTTGGACCTCCAATTCCTATACCTTCATTCGCATCGAATCCAGAGGCGACATCTAGTTCCAATCTCCCCCCGCCCCCCATCAGTTCACAGAGCCCCACGTCGTCTCCGAGTGGTGGAAGCCCGCCTTTACCGCCTCCCGTGAATTCGGAAAATCCAGAACAGTCTTCGAACAGCGATGGTCCACTACCACCACCTCCAAATACGGGATCTCCTCCTGCACCACCCCCAAACACAGATACACCACCTTCTCCACCCGCGCCTGAAGATACAGGGTTCCCGCCTCCGCCGCCACCTGGGAATACAGTGAATCCACCACCTGGGAATACAGTAAATCCACCCCCTGGGAATACAGTGAATCCACCCCCTGGGAATACAAAGAATCCACCACCTGAAAATACAGGGAATTCACCACAACCATCCGGAAATCCTGCTGGAACCGGTCCGCTAACAGGCCCGAATCCAACACCTGGACCGGTGTTGAACCCCACCGGGCCTCAGCCGCCAGTTGCTCCAGAGCCCACTGAACCGCCTGATTGTAAGGACGGCGGACCCGCAACAAAATGTCTGCAAAAATGCTCCTTTACTGACAAGCCTGCGCCCACAACTTCATGCAAAGATCCAGTCTGTGTGACCGCGCTGCCCGAAGTCATTAGTTCGTGTAGCCAGACTGAAACTACATCAAAGATATTCGAGACATCATCATCTGTATTCCGATGCTCCAAAGGAACCGACATCCCCTCAGCTGGTGAACCCGTTCCTCGTCCCACAACATGTCCAGCTTCAAGCAAAAAGAAGCGCACTGTTGTCACTCCTCAGGACTATTTGGACCAAGGCAAGGATATAAACGTGTTCATCAAAGAGCAAATGGATCGTGTGCGCCAGCAAGGCAACCTTGTTCCCCTAGCTGGTCGAGGCCCGAACAACGCCATGGGAGCCATCTCGTCAAGCAGGCAATTCGATCTTGGTAACCAAGCTTTCGATGCAGGAGTGTCAGGTCTGCATGGCTGCACCTCCGTTGTAGTCATTGCCCAAAGAGCGATTTGGATATCGCATCTTTGGGAAATTCCCGGCTTCATCAACACGTTCATTGACCCGGATACCGGCCTAAGTATTGGTCCTGCTGGAGATTTCGCGCTTACCAGCCAGGAGTTCGAAGACCGTATTCTAAACTTCTTCGTAGATGGGGATATGACAGAGAACTTTCCACGAATCAAAACTGCGCCAAACGATGTGTTCGGTGTCGCCGATGAGATTCGAAAAGTGCTAATTATTCACCCTCGCATGGACACTGGTTCTCCGGCAGGAGATTTAAGATATCCTGAGAAGGTCGAACAGATTGCTGAACGACTCCGAATTCTGATGCCCAGCTCGAATCCAGAGACAGTAGACTATATTGCCATCGATCCAGGCAATGCTATGCACAAAGATAAGCACGGTACAGTTCTTGTTCAGTATGACCCAAATCAGAAGTTCATAGGGGAATCGAATAATCAAGCTCTTGTCAGAGTATATCTGCAAGGCGATCAACTTGGTGAAGACATCACCTGGGACCCTCTTCCCAACCAGCGCCGGAAAAAACGCGACCTTTTCGCAAGGCAAGATGCCGATCCATGTGCCGATACACCGCCTCCTAGCACCATGATAACAGTCACGAGTCCTCCCCCGTCATCTACTCCTCCGCAAACAGAAACCCCCTCACAACCAACCTCCACGTTGCCTTCAGTTGTGCCAAACAAATTCAAGATTCGAATTCACCAGAACGTCGGAGGTGAAAATTCGGTGGAGTGGACTCTTTTGGATTCTAATGGTCAGAATACTGTCGCTGGACCGGATACATCCAATAATATCCCAAAGGGCAGAGACGGCAACACGAGAAGCGAAATCGGAATCGAAGTCATGGAACCTGGAAACAAAGATAAGACAAGAATTGTGTTCACGATGAAGCAAGACATTGGTGATGGGTGCATGCCTACTTGGGACATCGCACCGAGCAGTGGAGAGGAGACCTCGTTCGTGCAAGCCTGTAAGAACGGTGTCGCCAGTCAGTACGGATGTGATGATCCCAAGACGGTCACGTGGAATCAAATAGAAGGTGGTTTTGATAGGACATTTGAATGCCGGTGGTTAGATGTTTCCAAGGTTACAGTTGGGTTGGGCTAGAGGGACGATCTTGTCAGCCTCATTTCTTGATTAGTTGTCATTCCTCGTACACACACCAGATAATCCATGCTAGACGTAAGAGGCGCGACTCGCTTCACAATCTATATTTAGCTTTAAATTTTGGCAGTCATATACATTAACCTCGAGTCTCACCTGATGATGGACGGACACGTCGCATTTGAGATGTCATCCCACACACATTATACTTGCGCGCATGCGATCACTACGCGAACCACATAAAGTTCAATGGTTTGACTTCACAACAATCTTCTCGGTCGCCAAATATTCTATGAAACGTCATGGACGATTCAATTGACCCGATCTCGAACCCTCACCCCCCATCTGTTGTTCCCTGGGTTGCACCTGAACCAAGAATGGTCTCCTCGGAAAATGGCACGTCAGATTCCTCAATTCGATTCACTCAACATCTTTCATCGATTTTACCATTTGTGAATTCAAATTCAGACCTTGGATGCTACCTTGAAAAGGCAATACGGAACGGCCCCCACTACAGCACCATGCAGCACATGAAGGCCAATCATAACGTCAACGTGCCATACCGCATGCTTCTGGATACTGCAAGCCTGACAATGCCATCATCTCAGAAGATAGTGTTACTGGAGTTCTTATTGAACGCGAACGATCTGGACATCAACAGGCAAGTGGATGGCTGGTTTACTGTCTTGCGGTACTTTTACGAAGACAAGGAAGTAGTCGAGTATCTATTAAGACGCGGAGCAAATCCAAACATGGGGCCAGCAGCTGGTGCAAGAGTAAGCATCTGGGGCGCAGATGAGCTTGTTGAAGATGCCGGTTCCGCACTCACGATGGCCATTCGTCGGGGAACCCTAGACGTCGTGGAAACGCTCGTGCAGCACGGCGCAATTTTGGGGTATAGCATACCAGTTCACTGTGCGGTGGACAGAGGAGACGAAAACATGCTTAGGAAAGTTCTCGAGCTGGGCGCGAACATAGATGAGACTGATGCGACGCGTCGGCGTATCTTCACACAGTATTATGGCTCTCCATTGATGCGGGCAGTCAGCCAAAACAAACTTCACATGGTGGACGTTCTCCTTAGGAAAGGAGCTAATGTCTGGTACCGCAACCGGAGGGGAATGAATGTAATGGATTTGATTGATGGGAGGGGAGTCGATGCCCAGATTAAGGCGATTATCAATGCAGCGTGGCTTCAGAAGGCGTAAAATTGCTTTTTCGAAACTGAGATTGATAGCAAGCCAGTATTGTGATACCCTTCCATTACCAATGGCACCTCGCGTTATGAATGCTCCAGAATAAGTCTATTATGTGAAAGGAAGCTCCAGACATTGTTTAAGTAGCTAGGTGACCCCAGTCATCGTTGAAATGAGCACCTCTAGGAATACATCTACCTTCGCAGGTCAGCGTGTTTTTTTTTTCCATTATGTTTCTCTTAGCATTGAATTTTCGTGTTGCATATGTACTATATGTACTGCTACCTCAAGTAAATACGCGTTGGTATTGTATTCAATTCCATGATCGTAATGATCAAGCAGTTGATAGAGATAAGGTCCGCACTAAGAAGGACAAAAGTAGAGCCGTAGTTTCGTGAAAATGATCGCAGGATGATTCCAGCATGATCTGCAGGTCCCAGGGGGATTTCAAAAAAAGAAAAGACCGATGCATGTGAGACATGAGCATCCCAGACCCTATTATAGTAGTATTAGTAGTAGTAGTCGAAAACAGGACTTGCCTCCATCCAAATATAGCGTTTATATAATGATATGTGCCCAGCGCGATCATATACGGTGACAATATAATAGACTCATAATAGACGTAGAGCCCAGCGCCATCAATGAACTTCAAAAGGAAGAGAATTCGTGTGACTAATTTGAACACCATGTACCGATATAGATAGTATTGCAGATGTTGTTATGCACTAAATATTATTATTCAATTATTATATATTATATCTAGCATAAATACTAAGTATTAAAAAATTATATAATAAATTTGCTTTTAAGCTTTAGGCAAAACATATATTTTATAGTTATTATAAAACTAATAAGTTATTATTTAGAATAGCTAAGTGCAGATTAGGTCTAAGGACCTTAACACTATAACTTAACAATCTAAATTAACTTAGTTGTTACGCACTAAGTGTGTTATTTAATTATTGCATATTCTATGCGGCACAAACACTTGGTGTTCGAAAAGTCTGCACTTGCAATTGCATAGTTGGTTCATTTGCTACTGCACTGATGTATCAGCTCGGAGGCAGCTTTATTGTCATTTTACAGCATGTGATTGTGCCGCATATGAATGCGATAATGATAACAATGGATCTAGTACAGATGTATCAGGTGTCTGGCATCGGGTACCCGATAGAAGCTGAATTGTGCAGAAAAAATAAGCACCGCGTGGGGCGTGGTCGCCGTCTGACTACCCGTGTGCGGCGTAGCCTACACTAAACTGCCCATATACGTCGCAGCAACATGTAACGTTCCATGATTTTTCCTCTCTTCTAATAAGAATCATCCTACCCTACTATAAGTATACGCTCTCTCACCGATACTCGAGCTCATCTTGCGAATACACCTCTACCTCTACCATTCTACTATACCCAACAACCATGACGTCTGCTCCAGACATCACTGCGGCTTCAAAGACAGGTGCCAACGACGACAATGTCATCTTTGGCGCAGAACAAACAGAAGTAGAGCGTCTTGACATGCAACATCAATGCATTCACGACGCCAACCCTCAGTTGGTCTATGTCCCCTTGGATCTGTCGAAAGGTGGATACAAGATCTTGGATCAGGCAACTGGAAGTGGTGAGTTTATCATTATGCTCTTCATAATGCATAACGACTGACTTGATATTCGCAGGTATATGGATCCGCGATGCCCGCGCCCAAGCTAGTGCGAACAACGAGTGGGTGGGCACTGATATCGAGGATCAGTGGTTTCCCGCCACTCCGCCCACCGACACCAAGTATCAACACCAGTCGATGACAGAGGCTTGGCCACCAGAGTGGGAAGGGAGTTTTGACTTGGTGCACTCGAGGATGGCTCTTCCAGGTGTTGGCGTAACCCCACTTAAAAGCGCCGTCGAAAACCTCATTGCACTCGTGAAGCCCGGCGGCTGGATCCAGCTCGTCGAGATGGAGTGGAGCGATTGGAATACGGGACCCCAGGGAAAAATCTTCCAGAAGGCTTGCAAAGAGCTCTTTGCCACCGTCAGCGGTGGTCAAGGGGTAGACTTACGCGAAAAGTTGATTCCTATCTTCAAGGAAGCGGGACTGGAAAACATTGACTACAAGATCATTGTGACACCATACGGTGCTCGGGCGAGCGATAAGATCCGCGCAACTAGCGAGGCAAGCTTGCTCGCGACTGCCATGGGTGTGAGCAACACAACGAAGATGCTGCCGCCCATCAGCGTGCCGCGCGAGCAGCTAGATGTCATGCCGCAGAAGTTGTTGGAAGAGGCAAAGAAAGAGGGTGGAGAGTTTCAGCATTTTGTTTTGTGGGCACAAAAGCCGCCCAGAAATTAGACACCTAGGACAAGAGGGACGCAATCCACCGGTTTCTACCTTGTCAAGCTACATTCTAGGAGTCGTAGTATCTGAGAACCATCAACTTCAAACCGCTTCGTCCGAATTTCGTGGCGTTTTAGGCTTATTGCAATGTGATTTTCTGCTTCGTCTTCATGCCACACCCTACTCGCGATATATCGTGACAAATGTTCAGTTCATAATATAGTCTCACGGTGTAGCGTGTGGTCGGCACATACTATACAGCGAAACGTCATTAGCCAAGCGTAAGTGGAAACGTGCCGTGTACGATCATTGAGGCAGTGCTCTTGTCGACTCGAACCTTTATCGTCGACGTTGTGAGGATCTCGCAAAACATTTACATACAATGAAGAATTTGTATGTCCCTCCCTGTTCGGTGTATCATTAATTGAGCCGGGAATTCATGTCTTGGGCCTCAAAAATGATAAATTGAGTTTTTAATGGATACGGACCATGTCCACTTGGATAGTGAGGGTAGACAAAACACAATTACCAGTAAGTAGAGACGCAGCTTTTGTTTTTGCATCTGCCGATGGCGAACAGACCAAGGCCAGATCTTGGGTTGGCGCCGATGGATTCAAGACTAGGGACCAATCTCAAGTCTTGAGACCTACTGGAAACAGTGAAGTGGGTCTTGTGTATGTGGATGCCTACTATCAATGACCCAGAACTCTCGGGTCCGAGGCCCAAAAAACTGCCAGAGGAATTGGGAATGTAGCCAGACTGTGCTGTGGACGCAGGCGCAGCACCTATAGCTTTCGCACTATGCGCGATGATCCTTGTACATGATTGTGGAATCATACTGCTAGCAACGTAACTCAAGGGAGTTCAGGAATCTTCGGTGAGTGGCTGAGCAAAAGAAGTGGAGTTGAGTTGAACAACGAGACAGAAAGGGCTGGTCTCGTACGAGGAGATGAATGGCTGAGTTGGAAAGTCGCAATCATGTTGATCATTCCTAGCATGCTCTTGACGTTGGGGAACGAAGATGGCGATTCCAAGGTACAGTCAGGGTTGTTGTTGTATTCCTAATTAGGTATAGCGCGGTCAGATTTGTGGTGTAGAGCTATATCGCCTTAAACCACAGCGGGTAGTAGTAGCTCAGTTGAGACATTCTCGTATCAACCTTGTTAGCGTACGTCGATGGAGTAGACACATCTAGTTCTACAATGTCATGTCGCTGCGAATTGATTCCATTCATCTCACGGGAGGCGGAGGAATTTACGTGTCGCGAGGCCTCGGTGCTATTGTTTGCACTGCCCCCTTAGCCAAGACATCCAAGCACTTTAGTCTAGGACCTTTTCAAAGCCTCTCGCGTCGTACTCGCTGCGTCGTCGAATGTCAGCCGTCCCCAAGATGCTGCGGCCGACATCATCAAAGGTAGTGGAAGGCCAAGGAAGGCATTGGCGGGTGGAGGCAACGAAAATGACGCATTCATGTCACCCTAAGGCTTCCGCTGTACAACTAATAACCCTCTGTCGCCCACCCCAAAAAATGGCCCTCTTTGCCGTCTTATCCGAACAACGTCTTTCATCGAACCACATACTGTTATCCAATCCTTGTCTTAGATCTAAGACCACCTCTCCTTCCACATGGAGACCGGGAAGCTCGCCCCACCCACTTTGCAGATCAATACCCGGCAGCGATCATTGAGCGAAGCCGAAACCATCACATCGCAGACATCGGATCCGTTCCGGACGCCAGTCTCTCCGGGCAATGAGTCTACAAGCGACGCTTCTACCGTCGTAGGGACGTACGACACTGCAGTACGCCAGGAACTATGCAGAGAAACCGAATCTGTCCCCAACAACCCCTTTGCCTTCTCACCAGCACAGCTCAACAAGCTCTTGAATCCAAAGTCACTAGCTGTCTATCAGGCTTTGGGCGGCATTCGAGGAATTGCCTCTGGTCTGCAATCCGATGTTCACTCAGGGCTGAGCGCCGACGAGTGCACCGTACCTGGCCATGTTTCCTTCGATGAGGCTACCAATCCCCAAACGCCAATCAAAGAGAAGGGATCCGATACCAGCAGACTACCCAACGCTAATGGTCAGCCCTTTGAGGATCGTATCCGCGTACACGGACGGAATGCCTTGCCACCGAAGAAGGTCACACCGCTTTGGCGACTGATATGGAATGCATACAACGATACTGTTCTCATCGTCCTCACAGTGGCAGCCATAATATCCCTTGCCCTCGGGCTATACGAAACGTTCGGTGTAGAGCACCCTCCCGGGTCGCCGACGCCTGTCGACTGGGTGGAAGGATGCGCCATCGTAGTTGCCATTGTCATCGTCGTACTTGTCACAGCTCTGAATGACTGGCAAAAGGAACAAGCATTCGCTAGGCTCAATGCCAAAAAAGAACAACGCGACATCAAGGTGACGCGGTCAGGAAAAATCGTCATGATTAGCGTGTACGATGTCCTCGCTGGCGACATCATCCATCTCGAGCCTGGCGATGTCGTCCCCGTCGACGGAGTCTTCATTGATGGCTCCGATGTCAAGTGCGATGAGTCTTCTGCTACAGGAGAGTCTGACGCCATGCGCAAAACACCTGGCGCTGCCGTCATGAAAGCGCTTGAGAGCGGGAAATCTCTAAAGAACCTTGACCCATTCATCATCTCTGGTGCAAAGGTGCTCGAAGGCGTGGGAACGTTTATGGCGACGTCTGTCGGAGTGCACAGCAGCTATGGGAGAATCATGATGTCAGTTCGTGCTGAGGTCGAGCCCACTCCACTTCAAGAGAAGCTAGCTGATCTCGCAATGGCTATTGCGAAGATTGGAAGCACCGCCGCAGGACTCCTCTTCTTCATCCTCTTATTTCGCTTCATTGGTGGATTGCCTAACGATACAAGGGACGCCGCAGCGAAGGGATCTGCTTTCATGGATATTCTCATCGTTGCAGTCACAATAATCGTCGTCGCTGTTCCAGAAGGCTTGCCTCTAGCGGTTACTTTGGCCCTAGCATTCGCCACCACAAAGATGTTGAAGGAGAACAACCTCGTAAGGATTCTACGCGCATGCGAAACTATGGGAAACGCCACAGCTATCTGTTCAGACAAGACCGGCACTCTGGTAAGCAAAATCTGTCTTTTCATGCGACTCTAGATGCTAACCAAACATTTCTCAGACTACAAACGTAATGACCGTGGTTGCTGGCACGTTCGGATCCACCAGCTTTGTGCATGCCAACGAGCAGTCGGACCAGGATCAGTCTATTTCTAAATGGGCTTCGCAAGTTACACCCGCCGCTAAGGAACTCATCATCCAATCGGTCGCCATCAACTCCACAGCTTTCGAGGGCGAGGAAGATGGAAAGCCAGTATTCGTCGGCTCCAAGACTGAGACCGCCCTACTCCAACTAGCCAGAGATCACCTCGGGCTGGTCTCAGTATCTGAAACGCGGGAAAACGCGCAAGTCGTACACATGTTTCCGTTCGACTCAAGTAAAAAGTGCATGGGGGCAGTCATCAAGCTGCATGATGATACCTATCGACTCGTCGTCAAAGGTGCCTCCGAGATTCTTGTTGGCTATGCGTCTTCATTTGCTCACTTCGATACCCTTTCCACAGAACCCATCACTGATGATCACCGCGAAGCCATCGCAAACATCATCAGTGAATATGCCAACAAGTCACTTCGCACTATCGGAATGGTATATCAAGATTATGAACAATGGCCGCCAGCCCATTCTGAGTTCACAGCTGGCGGTAGTGTGGACTTCGCATCGATCTTGCGTAATCTCACCTTCCTTGGAGTTGTAGGTATCCAGGACCCCGTTCGTCCAGGTGTTCCCGATGCTGTTCGCAAAGCGCAAATGGCAGGTGTCACAGTCCGAATGGTTACCGGCGACAATATGCAAACAGCTCGCGCTATCGCTTCTGAATGCTTGATATACACCGATGGCGGTTTGGTTATGGAGGGTCCAGACTTCCGCAGGCTATCAGACGATGAGATGGATAGGATTCTTCCCCAACTCCAAGTTCTTGCTCGGTCATCGCCTGAGGATAAGAGGATTCTTGTAGAGCGACTCAAGCACATTGGAGATATTGTGGCTGTTACTGGTGATGGTACCAATGACGCACCAGCACTGAAGGCTGCCAATATTGGCTTTTCCATGGGCATATCGGGCACTGAAGTGGCGAAGGAAGCATCATCGATCATTCTTATGGATGACAATTTCAGCTCGATTATTACTGCCCTGATGTGGGGTCGCGCAGTAAACGATGCGGTGCAGAAGTTTCTTCAGGTAAGTTATTACAAAATCTGTCTTGTCTCCATAACTAACGACAATAGTTCCAAATCACGGTCAACATCACCGCTGTTCTGCTGGCCTTTGTTACTGCCATATATGATGACAATATGGAGCCAGCATTGAAAGCTGTACAACTACTTTGGGTCAACTTGATCATGGATACTTTAGCCGCTCTCGCGCTTGCCACCGACCCTCCAACAGAGAAAATTCTAGACAGGCCACCCCAAGGTAAAGACAAACCGCTCATCACGACCGTCATGTGGAAGCAAATTACAGGCCAGAATATCTACAAGCTTACTGTAATATTTGTCCTGTATTTTGCTGGGGGCGACATTCTTGGTTACGACCTTTCCGATGAGGACATGCGAATCCAGCTCGACACCCTTATTTTCAACAGCTTTGTGTGGATGCAGATATTCAACATCTTCAACAATCGGCGATTAGACAACAAAATCAACGTTCTTGAGGGAATCTTGCGCAACTTCTTCTTTATCGGCATTGTAGTGCTCATCATTGCGATGCAAGTCGTGATTATCTTTGTCGGAGGTCGCGCATTCCAAATCACGCCTGGCGGTCTTGATGGCACGCAGTGGGCAATCAGTATCGTGGTCGGCTTTGTGTGCATCCCATGGGCAATGTGTATCAAGATGTTTCCCGACCACTGGTTTGCTGCCATCGCACATGTTGTCGGAAAGCCGTTCGTCCTTCTTTACCAGTCGGGCTGTCGGGTTTCGAATAAGATCATGGGACTCTTCAAGAAGAAAAACAAAAACAATGAGAAGAAGGATGCTGAGGCAGGTCAGGCGGGTAGCACCCCGGAGATTGTGGTTATCAGCAACGAACCTAGTGTTGCTGATGGCAGACAGTAAAGGCTATAAAGCTGGGAGCATTTTACATAGAACTATAGACTGTATTTTTAAATTTCATGCATTAATCACTACCGAAACCTTCGTCGAGAAGAATGCAACGATCTCCTTGTGGCCTACCACCCAGTTTAATTGCTCCAGATACATTCCGCAATTCTTTGATTGTACGTCTTCATCTTGAAGCTAGTCGGAGCTTGATATGGCTCGAGCGCAGCCCGGATGTGTGTCGGAAATGTATCCGAGGAGATTTAATATCGCTCATGGTATTGCACTCTAACGTGGCACGGTCGTGGAAAATCAAACAACTATCCATGCTCAGAACGGGAAGGGCTGATTTGCCGCAAAGCTCGGGATCGGCATGGTCGGCAAAAAATGAGTACAACACCAACAGCTGCAACGAGAGCAGCCTGTTTGTCAAAATCGTTTTGATATGTGTGTCAGATTGCATAGGCTGCACACCAACCATCATCAGCCTGGATTGGGTGTTGCATCATGTCCCATACGCGAGATATGAGGATTGGGAGTGTCCTAGCCCGTCTGCGATCAATAATGTCAGATGAATATCGAAATTTGGCTGAAGGCACGTTGAGCCACTTCTCTCCTTAGTGGTGCAGCTTTTGCGTATTTTGTGGGTATGAATGAACTTGATCATGGGTATGCGTTTTGTAGTCCTCTGCTTACTGTTCCCCTCCCAGTTATGTGGATATGGAGAGGTGCCTCAATCATGTATCATTGGAACAATAGGAGCAGGCAGTTGCTAAATGGCGCAAGAGTTGGTATCAATCGACCTCCATGTACAACACTGCACGAACCCATTAGATAACGCCGCATACGCCGTCTATGCCCCGTTCTCTCCCTTTGGATTTTCAGCTCATGTATATATAAAAAGAGGCATCGTCACTTCCATGGTACCACACTATAGTTTTCAATTGAATTTCGACCAGCCGCCACATTTTGGCTACTCAATAGTCAATACCTACTTCTCCCAATACCCTGATTCACTACCGCAATTCTCATTGAAAGTTATGGCGTTCCGACCAAAGCAGATCACCCAATATCAAGCTGAGCACCTTGCTGAGCTCCAAGGAGATGTCAGTGTCACCGCCTTCGAATATAGTCTAGGCCTTCTTCCAGCTTTTGTCGATGGTGACAACATTCATGACAATGCCGCTGGCTCCGGCGCAGTGACTGCAACCATATTTGAACAGCTCAAACCTGATACGAGCATCCATGTCAATGCAACAGATAAGAACGAACAATTTGTTCAAGGTTGCAAAGCCCTGGCAGAATCCAAAGGCTGGCCCGTAGACGCAACCGTCATGTTAGCTCAGGAGCTGACGTATCCCGACAACAATTTCACTCATTCATTTACGAGCTTCGCGTTCCACTGCCTAGGTGACCACGATGCAGCCGCCAAACAAGTTTACCGTACACTCAAGCCTGACGGCATCGCGGTTGCATCTATCTGGATCTCCATGCCGCATGTAGACGCGCTACAACACGCTCACTGGCGTACTCGTGGAAAAAGAGGGTCCCATGCCTGTGCTTTTGCCTCTAGAAAGCTTCCAAGAGCCGGACCTGCGCAATGCTCTCCAGGCTGGTGGTTTCGAGCACATAGACTGTTACACGAAGGACTGTTACCTAAATGTACCAGATGTCAAGCGATGGGCTCAGCTGGCATGGAGCTACTTGGGTATCTTGCCCACAGGCTGGGACCAGACAGACGAGGAGAAATGGGATGAGGTTATAACAGATATCGTCGAGCAATTGGAGGACGGTGATGGCATTTCCAAGAACGAAAAGGGGGAAACTGTACTCAAGATGGTAGCCTGCATTGCCGTCGCAAGGAAATAAGAGTATCGGTTGTTGGAACATCGAAATGGACTGAATGAGCTATCTCACGCTACGATCATCAACCGGCGGAGTCCTAAGTATCTCTATATTTAACATTCTGTATGGTTCATGTGGAACACAGTACTATGTACCTGTAAATGATTGAAAGCACATTGATAGCATCCGACGGAGCTGAGAGCACCAACACGCCTGACCTAAGATACAAGCATAACATGGTTGAATCTCTTTTCGAATCTACAATTGTCCACCATGTTACTAATGCTTGATTTAATACGATGTATTCAGTAGGATTCATGAGAACCGTAGTCTGATACAATTTGTTGTTCGCATACTGACAACTCTTTTAGGATAATGTGTTTATCTACTCTCATCTATTTCTGCGAAGAGGACGAATCAAGCCCCTTTGTCTGCGAGAGAAACACGCTCTATCTCCCAATGCTTCAGCTTGACTGTCTGGTTGGAAGTGTGGTCATTTCCTATCATGTTCATGATGGTGATGGCATTAAACGCGAGAAAAAGTATTGACCCTACGGATATTGGTTTACTGAAAGTGCAACTGTCCGAACATACATCTGATTTGGAGATTGATCATGCATTGAGCACTTCAATTCGCAAAGTAAAAGGATGATGAGACGAAGCAATGTGATATGAATATCCTGGAGGACTGTATGGTATGAAGTCGAACATCTTTCAGTGCTAGTACCCGAGCACGACGCTGAAATTGAGTTACTTAGGAACCCTGAAGATAGATGCTTTTCGGCCGCAAATGACTGTTTGGTATGGAAAAGATGTTCAATAGAGCCGCAATTCTAGAACACGTGACACACACAGCCTCTCCCCAGCCCGAGCTTGCCAATATCGACTCCACTCATTTCCCATAGATTGGTGAAGACACCCTAGCACATAACGTATCGCATACGTTCTGTACTATCGCTCTAATAATGTTGGACGGAAAAAGATTCCCAGTGGGCACCCTATCTGTGTGTCTATGTATGTGTGTGTTATGGAATAAATTGGGTCGGCAATTCTCACTTGATCCACAATGATCCTGCCACTCTCCCCGCATCGCAGCTTTCTGGACCAATGTGCTGGATCAATACCGACCAGGATCAAAAGAAAGTCATGCGAACATGTATTTGCTCGTTCTCTCCGGGCAGCAGAGATTTTTCGGAGTAAATGTCCCGTAGAAAGAACCCTTGACTTGCCTTTTTCTTGAAGTCGGTAGTTCACATTCTCGCAATCTACTTGAATGCAGCTTTTGTCCGCATCATTGTTGACCTGCTTAGATCAGGCGCCCCGAGACGAAAGGTCCCCAAAGCAGGATATGTCACTATCCTCGCTTGAACCATGTAATACTTCTCCTCTACATCCGCACACAGTAGTCAGACAGATGTACTACCGTGCATCGGCGGTTCATCTGGCTCCGAGAAGTTGGTAGTGCTCACGGCCAAGCTCTCGTTCGGCAGACACCAAGCACCACCAAGCCCCATGTCAAACGATATGCACCGTGTTGGCAACGGCTATACCTCACCGCTGTACATGGCAGCGAATGGTTGTCGTGATGGTCGCTGCATAAGATCGTCTGCCCAGCTTTTCCAAGGCGCCCCCGCCCGAATGGAGTGAGCGGGGTAAACCATCCCCTGTAGGTAGGTCACATCATTTCACCAAGTCACCATGCAAGGGAGATCAAAATCAGTGCCTATATATTAACCATGGCATCTTCTACCATAGGGTTCCCCAGATTTGGAATTTTCCCTGGCATTCGCAAAGATTGCCGCTTTCTTGAACGTCGTCACCATGGAAGCCAAAGACCAGCACCCGCCGCCCCCAGCTGCCCAGAATGAGAAGGGCGAAGCAGAAACGATCGAAAAGTCTACTTCATACGCCGATGAGGGTCTTAAGCCAGTTGCGCAAGGGAAGGTTGACCGTACGGGTGCGGTTGCAAAGACGGATCCTGAGGAGATTGCTCTCGTGCGCAAGATCGATTGGCGCCTGATGGCACGTCTTCCTTCCAACCTCATCCTAAAGGTTATTTTCTAACATCCATCCAGCCAACCTTGTGCATAATGTACTTCCTTGTAAGCCCAAGCTCTCCCAGGACGGTCTTACCACTTCCCATGTCCGCGCATTAACCCCCGCCCATAGAACTACGTCGACCGAAATGCGATTGCCCAAGCCCGATTGAACAACTTGGAAGACGACTTGGGAATGACTGGCGTTGAATTCAACACCACGGTTTCCATGTAAGACTCAGACTTGGAACTAGGCGTACTTTAAGCTGACGGTGAAGTCTGTTTGTCGGCTACGTGCTGATGCAGGTCCCCTCCAACATGCTTATCACGCGGGTCAAGCCGGGCATGTATATGAGCGCGTGGATGATAATATGGGCCATTGTATCGGCCTGTACTGGTCTGGTCCAGAATTACGAGGGGCTGGTGGTTTGCCGATTCTTCTTGGGTATCACTGAAGCTCCGGTATGTTTATTCGGGTTTGATGCCCTCCACTTGTGCTGACATGAAGCGAAGTTCTATCCTGGTGCGACGTATATGCTTTCGATATTTTATACACGAAAAGAAGTCGCTACCCGGATCGCTCTCCTGTATTGCGCGCAAATTTTAGCCACGGGCTTCTCCGTAAGACTCTTGATTCTCCGATGGACTTTTCTGACATGGACTCGAAGGGACTCATTGCGGCTGGAGTGTTTGCTGGTATGGATGGCGCACGCGGTCTGGCAGGTTGGAGATGGCTGTTCATCATGAAAGTAAATCAACTCCACACAAGTGGTCACAACTAACATCCTGCAGTGAAGGTGCCGTGACAGGCTTAGTCGCGTTGTTTGGTTTCTGGCTTCTGCCCAACACCCCTCTCACTACCAGTTGGCTCACACAACACGAGCGAGAGATGGCCCATGCGCGCATGGAGCGTGACAGAGTGGGCGACCCGCAAGAACAAGCCAGCATGATGGAGGGCTTGAAGCAAGCGTGCAAAGACAAGAGGACCTGGCTCTTCTGCTTCATGCAGAACTTTCATCTCAGCGCTTGCTCATTCAACTCTTTCTTCCCCACGTAAGCTCCCACTCGAACTATCTTGCAGCATTCTTACTCACCTCGATCCAGAGTTGTCAAGACTCTCGGCTTCAATCGCACCGTCACCCTCGTTCTGACATGTCCGCCCTTCCTCTTCGCCGGCGCTGCAGGTATTTTGACTGGTTGGAGCTCTGGTCGCATGCATGAACGCACATGGCACATCACTGCCGGGCTGTCTGTTGCGATTGTTGGTTTTGTCATTGCTGCCAGTACCCTCAACACGGCCGGACGGTACATCGCCTGCTTCATTTTCCCCGTCGGCGCATATTCCGTCAATTCCGTCATCATAGGGTGGGCGTCCAGTACATTGGCGCAGACTAAAGAAAAGAAGGCAGTGAGTTTTCTTGGAGCCCTCGAACGGCGATCAATGATGCGCAATGCTGACATGGATGGTACAGGTCGTTCTCGCCATGACGAATGTGGGAGGCCAAATCGGATACATTTACGGAGCGTATTTGTGGCCTGATTCAGACGAGCCGCGGTATGGAATTGGGTTTGGCGCTTCTGCCGGCTTTGCGCTTTGCTCAATTGCTTGCGCGTGGGCAATTCGGGTCATGCTGATCAAAGAGAACAAGAAGATCATACAGTCCGCAACAGAGAACGCGAATTTATATGGTTACTAGTAGCCATTTTGACTGCAAAATAGTTTGATAGGGTTGGGCTGGATCAGTCAGATATACTATGTCAAATAACCAAATGCGATCCGTCTGCGCAGCAGTGTCAGCGAACATCACATCAGAAACGTACTGCGGGCCTCATAAGCCCTTACGAGCCATCAAAATAGCGCTCATCGTTTCTGTCAGGCAAATCGCACGCGTTTGCGTCCAGTGGTGACCATATAGGTGATCGTCATACACGATAGAGATTTCAGGCTTTCATGGAGCTCGTGACTGTGGTTAGTAAGAAGTGCGGATCAGGGACGGGTGATAGGGGGTTCTTTGGAAGTGCCGAACTTCTGGTACAACGGGTCAAACACGAAACACTGCACCGGTACTGGTTTGCCACTTTAAAACCCCCTAGTCACGCCTCGCTGATGCACACTAGGGTGCCGTTGATGTGCCTTGTATGGTTTGTTGTTGTGTGCGGCCTGCAGATTTATGAGACGATCAGATGTAACAATTGTGGGGACAGCGCTTTGTAAGCTTGATGGGTGAAACTCACTTAGGCAAGGGGCCGCGGTCAACGAATCAATGGAATTGTTCCGCGCTCTATTCAGTAAGAATAAACGCGTCTATTCTTCTTTGCCCTCGGCCAAAAGCTTGATTTCCAATTTTTGTGTCGACCGATCCTATATCACATGCCGTACTATGCGCTGGTATATGAATCCCTGGCTAGGGAAACACAGCGGCTTGATGATGAAAAGCTTTGGATAGTGCATAACATGCATTGGAAACAATAACAACTGTCCCGTTCGTTAGCATCTACAAGCTGTTGCGCTGGCTGAGTCCTCATGTGGGCGCGCGCAGTCGGAATCATATGCCGAGCAGTGGTGATATCATAAGAACCACAGATGTGTACAACGAGCATGCAGCGCCCCTTCTATCGGGTTTCATAATTTCCCGCATTGGTAGTATAACAGATGTGATGCCCAAGAGTTGATATTTACGAAGCGTTGTTCAGAGATGTTCGATGTGCGATGTCTTTGGTTCCGGGTACAAAGCAGGATTACCCGAGGCGCCCGCACGCGTGGGTAAACGTTGATCCAGGCCTTACCGTTGCCCCCACCTACTGGTAACAAGGGATGGGAATGTGTCAGAGAAGTGAGTCACCTCTGAAAAGTATACGCCATTGCCGTGGAGTTATGCTTTCTTGACATCTCTTGATGTCCCTGCCAAGAGGCAATATCGGAATGCACTTGCCCAAACAGGGTTAGCTGCCGAGTTTAAAGCAGCCAACGGCTATCGCATGGGATAGAAGGCTACTAGTGTACATGGCTCAGCTACATATGTAGTTTCAATGTGATATGCGATGACCAGGGTGATACCTTGGTGATGCAGCGGCAGAGTTTTCCTCATTCCACAATCTGTATATAAGGTATCGAAGTCGCAGCTCTAGAATGATGACTGATACTTGCTCTCCAACTCACACACAGCATCCAGCATGCATTCTACAATGCGATATTCAATTTTCAGCACATTGGTGGCAGCCGCAGACATAGCGGCTGCCCAATCGAATGCTCCAACAGACGCATTTATGCAGAGCTGCGCTGCTTTCGCAAACAACACACAAATCCCCAACAGCACTTTTTCCACCGCCACCTTCGTCCCGGCGGGGGCAAACCTCACCTTCCCAAACGCAGACCCCAGCTGCACGAGGCCGTCCCAGCTAGTAGCCGCAGCTATGTGCCGCATACAAGCCAACATTACAACATCGGCCACTTCAGAAGTCAGCTTCGAGGCGTGGCTGCCTCAAAACTGGACGGGGCGCTTTCTCAGTACTGGCAACGGCGGGCTCGGCGGTTGTATACAGTATGAAGATATGGACTTCGCTAGCTCACTGGGCTTTGCCTCCGTGGCGACCAACAACGGACACGACGGCATGAGCGGACAGCCTCTCTTCCAGAATGCTGGAGTTGTCGAAGACTTTGTTTACCGTGCCATGTTCACTGGCATCACTGTGGGAAAGCAAGTCTCGCAAAACTTCTACCAAATGCCGCCCACCAAGAGCTACTATCTTGGATGCTCGACAGGTGGACGCCAGGGTATGAAGATGGTGCAAGACTTCCCAGACTTGTTTGATGGCGTGGTCGCCGGGGCTCCCGCGATGAACTTCAACAACCTCAATACGTGGAGCGCCCATTTTCTTCCAGTCACGGGAAGCAACACGAGCGAGACCTTTGTCTCTGAGGCCCTCTGGAATCTAGTCCACGACGACATTGTTGCGCAATGCGATGATAAGGATGGATTCAAAGACGGCATCTTGGAAGCACCGGATCTGTGCCGTTACCAAGCCGACAAGCTCCTATGCAGCGACACAGTCGTCGCTCCAAACTGCCTGACACAGCCGCAAGTCACAACCGTCAACACCGTCTTCAGCGATCTCAAAGGGCCAAACGGCACCGTTCTGTATCCACGCATGCAGCCCGGCAGCGAAAAAACGGGGGCTTTCCCAGCTTACTACAATGGCCAGGCCAGCGACAAGTCGGACTGGATCAAGTTTGTTGTCCAGGCCGATCCGAACTTCGACCTCACCAAGTTCACGCCAGACTTGTGGGCCAAAGCCGATTCTTTGAACCCCTTCGACGTCGCTACGTTCAAAGGCGACATTTCTGCATTTCAGCAGCGCGGCGGCAAACTGCTGCACTACCACGGCACCATGGACCCCATCATCAGCAGCGACAACTCGCCTAGATATTACGAGATCGTGCGCGCAACCATGGGGCTAGAACCTGCCCAGTTGGACGACTTCTATCGGTACTTTCGCATTTCGGGAATGGGCCATTGCAGCGGAGGCCCAGGCGCCCATTTCATCGGCAACCAACGCAAGCAATTGGCCGACCCGAACAAGCCCGAGGATAACTTGTTGATGAATATGGTGCGCTGGGTTGAAGAGGGCCAGGCGCCTGAGGTCGTCACTGGTGTTGCTTTTGTCAACGATACGCAGGGCGGAGAAGTGGCTTTCACACGCAATCACTGCCGCTGGCCGCTCATGAACAAGTTTAGTGGCTCTGGCGACCCTAACGATGCTGCATCGTGGCAGTGTGTGCCTTATGCAAACACTATCTAGATTCTAGCTAGCCTTATATGTGTTTAAGGTAGATATAGATGTTCTGCTGCTGTTGTTATAAGAGCAGTCCTGCAGGTAGGCTTCTCTAACAACCATTCTACATATCATAGATTTTCTTTCCATTTCTGTGCTTTATGCACGCTAGTTGACTTATTTCTACTATAAACTTAGTGTCACCTATAGTTTTAGGCAATAGAGAATGGTTTACCCTATAAATTGTTGGTAAAAAATAACGAGACAAATAGAATATAACTTTCTTTAAAAGATTTAAGGACCATGAATGCGTAGAAAAGCACTGGAAATTTATTTAAAACTAAACGAAATTACCAGTAAGCTTATTATCAATACAACAAGGACATTTATGCAAGAATATTGATTATAGAGAACGGGTTATCTATGTAACTCATCTTCCTCACCATGCATACCTCGATCGTTCAAGTAGAATTTGGCTCCTTCGTAGCAGCCCATGTACATTCCGTTTCCTGCAATAGTAAACATTGCTCTTACCAACCCGCCTCGGAACAGACCCGTCACTCCATCGTCCCGAAGGATGCTTTGAAGAATTTGAAGCACGCTTCTGCGGATCTCACGTCTGTTTTTGCTTTCCTCGCTTGCTTCAAGCATCATTCTTGTTTTGACAACATCGAATGGTGTCGTAATCCACGCAGCCGCGCTACCTGCGATGCCGGCACTCGCTGCTGAGATTCTTGCCCGCTCGAACACACCAGTTACAGGCTCACCGTCTTTCATCCTCGAGCGCCTGACAGTCAAATTTTTCTTCAGATACTCGAATACCGGAAATTGCAGTGCTGTGAACGGAAGGTCACGTGCTGCTAGCGCAGTGTATCCTCTCCATAGCCCAGCAGGATGCTTCATCAGCATTCTCGTAACCTCTGTGGTAGGGGAAATTCTTTTCTTTGTCTGAGCATCATGCTTCAGTATCTGCGCATTTTGCTTAAGTACTTCCGCTGGTGTTACGACAGCACAGTTCAGCAATTGAGCAACGGAGCTGCTGAATGCGTGGACTGCGGGCTGTGGAATCCCGGTGGAGCCGATAACACGTTTTAGACTTTCGTAGGTGGAAAAAAAGACGACTGAAGAGGGAACTGCAATTACAGTTACTGTGCTAATACCCTGGTAAAGGCCGCGAAAAAGAGTACGGTTCACAGTAGCATTCTGGCTGCGGTAAATTTGCTGATATGATGGTGATTGAAGTCTTGTTTTCAGTGTGTCGAGTGGAAAGAATATCAAATTGATGCTGACTCCAGCGAATGCTCCAGCCTATGTCCGATGTTAGCTTGAGTATTGAGATCGCGATACTCTGGCAGTTCTGCAGCTGGATTTTGGGGTACAGACAAACCAGATGTTTAAGCCTGGATTTGCAGACATAGTCAAGCTTGCCTGCGGAAAGTCTCTCAACTAATGATTCATATTTTATGCATAGCACCAAAAGTGTTATGACATCAAACATGGAGCAAATTCTGGGTTTACGTCAGGCCGATGAAGATCCGCTAAGCGGCTCCACGGACTGTGGATGCATTTGGCGTGCAAATATGAAGGCTGGTCAGCGTAACGTTGAAAAACCATCATCATGATACAATTCACTCGATTTGTCAGTATCGGGGTTTAGGGAGTCTCATTCAAATGTGATCACTGTGACAATGTGTGCAGACTACACTTATGACGATGGGTTGAGTTGCCTGACACAGCAATTGCGTACAGACAATCAGAATTGGCTAGCTATACTATTCGAAAAGGCGAGCAACCTCTGAGTTCTGAATTCTGGACGCCCTCAGCTGGGAGGTGGTTATAGGGGGTACAATCACGATGGTAATGAATGATCGGTTTGACTTTCACTCTTGCCATAATCAATTATCCGCTAAGTCAACAGTGTGACAGAGTGTAGCAATGAGAACGGATTTCCATCAACTTGAAGATTCATCTTTTAGAGCGCAAGCTCAAACCTTCTGTGTCTATAATGAGGCTGCTGAAGACCTGGTCGTTGACCATTGAAAACTTTGCCTCTTTTGATATTTACTACTATCACCTGAGCTGCTCATCTCTCTTCAAGGCTAGGAACGTCAGACTCCACAACTGAACCACATCGCTCTCCACAGTCCCAGAAACACCAGGTGGAGGTGGTAGACTTCCTAACGGCGTGTGTACAAATTTGCCATCTGTGTATTGCCAACTCCATACTTCATCCTCCAGGAAATCATCGCACTCCTGGAGGCTATCCCACACGGCATTGTAAGCGGCTTTGACGTTCTGGTAAACAGTTTCATCGTTACAAAAATCGGGTATGCCGTATTCGGCAGAACATCGGCCTAATTGTTTCTCCAGTCCCCTCAGCATTGTCACCAGTTGCCAGCTCCAGACAACTGCTCCGTGGTAGGCGGAATTGGTGAAATTTTGCAATATGGCTTTGCTATCCGAAAAAGCCGGGTTTGCGACAACCAGGCCGACATGCGTCATCAAACCCGCCGGGAATGGTCGTAATACCGACAGGGCGGTCGCGTTAAGATATTTGGTCAATCGATGCTGGTTTGTTCCGTTCAGAAACAAAATGCGACAACAAGCATCAGTATTCATTACCGAAACTGTGTCAAGGTCATTGTTTCCCTCCAAAGCCAGAGCGTGATACGACACATCTGCGTCGATGAGCTCGGAATGCGATGGACCATGGTAGAAAGCATTGTTTTGAACGAAATTTTCTAGTCGATCGCGAGCAGTGAGTTCAGGGAGTACGACTCTAAAGAACTCTAACGTGTTATCCTCCCACACACGAGCATACTGATCGGCAATCACCGACCAGTCTCGCGCGTACTCCCCAACAGCAACAGCGCCGAAGACTTTGGCCAGCGAAGCGATAGATCGTAAAGCTGCGGGAGCCAGTGCAACGTTGACGTCAAAAGGAATACGACCACCACCGAGACCGTAGACGGAATCGCGCCATTGGCCTGTTTCATGGCCTTCTTTGAGATGAATGAGATTGTGTCGCCTTTGGCCACCAATTGCTGCGAAAGTACCTGTTTCGTTCATTATCTTTCTTGCGAGCATGATGAACAGGTCACCCCAGGTTAGACCTTTGTTATCTACATCCACCTTGCCTGCGGGCGTCTTAAGCAAAGCTTCTAGACGTTCTGAACCTGCTCTGTGCCCGTGAAAGTACGCATGCATCAGGATTGGGACGAAGTAATCTGTGTCGACCATGCTGTAGTCACATCGGAAGGCTGTAGAAGCAACGCCCTCCTGTAAATTCAAAAAGGTAGCGTAGTCGCCGATAGTCTCTTCGTGGCAAGCGCTACCGTCGGTGCGATTGATTCTTTCCAGGACCGAGCCAATAACAGCCTCAATGACGGTGTCGGATAGGGCGGGAAGAAGAATCAACGTTGAAAGCATATCATCCCGACCGAAGTAGGTGAGAAAGCGCCATGAACCTGCCAACATCTTCTCTTGATATGACAAGAAGTGTAGGGATTTGGATTCTTTTGGTCGCTGATCAAGTAAGCTCTTGTCTTTCAGTACATCATCCAGGCTGAGTTGACGAAGTTGAGGATAATTGTAGCAAGCCGACAAAAGGTATTTTCCCGCCCCAAGTATTATTTTCTTGCCCTTTATTTTTACATTCCCTGAGCCCTTTGGCACGAGTGTGAGGGTTGTTGTGGTAACGTTGTCAAGCCAGAGCCTCGATATAGAAACGCCGTCAGATCCAACTTTTTCGACGTGGATCCCTTTCTGAAGCATAGGATGGAGAAGACTCGGCCCTTCAGTGAAGTCACGGATAGATCGAACTGAGCCCAATATAGATAGTGATAAAACGGCCGTAGAATTGAAGGCTAGAACTCCCTCAATTCCCACGTCCGGGTAACCATCATCCTTATGATTGTAAATGGGGGCAAGAGGTGACCCGACCGTGGAATTGATGAGTTTGACGGCGAGGCTCCCATTTTTCCCATCCTTGGGTTCGAAGAACATACAGGCCCCGCTATTGCCTCCCGGCCAAGCAACAACCACCCGTGGTCCCACGAATCGAAGGTCACTACCTGGTACTGGACTGGTGACTACCACGTGAGCAGCGATGTTGGGATCCGAATAGAAAAAGTTCTCGTACGGTGGACTACTGAAGTAAATCGTGGTTGCATTCGACTGCACGGGAGGCGCTTGTTCACCCGAGTCATTGCTGGACGTAGTTTGGATTGTGTTGCCATTGAAATCGCTGTAATCATCAGCAATGAGATTAATAGATAGGATTGAAAATAGAAGGTGTCCTATAATACCTGTGGTAGTCAATATCACCATCAAGAGTTGTTTCGCCATGGCTGGTAGAACTCAAATCTTCTTCCATAGAAGACTTGCTGTGTTGACCATCTGGCGCTAGGCGCTCTCTCGCCGGGAAATGTAGTCCTGCATTGGACAGTCCATATCGTGGTAACCATATCTCGACACAGATTATTCCAACCAGGATAATCACGATTGTTGATAAGAAATGTAGACTTCGAGACATTGTGGTTCGGTTCAGAAGACGGGGTTTGTTTTGGAGCTCTTCTTGAGAAACATGCAAAGCATGTGTTGATATACCTAACAGCCAGACCTATCTCTAGATTAATCGAATGACTGAACAATGACCATAGCGTTCAATTAGTAACAGTGACGCTCTATCACTGCTATCACGGTGTTATTGGTTTCGACTTGTTCTGATTTCACGTCATGAGCTTGCGGGCTGCCCTATAACTTTGATGCGGTCATAGTGACGAAACATCAACTCATTGAAGATGCTGCACGTTCTTTGGGAAAATAATCCGCTCAGATCGTAGAATTAGCTTGGGTATTTTGGTGGTTACGGGAACCCAGAAAACGAGGACGCCACTGAACCTCGTTGAAGCGAGAGTTTGTATGCCTGTTGGTGGCTCGGAAGTTGAACACTAGCTTTTCGTTATGTTTCCATTCCAGCCATGGCATTAGGCCTGTCCAGCACTAGCCCGGTCTCTTAGCTCCTCTATACAAGCGGCTATCGTAGTGCTAGAAGAGGAGTTCTTCCTCGTATTCAGAACATCGCACGACTTTCCTATTGTTTGTGACGCAACGACGTCAAGTGACGCTTCGAGAGATAGACAATTGATTGTTCCCCAGAAAGCTAGAGTTAGGTCTATTGATTAGCTGATTCCTTCATAATTATCTAATCATCGCATTTTAATGCGGCACGAACACTTTATAATAGAAATCACATAATAAGGCTGCCTGGAAGCTCTAGGCAGGATGGCACACTGATACGTAATTATGAGAAATTCCTAAGCCCAGATTACATCCAAGGCCCTCGACACCAGATCTGAACTACCTAGGTCGATTTTACTGTTTCTAATTAATTACCTAAGTAATGGTGATTCAGCGCATCTCCATGCGGCACCACTACTAGGTATTGAAAACACGATATCCAATTGATTACATGTTTTTCGTCACTTCAGGCAAGTGCCTGCTATTCGATATCACATCACACTGTCACGTACGTTGTTCATTACTAAGTAGCCGCGGACTCAGACCTAGAGGCAACGTAGTATCATAGTGACTAAAAAAATATGTTTTGTATTACAAAGGACGCATCAGTGCTCCGTGGCACTCTCACCTACAATTTATCTCTGGTTTTAGGTCGGAATCTAGCGTTATGGTGCTGCATACTCGGGTTGAGTTGATGTCATGAGCTTCTCAGACGCCTCTGAATGCTACTATTAGTGGAGCACCGACTGGAAAAAAGGGTCTGTATAAAAAACACAAGAGATGGCACAGGGACTCACCTTCTCCATCTCATATCCAACAGAATCTTCGTCTCAAGCGCTCTATCTCAACAATACAAGAAGTCTTTTTTTCTTAGAAACATCAAATCCATTATGCGCATCGCCATCGTCGCACCCTTATTCGAAACTGTTCCACCTTCGAAATATGGAGGAACAGAAAGAGTCGTATATTTCATTGTTGAGGAACTTGTCCGCCTTGGCCACACAGTCACCTTGTACGCCGCGCGTGGAAGCAAGACATCTGGTAGATTGGTCGAGTGCTTCCATGGCACTTTACGTGGTCACGGGATTGCAAACGGCTCTGATGACGCCATCAATGCAAACAAAGCGCAGCTGAAGCTCGCTATATCGGACATGGCGAATCACGATATCCTACATATTCACCACGCTGTTGAATCCTATCATCCCAAGCTTTTTGAGTCCATGCAAGATATTCCCATTGTATGGACAGACCACAACGCCCTACACACAGCGGGAAAGCCCTTGAGCTTGAAGTCGCTCGCCAATCTCGACATTGGGATGACCGCTTTGTCAGAATCGCATCGAAGCACAGTCTCTGATGATGACGCAAAGTGGCTAGAAACAATTCACCATGGTCTTCCTGCGAACCTGTTGACTCCCGTACAAACCATTCCGACCTATCTCGGATTTCTAGGCCGCGTTTCTCCCGAGAAAGGAATCACGACAGCCATCAGGATTGCGAGAGCGGGAGGTTTCGAGCTCAAAGTTGCAGCAAAGATTGACAAGGTCGATGAGGAATTTTATGAAAAGGAAGTGAAGCCTCTTCTTGCTGCATCAAATGTTGGTTTTATAGGTGAGATCTCAGACGCAGAGAAAAGTCGTTTTCTAAGCGCAGCTATCGCCCTCATCTTCCCCATTTGCTGGTTGGAACCTTTCGGGCTTGTCATAATTGAAGCAATTGCATGTGGTTGTCCGGTAATTGCTTTCAGAAAGGGATCAGTGCCTGAGATTGTGGAGCATGGTGTGACAGGCTTTATCGTAGACACAGAAGAAGAGGCTGTGGAATCGTTGCGGCATATAGAAAGTCTCGATCGAACGCTTATCAGACAAAGGTTTGAAGAGAGGTTCACGTCTACTACCATGACTAAGAAGTATGTAGACGTGTATACCAGGAGCATTAGACAGACAAACGCTTCTCAAATAGCTAATAAGCTAAAAATAGCTATTGCGATTCAAGAAGTTAATCTTCGCAAACATCTAGACTTCTTGTAAACTATTAGCTTTTGTTTTTATAAAGTTTTTTATCTTTTTAACTTTCTTCTTAACTTTAACCTCTTATAACTTTGCTAGTAAATATAGTTATTTAAACTTTAATTATAGTTTTAATTAGGTACTAAGTAAAGTTAATTAACTCATATAATAATACAGTTTAGAACAGTGTAGATTTAGCTAAAGTATAACGTTTATGTTTAAAAATAAATAAATTAATACTATTTAGTATTTCTTTATATTTTTTTTTATATAGTTGTATAACATATTTACTTTATAGCTAATCTAACTACAATAACTAAACTTCATAAACTCTATAGAATTTAAATGTGCACTGTGCACGCTAAAGGATAAAAAGCTATAAAATTTGAGGGTTAGGGTTAGGGTTAGGGTTAGGGTTAGGGTTAGGGTTAGGGTTAGGGTTAGGGTTAGGGTTAGGGTTAGGGTTAGGGTTAGGGTTAGGGTTAGGGTTAGGGTTAGGGTTAGGGTTAGGGTTAGGGTTAGGGTTAGGGTTA